AGGGGTGCTTTCGAACTGCTAGGTGGGCAGGAGCTGGGACCGAACGACGGGAGCTCACCCCGCCGCGGGGATTCGAACTGCCGACCATGCAATCGGCAAGTCCTAGGCGCTGAGGTTTTACCCACAGCGCCACCCGCGTCCCTCGCAACTCTTTTAGCACTTGGTAAATTTTAGGAACTTTATAGATTACAGTGGTACCTGCTAACCCAGAAATAATACCTCGGGTTAAGAACTTTGCTTCAGGATGAGAACAGAAATTGTGCTTTGGCGGCACGGCGGCAGCAGGAGGCCCCATTAGCTAAAGTGGTGCTTCAGGTTAAGAACATTTTCAGGTTAAGAACGGACCTCCAGAACGAATTAAGTACTTAACCTGAGGTACCACCTGAGGTAATCATTATCATCATATGCATGTTCTATTTACCACATAAAAACAAGGGGCACAGCCTTCTGCAAGGATCTTTTGTGCAAACCTCCTTGGTATAGAGGGGTTCTCAAAAACTCCTCTGGAACTTGCTAGCGCTCTTGTGCAGTTCACATTTGTTCCAGTGAGGAGATGGTGGATCATGTCCCCGATACTGACTACTAAGGTAACAGAATATCTTCTTTCCTGCATGCTCTGCACATATTTTCAGGGAGCTTGATTAGCACAAAGTTTGCCAATTTCCCCCAAATTTAAGTGGGATTTCTTTTTCACTTTCATAAAGTTGCTGAGTTTATTTTGAATGGGAGCCAATGAATGTGTCTGATACTGCTTAGTCAAACAACCCAACAATTTCCAAATATGGCTTCTTTTGTTGACATGCCTTGATTACGAGTAAGTGGTATAAGCAAACTGCCTCAAAAAGAAGTTTTCAGCATTGGAATTCAACACATGTGAGCTGTTGTTCTTCCCATGCCAGGAAAGTATGGAACAAATAAAATATACTGAATATAACTTTATTACAGAATCGAGCCAAATTATGCCTGTCCCAGCAAGAATTTACAAAAGCAAAACAGCTTCAGCTGGTCTGAGTCATGACTTTTGTGCATCTGGGGTTGTCACTACAATATTGTAGCATGTTTCTCTGGGGATACTTCTACCTGCAGTGCTTTGAGGGAAAGAATGTAGTTCATTGTGTGTATATGCGTGTTGTAGAAATATAGACCAAACTAAAAATCTCGAATTTCAAGGGGAGGCTTTTTTTATAGCCATTATAAAAGAAGCCATAGTATATACTCCTAGAGTCTCTCTTCTCAAAACTAAGCTTTAAACCTTCACATCAAGGTACCTGTGGAAGTGCAAATCACATCTAAATGCAGCTACTGTACACAGGAAACCAAGATCAAGTTCAAACGCATCTGGGCACATTTGAAAAAGAACTTTTTAAAGCAGTTTCAGTCTTCAAAGCTATCTCTCTCTCTCTATGGGAGGAGGGGATCTGAAAGTATTATGTACCTAATAAGGTGGACCAATTCAGTCATCTCCTCCAACTTTAAAAAAAAAAAAATTATAGAGAAGCCTTTCTTCCTTTGGGCCAGAAATCAAGACAGGATTTTGCCACTGTATTGTCTATCATTATAATCTGAAAGTGCTGGTACTGCTGCAGTATTCTGGCTACAAACTTTTAAAACTACATATATTTTCAGGAAATTAATGTGTACAGTATGATCTTCCATGATACCTGAGTACAAGTTGTCTACTTGGATGAATATTAAAATTTTCCAAAATCCTGAAAGCATTGTTCCTGACTTCATTTTGCAATAAACATGTGGTAATGGCCGTTTTCATTATGGCTAAACTTGAATGCAAAAGTGTGCAGCTATTCACAGCTTTGCTTCTCTTCCAGTCCTACTGCTTTCAGCTACGTCAAGATTTTGATCAGTCTTATGTCAAAACCTGGAGTTATACTTTGTCTCGCTAAGACATACTGTGAGTGGTAAGCTAAGGATGAACCTTGACTATAGCTCATGACTTGTCTGGAGCAAAACATTGAGCCTGACTACAGCCATAGGCAAAAGGTAAAGGACCCATGGGCAGTTAAGTCCAGTCAAAGGTGACTATGGGGTTGGGGCGCTCATCTTGCTTTCAGGCCGAGGGAGCCAGTGTTTGTCCACAGACAGCTCTCCAGGTCATGTGGCCAGCAGGACTAAACTGCTTCTGGCGCAACTGGACACCGTGACGGAAACCAGAGTGCACGGAAACGCCACAGCAGTACCAATTTATCTACTTGCACTGGCATGCTTTCAAACTGCTAGGTTGGCAGGAGCAGGGACAGAGCGATGGGAGCTCACCCCGTCATGGGGATTCGTATTATGTACAGACATAACACTAAGCGAAAGGAATCGCCATGAGACCTGCATGTACAGGGCGGTATACAAATTTAATAAATAATAAAATGAAACAAGGATTGAAAGGTATCCAATGTAACACCAATTTTAAAAAAGGGATCCTGGGAATTACAGGCTGGTTAGCTTCATCTGTCCCAGGAAAACTTGTGGAAAGTATCATTGAAATTTCAATAATTAGTAAAATACTGCTTAAATTAAAAAGTTTTGTAGCACTTTAAAACTGAGGGGAAACAGTAAAACTCTGAAGTAAAGCTTACTTAAATATGGTATAAAGTTGTACTTCAAAATGTTGTACAGGCAACTCCCCATTTTATGTGGGGGTTGTGTTCTGGGCCCCCATGACCATAAGTGAAATCACGTGGGGAGCACTCTCTAAACACCCTCTCTGCCACTCTCTCTTCAATCTATACCAAAAATAGTATATCCAAAAATATTCACAACCAGAACTGAAGTTGGAGGACGTGTGGGAAAGCGGTTGTTGCTGCTGCTGCTGCTGCACTACCCGCACATCAGCTGTTAGGCAGGGAGGTTGAGCAGCCTAAACAATGCCCGGCTGTGCCTCTGGTCTCTTTGGGTCTTCCTCTGCCCTCACTGACGGGTCTCCTCCAGGTCAGGTCTCCTCGCAAGTTCCAAGGACTCTCCAGCTCTCTTCTGCCATATTTGGGTATGAATTATTATTTCCCCATGCCATGTGTATATGTGATTGTGCGTGAGTAGAACATAATGGAGGGGATGTCTGCATTATAAAATCCATTTGGTTTGTGAATAGTTAACTTAATGAAGGGGAAAGGTGGGCAAGGTCACCTCCACAACTGAGACCTAAGGAATATAAGGTATAGGGTAATCTACAGCTGGCAACCTGCCAAGGAACAGCTAAGCTGATACCATTACTAAGGTGGTGACTAGGTCCCTTGAGAAATGTTCCATTATGTAGTTGACACTGGAGACCACTGCTTTTATAAGACACAGTATAATAATAAAAAAGGTTAAATTGCAATGTGGACTCTTGTCGACATTCCACTGGCACTCAGTGGGCCTCAGTTAAACCTCAATGAGCTGTCAGAGAGTAACCTTTGGTGAGAGGGATGTGCCTGAAGTGTACCAAAAGGCAGACACAGCCCTGTAGGAGTAAGCCTGGAGTTGGGAGAGGAAGCTGAGATCTGAGCAGCAGCAGCAAGCGGTAACTGTCCAAGGATGGAGAGGTCAGGGTGAACGTGAAACCCAGCTTGTAAGAAGAGTGGAAGCCAGATTGTCAGTGGTTCACAAGAAGCAGCGAGTTTCTGACCAAATGAAAACTTTAGGTTAAGTCCTATATAAAAATCTATGTGTTAACTAGGGAGAAGATACAGTGGTACCTCGGGTTAAGTACTTAATTCGTTCCGGAGGTCCGTTCTTAACCTGAAACTGTTCTTAACCTGAAGCACCACTTTAGCCAATGGGGCCTCTTGCTGCTGCCGCGCTGCTGGAGCACGATTTCTGTTCTCATCCTGAAGCAAAGTTCTTAACCTGAAGCACTATTTCTGGGTTAGCGGAGTCTGTAACCGAAAGTGTCTGTAACCTGAAGCGTCTGTAACCCGAGGTACCACTGTAATGGCAATTGCCTTAGACCAGGGAAAAGACATGGTTATTTTAAAGAGGTAACATTATAAAGCAAACATCAAAGTTTCATTTAACATCTAGCCTTGCAAATACATCCTATTATCAGATAATAATAATAATAATAATAATAATAATAGTTTGGCTTTTCAGTTTAAGCCTCCTGGCCTGTTTGTCCCATAGTCTAAACCCAGCTACTGTATGATATCTTAATAAGGGAGTATTTAGAACTAATTGGTGGCAGTGGAGATTTGTGGATGATGGGTGGTATACAAATTTAATGAATAATAATAATAATAATGAAGCAGGTGCTACTTTTGGCTCGAGAGCTTGTTACTCAGCTCCATTCTCTCCTGCTGTAAGTTGTCATAGAACTGCAAAGGTGGAAGGTCCAACCCCATCACAATGCAGGGGGGAGATGCAGCTGTCCCTTATGGGGGTCGAACCTTCAACCACCCGTCCTATCAGGCGCCCTATGGCAACCATCACTGAACCCAGGGCAAGATTTAGATTTGATGAGGCCCTAAGCTACTGAAGGTAATGGGGCCCTTTATATCTCCAGCTGTTCTTTGTCAACAACAAAGTGCCAGCTTTTTTGTGTTGAATATATGCTATTCATAGGAGCCTACACAGCACAAAACACTGTTGCTGTATGTAGGTTTTATTTTGTTTTTTATCTTATATTTTGGAAATGTACATCCAGGTTTTTTTCTTAAAAATTTTTTGGGGCCCCCATTTGGGGCCCTAAGCTATAGCTTGTTTATCTTATACGTTAATCCGGCACTGACTGAACCCCACGCTTTCTTCCATTTCCGTAAAAGTGCAGCTCGTGGCCACAGCCCTGGATTCTCCTCAGGAGATGTGGCAACAGGGTGTGTGTGTGTATACAGTATACATGGCTGAATCTGGGCTCAGAGCCTCCCTAGGCTGGGGCAGTGTATCCATGTACAGTGGTACCTCGGGTTGCATACGCTTCAGGTTACAGACTCCGCTAAAGTGGTGCTTCAGGTTAAGAACAGTTTCAGGTTAAGAACAGACCTCCGGAACGAATTCAGTTCTTAACCCGAGGTACCACTGTACACTGCCCCTGGCTAGGGAGGTTCTGAACAAGGATTCAGCCATTTTACACAAAGGGGGCAGCGGCGCCTTCTTCTCCCTTCCTGGTGGGGAACCGGGAATAATGAGGCGGAGGGGGAGGAAATGAACGAGAGACTCCGAGGAGCGCTCCGGGGCCGCAGCCTGAGCGCTTCCCCATGTCTGCGGGCCGCTCCTCCAAAGCGAATCGGGGACCCCCCCAGTCCCTCCGACGAGAGAGGGGGGCTGTTTCGGAAGAAGGCTTCCTGGGCCGCCCGGACGAGCCGCCAACTCCCCGCCCCGCCACCCAAGCGGCGGGCGGAGGCGGAACCTTCTCGCGCGGTCCGGGCGGGCGAGGGGACGCCTTTCGGCGCCGGGCCGCCTTCCGCCTCCTCGCCGCCCGCCATGGCGGTGGACATCACGCTGCTGTTCAAGGCGAGCGTGAAGACGGTGAAGACCCGCAACAAGGCCCTGGGGGTCCCGCTGGGCGGCGGCAGCGACGGGCCCCGCGACGACGCCCAGGCCCTGCTCAAGCGCGGCGGGCAGCGCGCCAAAGGCGACTTCTCCAGCCGCGCCCGCGAAGTGGTGAGTGGGGCTGGCGGGGGCTGCTTCTTATCTTGAGGCTGCGTTTGGCTATTCGGAAGCGAAGCAGCGGCACTCTGCACATGCTCGAAGGGCTCCTTCCTTCGCCGGTCGCCAGAGAGAGGGGTTGGAGTTCTGCTTGGGTAGGAGCTGGTGTGTTAAAAGAAAAGAAAGAGGGGTGGGAAGTACTGTATGTTGGAGCATATTCTTTGCGGGTCTGATCCTCTTGCATTCCCCACCCAGCCAGTGGTGACAGTGTAAAGGAGGATGGGGTGTTAATTGTTTATTTTTATACCGCCTTTTTAGCCCAATGGCCCCCAGAGTGGTGAACAACATTAACATATTATTACAAAAAAGTACAATACTGTACATAAAAACACATCTATCAAGACAATATAAAATAGCGGCAAGGTTTTCAATGGCCAACGTCGGGGTGTGTGGGGGGAGAATAGAGCAGCTTCAATAAGGTGCTATATATCAGAAGCAGTCTGTAAAACACTCCCGACACTAGCTGTGCAACCCAATACATACATGTCTGCCCAGAAGTAAACCCCACTAAAATCAAAGGGATTTAAGTTCAGGTATGTGTTTATTATGGGATTGCAACCTAAAGCACCTTGCAGAATAGGAGTGGGCTTTTGGAGAGTGAAAAACTCATACCCTTTGTGGCAATTGTTTTTCTTCATTGCTGAAGAAAAAGGAAACTTTTCACCTGCAACAGACTAATGTGTTCACAAAATATGTAAACGTTGTACTGCAACATTATGATAATGGGCATCTTGTTCAGTGGTTGAATTTAATATCAGTGATTTACATCACAGTCTTATTCATTTCTACTTGGAAGTCCCTCAGAGTCTATTGTGACCAACTGTAGAATAACTGTAGAGCAGGAGTGGCCAACTCCCAAGAGATTGCGATCTACTCACAGAGTTAAAAACTGGCAGTGATTACCCCATTTTTTGTGGTGCAGGACAAAAAAATTGAGCTTTTTTTAGGGGAGCCAAAGTTGTTGAGCTTCTTTGCAGGGAGCCAGTGATCTACCAGTGATCTACCACAGACGTCCAGTGATCTACCAGTAGATCACAATCTACCTGTTGGACATGCCTGCTGTAGAGTACAGTGGTACCTCGCAAGATGAATGCCTTGCAAGACAAAAAACTCGCTAGACGAAAGGGTTTTTTGTTTTTTGAGCTGCTTTGCAAGACGATTTTCGCTATGGGCTTGCTTTGCAAGACGGAAACGTCTTGCAAGTTTGTTTCCTTTTTCTTAAAACCGTTAATACAGTTGCGACTTGACTTCGAGGAGCAACTCATAGAACTCGGTGTGGTAGCCTTTTTTGAGGTTTTTAAAGACTTTGGTGCTTTTTGAAGCTTTTCCAAAACTTTTCCGACACCGTGCTTCGCAAGACGAAAAAAATCGCAAGACGACAAAACTCACGGAACGAATTAATTTCGTCTTGCGAGGCACCACTGTAACTGGATTACAGCAGAGCTTTCCAAACTGTGTGTCGCAACACATTAGTGTGTTGGCTGTTGTAGGTGTGTCGTGCGAATGCTCCCTGTGTTCCTCCCACGGCTAGAAAGGGGTTACTTTAACCTCCAGTTTGCTAGTAAAACTGAATTACTGTGTCATGAAATGATGCTTGTCTAAAAAGTGTGTCACCAACATGAAAAGTTTAGAAAGCTCTGATGTAGACTATGTTCTGCGTTCTGTTGGAGGCAGCAGTGCTTCCGAATGCCAGTTGCTGGAAACCACAGGAGGGGAGAGTTGCTCTTGGGCTCATGTTCTTTTTGCAGATTCTCCACAGGGATATGGTGGGCCACTGTGAGAACAGGACGCTGGACTGGATGGGCCATGGGCCTGATCCAGAAGGTTCCTATCTTCTAATGCAGAGCTTTCCAAACTGTGGGTCATGGCACATTAGTGTGCTGGCTGCAGTGTGTAGGTGTGTAGCATGAATGCTCCCCACACTCTTTCTGGGGATGGAAAGGGTTAGTTTAACCTCTGGCTTGCTTGTTTAGTCGTTTAGTCGTGTCCGACTCTTCGTGACCCCCTGGACCAGAGCACGCCAGGCACTTCTGTCTTCCACTGCCTCCCGCAGTTTGGTCAAACTCATGCTGGTAGCTTTGAGAACCCTGTCCAACCATCTTGTCCTCTGTCATCTCCTTCTCCTTGTGCCCTCCATCTTTCCCAACATCAGGGTTTTTTCCAGGGAGTCTTCTCTTCTCATGAGGTGGCCGAAGTATTGTGTCACAAAATGATGCATGTCCAAAAAGTGTGTCACCAACTTGAAAAGCCTGGTAAGCTCTGGATTGCAGTCTTAAACTGCTCTAAATGTATCTGAACCAACATGCCAAAATGCAGGTGTCTTGGATAAGATCAGGCTCCATTCTTGGAGCATGTGCATTTGCCTCCTTTTATCATGGATATCCCTGATTCAGTGGCAGGTGTAAATTGTGTGGAACAGAGCTTGCTGTCCTTGAATACATATGTATTTCTTTCAGTCTTGCCAGTGACAAGCTTATTGGCTCCTTGCTGTCTTACTAGAGACTGTTTCCACTCCCTCTATCCATGGGTAGGCAAACTAAGGCCCGGGGGCCAGATGCGGCCCAATCGCCTTCTAAATCCGGCCCGCGGATGGTCCGGGAATCAGCGTGTTTTTACATGAGTAGAATGTCCATTTTAATTTAAAATACATCTCTGGGTTATTTGTGGGGCATAGGAATTTTTCATTATTATTTTTTCAAAATATAGTCCGGCCCCCCCACAAGGTCAGAGGGACAGTGCAGCGGCCCCCTACTGAAAAAGTTTGCTGATCCCTGATACACTCCCATAGCCTGTTTCTACTTATGCAGTAGTAATAGCAGCTTCTGCCCCAATGATATGTGGACATTATCCACATATCATGCACTAGAGCAAAAGGGTCAGTACAAATGCATTAGAATATACAACTAAACTGTAATGATTATTTTACTACTAATACTGTATATGAATTTCTAATGACATCTTGTTTTATTTTGCCTGTAGCTGTGAACCATTAGAGCTGGGGGGGTTTCATAGTAGCAACAGTGGGCAGCTATTAACATTGACTAATGGGAAAGTGAAGTCCTAATTAGTTCAGTTCATAAAAACCTTTTCTTCCACAGTCCTCACCAGCACTCCAGTTTTGCTTAACTGTTAAGTGATGCATTTTAGTGTTCTAATAGTTAATGCTAACCACCAATATCTGTTGCTACAAAGCCTCCTTGGAATGTGTACATGTACCTGAGCTTACATTTTATTCTTCACACAAACTTCACATCACATCTATATATAAACCCTTGGAAGGCTGTTGATGTATATAAACCAGAGAAATTATCTCTGAAAATAAGGGCACCTTGTTAGCCTGGTATCTAGAATGCTTTTTTGCAGGGGAGAGGAGATTGCAAGTAACTTGCTTACCTCTTTTCTGAGGCGCTATAGACTGGTAAACTATATGTTTGTATGCAGAGAGCCCCATGTTTAATCCTTGGCATCTCCAGGTGGATGAATCTCCTGTAGGGGTTGGGCTCTGGAAGACCCGAAACCTTGTAGAGTTGCAGCTAGCTGTAGTAGAAAGTACTAGGCTAGATGTACTAGGAAGTACTGGGACTGATTCATCTGTTCTGAGCTGTATGGTGATCTTGTAAAATAGTTGAAATGTACAGCCTTATGAAGTGATACCCAAGCGCTAAACTACTGGACATTAGGTAGTTCTGATTAAAGTGGTCATTTGCTGCCAGAGTTGGTGTTGCAATAAAATAAAGTGAAGAGTTTACTGCAGCTATAAACTCAACTTGATTATGTAGACAGAGGATTCACTCAATTTTTTATTCTTCCTTTTTTTTTTTTTTGGTTATATTTGTGCCACTGCTTCTATTACCAGGCAGTAAAACTTGTAAATGTAAAACAAAGTTGAACGACATTTAAAGATCATCCTGTATTTCAGTGCTAGAGGGCTCTCAATTGTTGACTGACTACAATTGAGAAAATTAGTCAGGTTCCTACCAGAGTTATCATAGCATAATTTTACCTCCTGTAAATTTGCTCTCAAACATTACCAGCTTTCAAATGGCATGGGAAGAGACTTTGCCGCCTCTATGTCAGGTTTCTGTGCCTGATGCTTGCCTCGCGTAGGAACACAGGAAGGGGTGCACTTTTCCACCACTGCCTGTTGTGTTGGGTTCTATGCTGTACATGCAGGAGTGAGATATGCCTCCTCTACATCCAGCACAGAAAGGCAGTGAGATGGAAGTGGAGGGACAGAATGATTTGTCCCTTTGCTGCCAGCTTGCTTGGTTTCTGTGTGGACAGCGAGAAGGCAAAATGCCCCCCCTCCGTGGCTAGCATAGAAACACAGTTGGTTGCCGGGGGGGGGGGTGAGTTGAGCGCTCCAAACCTCTTCTGGCAACTTCCTTGCTTGCCTGGATGCGGTTCTTAGTTGCCTGTGGCGACCAGGCAAGTGGTTAAAACAATGATGGGGTAAACCAGAAACACTGTCTATTGCAGCATGCTTTGCATTTACAAAGTTTATTTTAATTGGTGACCGTTATAATTAAGAGCAGGGGAAAGAGAACATGCACGTCTGCAGCGTAGGTTAAGTGTTAATCAACTCTGCAGTTTAGAGAAATTCATCTTGGACATTAGGAACTTAAAATGGTTTCATCTTTCAGTTTGCTTTTAATGAGAAGCTAGCTCTTTTAAATCGGGCTCATAGCTGAGGTTATAGGACAACTAGTTCTTCCTCATGTAACAATTTAAATAGAAACTCATTGATACTAGTATATACAGTATTATACTTATAGTTTATACAGTATTACCGTATATTTACACGCATCTATTTTAAATATTGAACTAATTCCCAGATCATGTAGCACAAGTTTTATTTTTGCAGAAAAATAGCAAATAAACAATATGAAAAGTTATGTTTATGTCAGAAACTAATTTAAAACTAAAGAGCATGCCTTATTTAATAGTAGATTAAGTTCCAGACCAGTTAATAGTCCCTTGGGGAGTGCATCTGAAGTCAGCCAAGTAGGATGTGTGTACAGGACAAGCAGTTCGAAATGCTAAGTTTAGTCTAGTAATATATCTATCTCTATCTCTATCTCTATTTCTATCTGTATATAACAAGTAGCATTGATATATAAAAAGTGAGGTTTGGATAAGCAGGGTTGCTGTAGCTATGAGCTGCCTCTCTGAGGTGACATTTACCAGTTTATCTCTCACAGGTTAAATAGTATGTTGCTGAACACTGATACCAAGAGGCTAAGGATTTTTATATGCCTCTTTTCTAAAATATGTGCCATGTAGACAAAATTTTATTTGTTTGTTTATTACACTTAATGTGAATAATTGTACAAACAATATGAATACACTACAAATGTAAACTACTTTTAATCCCATTCAGTTGTCACAGCTCCCAGACTTCTTCTTTCCATGATTGGATAACTCCCCACTGCCTTTTTTGTTTATATTGGTCTGAGTAAGAGGCAGAATAGTGACAGAATGAAAACTTGTTGAATGTTAACTAGATTCGCCTTCTGTGTTTGTTCTTTCGCAGTTTTGGTATTGTAATAAATATAGGGGTTGCTCGTGCGTAAGTTGGTGCCACTCCTGGCTAGGTTGCCTTGTTAAACCTTTTCTGTCTGGACAGCCCTTCACTTCGTGGCTGTTTCAGTCGCTAGCAGAATCCGTCAGTGGGCGTTTCTTAAACCTTTTCCAGCATAAAAGCTGTTTGACGCCAAGTCTCCTCCTACTCTCCCTGCGCGGAAGTCTTCTGCGTAGGGAGGGTGTGGGTAGCAGAGGACCCGTACTCTCCCCGCTGGTCTCCGGCGAGGAGTCCTGGAGCCCCCTCGCCGATTCCCCCATCTCCCTGGTGTTACGCTGATTTCCTTCCCCAGCTGATGAGCTGCCTCTCTCCCTGCTGGGCCCTTCTCCAGCATCGCTTGGGAGCCTTGCCTCCACCTCTAGCTCCAATGTCAGTTCCCTGACATCCACCTCCCCCCCAGGACCCCCTCCCCCCCCGGACCGACCTTTTGATCCAACTTTGTCCCTTTCCTCGGCCGACGATGCGGGAAATCCCCGGAAGGAGCTGTCGCCATCCTCTGAGGATTCAAAACCCGCTCCCCACCCGCTCCGATCTCTCCCCGCGGGGTGGGCCTCCCAGTCTGATTCTTCTTCCTCCGAAGCCTCTCCTCCCTCCTCTTCGGAGGCAGAAAAACCCACAAAATCCTCTTCATCGTCTGTGGTTCCAAATTGCTCCTCCCAGAATCTCGCTAGTGGTTTTGGTTTGTCCGGGAACAGGCTGTGGAATTCCTCCACAAGATACCCGTCATTGATTGCCTCCGCGGGAACCCACGTGTTTTCCGACCCGGGTTCTCCCTCCCAAGCTACCAAATACTCCACCTGGCGCCCTCGCCACCATGAATCGAGTATTTCCGTGGCCAGGTTGTGGTGTTCCCTCTCCTCTATCTGCGGGTGTGTGGTGACTTCTCCCTCTCGCCCCGGGAATTCCCGCCCCTCCCTGTACGGTGAGAGTAGGGACCTATGGAACACCGGGTGTATCTTCATGCTGTCAGGCAACTTGAGCTTGAATGCCACGGGGTTCACCTGCTGTGTTACCTCAAACGGTCCCAGCCGCCTTGGCTGCAACTTCTTGCACCCCCCCTTAAAAGGTAACCCTTGAGTTGACAACCACACCCGGTCCCCCAACCGTATGGTCTCCCCTTCCCTACAGTGCTTGTCTGCCTGCCTCTTGTAAATTTCCTTGGCCCGTTCTAAGTTCATCTTAAGTTGCTGGTGCAGGGCCTCCATTTCTTCCACAAACTGCTCTGCCGCAGGTACACTCCACCCTTCCTCCCCACTCCCCGGGAAGGCCCTGGGGTGACACCCATAATTGGCCATGAACGGGCTCATTCCCGTGGACACATGTTCAGCGTTATTGTACGCAAATTCAGCCAGCGCTAGTTTCTCTACCCAATCGTTCTGCCTCTCGCTGACGTAGCAGCGTAGGTATTGCTGGAGTATACTGTTCGCTCTTTCTGCTTGTCCGTTGGTTTCCGGATGTCTCGCCGTCAAGAAGCTCACCTCTACCTGCAGCAAGCTCATGCGCTTCCTCCAGAACCGGGAAGTAAATTGTTTCCCGCGATCCGAAATTACCCTCGATGGAGCCCCATGCAACCTGAAGATGTGATCCACAAACAACTTGGCTGTCTCCTCTGCTGTCACCGCATGTGAGCAAGCTATGAAATGGCACATCTTCGTCAGTAGATCGACTACTATCATGACTGCTGTCTTCCCCTTGGACTTGGGCAAATCTGTCATAAAATCAATGGACACCACCTCCCAGGGTTTTCCCGGCGTGGGTAAGGGTTCCAGTAACCCTGCGGGGGCAGCCCTCTCCCCCTTTGCCCTTTGGCAGCGGTCGCACCCCCGTACATATTCCCGTACATCCTCCCTCACCTTTGGCCACCAGAACTGCCTGGTGACGAGCATCATGGTTTTGTGCTGTCCACAGTGCCCAGCTGTGGGGTTGTCGTGGAGTTGTTTGAGTACCTTCCCCCTCAGGGTCTCCCCTGGTACGTACAGCGCCCCCTTATAGTACAGCACCCCTTCCTTTTCCTCAAACCCCCCATGGCTTTCTCTTCCATCTCGGAGTTCCCGGATTTTAGTTTGAGCGAACACGTCGTTTCTCGTAAGCCCGGCCCGTTCTCGTTTCCCAACCAAGGCTCCCCCACACACCCATCGGTCCTCGGGGATCACGTGTCATATCTCCGGCGGTCCCTCTCCTTCCATGTACTCCGGCTTCCGGGAGAGAGCATCTGCTCTTACGTTTTCCTCTCCTGGCACATATCGTATCTCGAAGGAAAACTTGGAGAACTCCTGTGCCCATCGAATCTGTACCTGGTTGAGTACTCGCGCGGTCCTCCAGTATTCCAAGTTCTTGAGATCAGTACAAACCTGGATCTTGTGCTGCGCCCCTATTAGCAGATGTCTCCATCGGCGAAACGCCGCATAGATCGCCAGCAGTTCGCGGTCATACACCGTATAGTTTTGCTCCGACTTGCTCAGCTTCCTCGAGAAAAAGGCACACGGCTTCCAGTCCTGCTTGCTCCTCCCTGGCTGCAAAAGAACCGCCCCAATGGCTCTGTCGGACACGTCGGTCTCTAGCCTCATGGGTTTCTCCAGATCAACGTGCAGGAGCTGCTCTTCCGAAGCGAACGCCTTCTTCAGTCTTTCAAAGGATTGCTGGGCACTTTCTGTCCAGACGAACTTCTTTTTGCTACTGAGACAATCTGTGATGGGCGCTGTCAAGTGGGCGAAGTTCTTGATGAACTTCCTGTAGAAGTTGCTGAAGTTGCTGAAGTGAAGGCAGTGAAGGTCCTGTGTGAGTGCCTGGAGGCGGTTGGAGGTTGGATGGCGGCTAACAGATTGAGGTTGAATCCTGACAAGACAGAAGTACTGTTTTTGGGGGACAGGAGGCGGGCAGGTGTGGAGGATTCCCTGGTCTTGAATGGGGTAACTGTGCCCCTGAAGGACCAGGTGCGCAGCCTGGGAGTCATTTTGGACTCACAGCTGTCCATGGAGGCACAGGTCAAATCTGTGTCCAGGGCAGCTGTTTACCAGCTCCATCTGGTACGCAGGCTGAGACCCTATCTGCCTGCGGACTGCCTCGCCAGAGTGGTGCATGCTCTGGTTATCTCCCGCTTGGACTACTGCAATGCGCTCTACGTGGGGCTACCTTTGAAGGTGACCCGGAAACTACAACTAATCCAGAACGCGGCAGCTAGACTGGTGACTGGGAGCGGCCGCAGAGACCACATAACACCAGTCTTGAAAGACCTACATTGGCTCCCAGTACGTTTCCGAGCACAATTCAAAGTGTTGGTGCTGACCTTTAAAGCCCTAAACGGCCTTGGTCCAGTATATCTGAAGGAGCGTCTCCACCCCCATCGTTCTACCCGGACACTGAGGTCCAGCACAGAGGGCCTTCTGGCGGTTCCCTCACTGCGAAGCCAAGTTACAGGGAACCAGGCAGAGGGCCTTCTCGGTAGTGGCGCCTTCCCTGTGGAACACCCTCCCACCAGATGTCAAAGAGAACAACAACTACCAGGCTTTTAGAAGACATCTGAAGGCAGCCCTGTTTCGGGAAGCTTTTAATGTTTGATGTATTATAGTATTTTAATATTCTTTTGGAAGCCGCCCAGAGTGGCCGGGGAAGCCCAGCCAGATGGGCGGGGTATAAATAATAAATTATTATTATTATTATTATTATAACCCTAGGAACCTCTGCACGTCCTTCCGGGTTTTGGGGGCCTTCCATTCCAGCACCGCCTGCACCTTGCTTGGGTCCATAGCTAGGCCTTTGTCTGACAACTTGTACCCCAGAAACTCGACTTCCCTGGCGTGAAACTGACATTTTTCCAGCTTGACCCACAACTGGTGCTTCTGCAGTCTCTTTAGCACTTACCTGACGTCTCTGACATGTTGCTTCTCATCGTCCGAATAGATTAAGACGTCGTCCAAGAAGGCTACGCAGTTCTTGTACAGCAGGGACCCCAACATGTGGTGCATGAAAGCTTGAAAACAGGCGGAGCCCGACTGTAATCCAAATGGCATAACTAAGTACTCAAAGGCCCCCAGGGCTGTGAACATTGTGGTCTTCCATTCGTCCCCCTCCATCATCCTAATCAAATTGTATGCTCCCCTGAGGTCCAGCTTGGTAAAAATTTCCCCCTGCCTCACCCGTGTTAAAATGTCGTCAATCCTGGGCATTGGGAAGGTCACGGGTTCTGACACCAAGTTGACGGTCCGGTAGTCCACAACGAGCCTGGGTTGATTAGTGTCTTTTTTGTCCACAAAGAACACCGGACTGCCCCCCACCGCCTTTGATTCTCTTATGAAACCTCTTTTCAGGTTCTTGTCAATAAATTCCCGCAACTCCTTCATCTCCCTGTCCGACATGGCATACAGTTTACCCACCGGCAGCTGCGCCCCTGGGAGCAAGTTGATTTGGCAGTCAAAGGGCCTATGGGGTGGTAGTCTATCCGCCTCCTTCTCGCTGAAGACCTCCTGCAGGTCAGCATATTGTGGTGGCACCTCCCCTTTCGGCTCCACAGCTATCCCAGCCACCCTGGCCACAGTCATTCTTGGGGTTTCCCCCCCTAGACAGTGTTCCAAGCAGTAAGCTGACCCAAAGGTGACCGTCCGCTGATGCCATGCCACTACTGGATCATGTAGTGCCAGCCAGCTCATCCCTAATATTATTGGGGGTCCTGCCAGTGTGGCTACGTGAAAGGCAATGGTCTCCGTGTGCTTGGAAACCCTCATTCTCATTGGTGGGGTCTGGTGCGTCACTTCCCCTCCCAGAAGCTCCCTGCCATCAATGGTGGTCACTTGCAAGGGAAAATCCAGGGGCAGCAGGTGGAGCTGGTGCTCTAGGACGAAGTCCTTGCTGAAGAAATTGCAGGAACTGCCTGAATCCAACAGCCCCTTCACCTTGACTGGGTGCCCATTCGGGAGTTCTAGCACCACTTCTATGGCTATAGCCGCCCTGGGGGGGGTCTGGCTGGGGCACTTCTATTGGTTGCTGGCCTGGCTGCTGTGCCCGCTGAGTGGCAGCCAAGCGTTGGCGTTTCCCTGCTCCTGCCCCCTTTCCCCCTCCTCCTCACCTCCAGCAGCTCCCACCATCCCTTGCCAGGCCTTTCTTTGAGGGCAGACCCTGGCAAAATGTCCTGGCCGCTGGCAGAGGAAACACTTCTTGGTGGTTTTCCAATCCTTTCCCTCCCTCTTGTGACCTTCACTGGAGTTTGAAACCTCCCGCGCGTGCGCGCCATCTATTTCCATTGGCTCCACCGGCGGGGAAGGCTGCCTCAGTATTTCAGGAATGCGGTAGTCATGGCAACGTTCCCCTCTCCCTTCGCGCTTCTCCTGAGCCCGTGCTTCCTGTCTTACGCCAATCGCAAGCACGGCCTTGGTCAGCTGATCCATCGACTGCGGGCGTGGCGCACGGGAAAGCTCGTCCTTCACTGTTGGGGACAACCCCTCCTCAAACAACATCTGAATGGGTTCAGAGTCCAATTCCCACCTGAGTCGGTGGACTAACATGGCAAAGCACGACCAGTAGTCTCTAACTGACTGGTTCCCCTGTTTACACCCCATCAGTTCCCGCCAAGTCACACTTTGTTGCACATCACTGGAATACATCGCATCCATCGCCTGGAAGAATTTCCTCAGGTCTTTCAAGGCGGCATTCTGCATTGCCATTAGGGGCCTGATCCATTCACTGGCCCCATCCTGCAGATGCCCGACAGTGTAGGCCACCCTCTCCCCATCGTCCGCAAAATCCTTATGCTGCAGTTCCAAAGCGTACTCTATTTCCATTCTGAACGCGTTGTAGTCCTGGGGCTTCCCCCCAAACTTGTGTACCAGTCCCGGTACCTTCCTTGCTACGGGGGTGGGTCTGACCTGTGCATCGTGAGCCCGCCTTTCTTCCAACCGCGCCGTCAGAAGAGCCACATGCTGTTCCAAATCTCGGTTCCTCTCCACCAGATTTTGCACTCCAGCTGCTCCCTCCGTGGCGCCGGCTTCTCCGGTTTGGCTCATTATGCTGCCTGCCTGTCGCTGCGCACAAGCAACGTCAGAGACTGACGGATTGCTGTAATAAATATAGGGGTTGCTCGTGCGTAAGTTGCCGCCACTCCTGGCTAGGTTGCCTTGTTAAACCTTTTCTGTCTGGACAGCCCTTCACTTCGTGGCTGTTTCAGTCGCTAGCAGAATCCGTCAGTGGGCGTTTCTTAAACCTTTTCCAGCATAAAAGCTGTTTGACGCCAAGTCTCCTCCTACTCTCCCTGCGCGGAAGTCTTCTGCGCAGGGAGGGTGTGGGTAGCGGAGGACCCGTACTCTCCCCGCTGGTCTCCGGCGAGGAGTCCTGGAGCCCCCCTCGCCGATTCCCCCATCTCCCTGGTGTTACGCTGATTTCCTTCCCCAGCTGATGAGCTGCCTCTCTCCCTGCTGGGCCCTTCTCCAGCATCGCTTGGGAGCCTTGCCTCCACCTCTAGCTCCGATGTCAGTTCCCTGACAGGTATCCTGGATTTCATGTCTATTTTTTAATATGTGTCCTAGTCAGACTTCAAAATAATTTAAGTATTCTTCATGGGAATACATTAATTCAGACATTTTTCATTTCCTAAATAATTTTTTTCTTTTAGAAGACATCTGAAGGCAGCCCTGTTTAGGGACGTTTTTAATGTCTGAAGTTTTATTCTGTTTTTAATGTTCTGTTGAAAGCTGCCCAGAGTGGCTGGGGAAACCCAGCCAGATGGGTGGGATAGAAATAAATTATTATTATTATTGTTATTATTGTTATTATTATTATTAATATTATTATTCATTGGGACCTTAAGAGTATTAACATCTGATAAATAAGTGTCTTAGAATAATTGTTGTGCTCCTTTAATTAATGTAGAGAAACTGGTCCCCATTGTGTTAATTCTGTTTCTGGAGCTAAATTGCACAATTATTTCAAATATGACTGGGTGGCTTTTAGGGGTTCTTGAAATGTCCATGCTGTTGTTTTGAAGTTAATTTTATTGAGGGGATTGTGGAGACAAAGCCTTTCCCTACTAGATAGTCAATAGTTTCCCCTGGAAATTTCATTACAGTTCTTGTTCTTGAATTGGGTGCATCTTGATGGGGATGGCAGCCAATACAGGCATGTTCTCCTTTGCGCTGGACATGGGACTGTGCTTCCCCTTTTCGTAATGGCTCCTTCACTTTTGCGGTAATAACAAACAACTGAGGACAGCAAAGTAACATGAAAGAGAAGCATGAAAACAATTTAATGATTAGCACCGAAACGAATATTTAATTAAAATAAAAGCCATGCCTAAAAGCCTTAATGCTGACTTTTGGAAACCGAACCATGCTGTGGTATTTGGAAAGCCCAATGTCCTGTACAGTAGATATTCCAAATTGCTTGGGAACTGGAGCTTACGTTTGCAAGCTTGGAATGTCCTGCGGATAATTAAGTTGTGGTCAGGCTTTAGAAAAATACAAAGTTCTCAAACTATGATTTTATAAACATGCTGCAATAACATTTCTTTATATTTAACAGTTTCGTATAGAAAGCTGATACTCTCACAAGGCATTGATTAAAGGTAAAACATCAAGAAAGGAAAAATATTAAATTAAAACTTCAGTTAGGATGTTGACAGTTGGCTTGTAATATTAAACAGATGTGCGTGTTCTTGGGATATTCTTCTTTCAAAGCCTTGTTGCCAAGATTAAAAAAAAAGACAGCTACATGATTTTTTATTAATGTTTAATTCCCTTTTACTTTAGATTCTCTTTTGCCTGGTTCAGTTCCTTTGGATGCTGAGATTTTAAGAAGGTCTTTGTATAATTCATTTTAGATCAGAACACATGAGATTGTGCCCATTATTTAAAATTCTGGTTTAGAAAGTTTTCACTTTTGCTTTGCATGTTAAATTCATTATTTATGTAATTGATATGTATGTGGGAGCAGAATTCGATCCACTTAGATCCATGCTGATTAGAAGTAGTTTATAATAGATAACAGAAAATCATTAAACTTTTCTACATTGAATTGTAGTTCAGTATAGTGCTGCTTCTTTTTTAATTGTGAGAAAAACACTAGGAAATAATGTGATCAATTACAGAACTTCTTTTTGGAACAACTAGTGTTTAACTCGGTATATTTTTGCTTTTTATCCGTGGCTTTATTTTAAATATTATGTTATACCATGAAGTCCCAAGAGCTACTTAGAGAAGGAGATTGCCAATGGCACTCTTAACTTCTTTTTCTTCCAATAGTTGACACCCGCATGTTATACCACAACTTCATTTTTATGATGTTTTGATTATTTTATCATATACCACTGTGACATTTTATAAATCTTCTTATAAATAAATAAAATAAACTGCTTTAAATCCTCTGTCTTAAAAAAAGTCTGCCATGTAAAACACAAGTCTGAAGCCTCCATGAGCTCAGCATGTTCTTTGGCACCTGACCCTGGCATCTAAGGATAGTTGTAGACAACTATCTACCAAGCTGTTTTTGTTTTAGCAGATATAGATAAAGTTAATTTCAACAGCTAGCTAGACATTGCCAGATATCAGGGCTACATGGAGACCTTCCTGGGCACTTTGTTGTTCAGTGCCTTTCTAAATGACTTGGATGAAGGAATTGAGGGGATGTCCATCCAATTTGCAGATGACACCAAACTGGGAGGATTCAAGATGACCTTAACAGGCTGGAGAACTGGAACAAAACTAATAAAATGAATTTCATTAGGGACAAATGTATGGTTCTGCAATTAGGCAGGAAGTATCAGGTGCACAAATATAAGATGGAAGAACCAGGCTTACTAGTAAGTAATACATGTGGAAAAGGTGTAGTGGTCTTAGTGGACCACAAGCTTAACATAAGTCAACAAAAAGTGAATGCTCTTCTAGGCTGCATCAACAGAAGTACAGTGGTACCTTGGTTTCCAAACTTTATCAATCCGGGAAGTATGTTCCAAAACCAAAGCGTTCCAAAACCAAGGTGCGCTTTCCCATAGAAAGTAATGCAGAATGGATGAATCTGTTCCAGACTTTTAAAAACAACCCCTAAAACAGCAATTTAACATGAATTTTACTATCTAACAAGACCATTGATCCATAAAATGAAAGCAATAATCAATGTACTGTACTATAAAATAAATAAGACAGTATTGTAGATGATAAAAATTAAAATTATTTTTCCCCCTTACGTGCACTGATCATTGTTTGGATAGGGGAGCTTTTACCCATTTCTGCAGTCACACAATCAATCAGTAGCTGAACTGGGTTCCACACAGTCACAAGTCAGTACCATAAAACGAAGGACAAGTCACAGTAAAAAAACCCGAAAAAGCCACACAAACAAAAGCGCAAATTTTTTTTTAGCAAAAACAAAAGCTCCAAATATTACCTCTGTGTTGCGTGGGTGCTCAGGACTAAACAGCTGACAGACTCAACAGGAAGCCTTTGATAAGCAGTGGGGGACTCAATTTACAAACGGAACACACTCAACAGGAAGCGGAACATGTTCCGCTTCCAAGGCAAAGTTCACAAACTGGAACACCTACTTCCGAGTTTGCAGCGTTCTATTTCAAAGTTGTTCATAAACTAAGCTGTTCTAAAACCAAGGCACCACTGTATAGTGTCCAGATCAAGAGAAGTAATAATACCACTGTATTCTTTCTTGGTGTCAGACCACATCTGGAATACTGTCCCCAGTTTTGGGAACCACAATTTAAGAAGGGTATTGACAAGTTGGAATGTGTGCAAAGGAGGGCAAAAAGGATGGTCAAGGTTCTGGAAACCAAACCTGATGAGGAATGGTTGAGGGAGTTGGGTATGTTTAGCCTGGAGAAGGAGAGACTGAGAGGCGATATGATAGACATTTTCAAATATCTAAAGGGTTGTCGCATGGAAAATAAAGTGAGCTTGTTTTCTCCTGCTTTGGAGGGTAGGATTCGAACCAGTGGAGTCAAGTTACAAGAAAGGAGATTCTGACTAAGCACCAGGAAGAACCTTCTGGCAGTAAGAGCTGTTCAGCAGTGGAACAGTCTCCCTTGGGAGGCTGTGGACTCTCCGTCCCTGGAGGTTTTTCAGCAGAGGTTGGTTGGGCATCTGCCATGGATGCTTTAGTTGAGATTCCTGTGTTGCAGGGGGTTGGACTAGATGACCCTTGGAGGCACCCTCCAACTCTTTGATTGTATGATTCTAAGTTACTGCTTGGTAAATAACCACCTGTATGCTCCATGAATTGACTGCAGTGGCAATGGCTATGGAGAGTAGACCCATTGAAGTTAATTGACATGACTTAGGTTTTTTAATTTCACTGGGTCTGTGGCGAGTAAGACTTAGTTGACTACAACCTCATGTGTTCAACATCAATTTCTTGTTTCCTGTTTCAAAATTATATTTTTGTTAAATTTTCAAATGTACATATTCCACTGTAAAATACAAAACGTTAAATCCAACAACTTTCGTTCTTCTCCTTCCATGGTTCCTTTATACTTCAAAAATATACTGCATATTCCATGTCAACCATCTACTTTGCCCCTTTTATATAATATTAATTTAAATGAGACTGTTGAATTTATATTATTCCCCCTAGCATTTTCACTTGCTTACTCCACACATATTTTCCATTCCTCTTTATACACTCAATCTTTTTGTTTTCTTACCCTGCTGGTTAGGCCTGCTAGCTCTGCATATTCCCTCATTTTTAGCTGCCAATTTGGGACCTCTCCCACCTTCCATTTTTGAGCTAACAAAATCCGATCTGCTGTCATTGCATACATAAATAACCTTTTCTGACCCCTGGGTACCTCTGTCTGTACCATTCCTAAAAGGAATGCCTCTTTGAGGGGGGTGGGTGTTGTTTTAAACAGTTGTTTCATTTAGTATAAATTATTTCCAAGTATAGTGGTACTTCGGGTTACAAACACGGGCTGCAAGCTCCGCTAACCCGGAAGTAGTTGCTCCGGGTTGCAAACTTTGCCCCAGGCTGAGAATGAAAAGCACGTGGTGAAGGCGTGGCGGCAGCGGGAGGCCCCACTAGCAAAAGCGCGCCTCAGGTTAAGAATGGTTTTGGGTTAAGAATGGACTTCTGGAACGAATTAAGTTCATAACCTGAGGTACCACTGTAGCCCTTAACTATTCTACATGACCACCACATATGATGAAATATTCCTTCTGCTTCTTTACATTTGCAACACCTATCTGTTTCAGTTTTATACATCTTTGCTAATTTACTTAGAGTTAGGTATCATCTATAAATCATTTTCATATAGTTCTCCTTTAATGTATAACATGCAGTAAATTTTAAGTCAGTCTTCCACAGTTTCTCCCAGAAGTCGAATTCTATGTTATACCGTATATCTCTGCCCAATGTATCATTGATGATTTAACCAGCTCGTCTTTTGTTCCCCAGCCTAATAATAATCTATACATTTTAGATAATACTAATAATTCTAATAATTCACTTTCAGATTGTGAGCTTTGCTCCATAAAACCACATTTTTTATCCAACTTAAACTTTTCATTTAGTTGGTAATACTGCAACCTGTCTGTCCCTAGGTTCTTTAATTTTTTCCCACGTCTTCAGTTTGATTTCTCTCTCCGATAAGTCCAGTAAATCTCTATATATTGCCCATTGTCTGTCCATATTGGTCTTCTTCAATGCTATAGCTTCTATTGGTGATAACCACAAAAATGTTCCCCTCTCCAACAGATTTTTATATTTCTCCCGGACTCTGTAGGTATTCCTTCTTACCACATGGTTCTAGAAGTTCTTCTATATACAGTGGTGCCTCGCAAGACGAAATTAATTCGTTCCGCAAGTCTCTTCGTCTTGCGAGTTTTTCGTCTTGCGATGCACGGTTTCCCATAGGAATGCATTGAAAATCAATTAATGCGTTCCTAGGAAGCCGCCTTCAGACCAGGTCCGGGGACAGTCTGTCCCCGGACCTCTTCTGAAGGCTGGGGGAGCAAGGGCTTTTCTTCCCACCCCCAGCATTTTAAAACCCCGGGACAGCGGAGGACTTCTCCGCTGTCCGGGCGATCTTAAAATGCTGGCGGGCGGCATTTTAAAATCACCCCGGGACAGCGGAGGACTTCTCCGCTGTCCGGGGCAATTTAAAGCCCCTGGGAAGGCAGGCAGGGGGACAAAGACTTTTGCCCCCGCCAGCCTTCAGAAGAGGTCCTGGACCTCTTCTGAAGGCGGGCGGGGGCGAAAGTCTTTGCTCCCCGCCTTCAAAAGCCCTCCGGGACAGGCAGGCAGGGGGAGCAAAGACTTTCGCCCCCGCCCGCCTTCAGAAGGTCTTCCCTCCCCCCGCCCGGCGGCGGAGCACCGTCCCGACGCCGGGCGGCGGCGGGAGGTGTTCCCCCCCCCCCGCCCGGCTCGGAGCACCGTTCCGAAGCCGGGCGGCGGGGGGGAGGTCTTCCCTCCCCACCGCCCGGCTTCGGAGCACCGTTCCGAAGCCGGGCAGTGGCGGGAGGTCTTCCCTCCCCCGCCCGGCTCGGAGCACCGTTCCGAGCCGGGCGGCGGCGGCAGGTGTTCCCTCCCCCGCCCGGCCCGGAGCACCGTTCCGAGCCGGGCGGCGGCGGCAGGTGTTCCCTCCCCCGCCTGGCTCGGAGGAGCCTTCCGAAGCCCGGCGGCGGGGGGGGGAGGGGTCCCCGCCCCCCCCCCACGCTGCGGGGGAGGGCCCAGGACAGTGGGGAAGACGCGCTGCGCTTCCCGCTGTCCCTGAGATTTCCCTATGGGCTGTCGTCTTGCGAAGCAAGCCCATAGGAAATTCGTTATGCGAGCGCCTCCAAAACGGAAAACCCTTTCGTCTAGCGGGTTTTCCGTCTTGCGAGGCGTTCGTCTTGCGGGGTACCACTGTATATATTAGCATTTCCATACCATAAACACGGGTGCCAGCCAAAATTAATACCATGACCTTCCAAATCTAATAGGTGGTTTTTTAAATAGCAAAATTCATTCCTTTAACCAACATAAACATGCCGCCTCCTAATATAATTGTAAATTGGCAATTTCTTATTTAGGCACATATCTTCTGATTACAAGTTGAGCATAAACAGTCATAAGTTATGTTGTAACTCATTCTGCTTTTTGTAAATCTCTTTGAGTTTTTTTTCTTTTTACAATCAAGCGGAATATAAATTTTCTGAAATAGGATAAATATACTTTTACAGTTTGAAGCCATTATGCCTGACTGTGGTTAGTTAGATTGTTTGATATTATATTATCCCTGGCCTTGAAAATTGCAGTGGTCTTTAGGAGTGATCTGCCGTTCATGAAATCAGGCTTAGTATAACTATTCTGGAATGTAAAACACCCCTTTCCCCCTTTTGTATTGAGGATAAATCATGATGAAATCTTTCTCATTTCCCTGTTTTCTTCCCATTATAATGTATAATGCAAATAATTTTCTCTGAATTTTAAGACCTGATCCCTATGAATTGTATACAAGTGGTTTCAATTCAAGGGGAAGAATGAAGAAATAGGGCATATAAATAGATTTCTTTCCTATGAAAACACATGCATAGTCTCAGCTTGTTTGTTTATGAGCCCAGTTTGCATTGTGTCTCCCCATGTTGGTTTGCTTTTTTTTTTTTTTTTTTTGCCACTTGAGAATGCAGGGTGAGGGTCATTTGATTTAATGTTCCTCTGTATTAAAATAAACCACTGTCTATTGAAAACTCAGTGACGGAGTGTGACAGATTTCAATTCTACCTTTCCCCCTGACATACACATTGTCTGTGTGTAGGAATCAACTCCTCCTGTAGTTTTCCAACTAGCTTTGTAGAATGAAGACCCAAAGCATGCCTTGTGGGGTGTGGCTGCTATTCCATTTTATCCTTACAACAACCTTATGAACTGGATTCATCTGAGAGATGGAGTTTGGCCCAAGATCACCCAGTGAACTACATGGCCAAGCAGGGTTTGACCTGTGAGTCTCTTTTCCAAGTCCCATTTTCTGAGTATTGCACCATAGTGGTTCAGTTTTATTTGAAACTTGTTTGGATGGTATAAGAAAAAGCAAAGTGTACTCTTTTGAATAAACAGTTCTTTTGCTTCTGTACAGTGGTGCCCCGCAAGACGAATGCCTTGCAAGGCGAAAAACCCGCTAGACGAAAGGGTTTTCTGTTTTTGCGTTGCTTCGCTAGACGGATTTCCCTATGGGCTTGCTTCGCAAGACGAAAACGTCTTGCACTTTTTTTTTAAAGCCGCTTGAAGAGGCGCAGTTGCGACGGACCGTGCTTCACAAGACGAAAAACATCGCAAGACGAAAAGACTCGCGGAACGAATTCTTTTCGTCTTGCGAGGCACCACTGTATTTTGTCAGGCTGCAGAGGGTACTTCTGTATTGCCATATCTGCATAGTAAAATGGGAGTGACATTGTAGGGTGTTTGCTCAGTTAATTATAACATCAATTAAGAGTGTGTGTGGTTGCAGTAGTTCATTGTTAGATATATGACCCTCCTGCTAAAATAGAAGACATCACACGATTCTGTGTGTATGTATGTTGAATGACGTGTTCAGGGTTTTTTAATGCAATTTTGAAAATATGCAAGATGTAGCAATTAACCTACATGTACGTATATAATACTAGAAAATGGGCAACTTATTATATTCAAAGACAGGATCTGATAGGCTCAAATTGCTTAAAACATCAGTTATTGAAGATCTACCCAGGGGAATTTAAGAAACCATTTAACAGATGAAAGTACATTTTGAAAAGTTTGACCTTACAGGCAATCATAAAATGAATGCAAACAGTGCTTCTCCCCCTGAAATGTATAGAGCCCATCTGTGTCTAATCCAGTAATTACAGACTGAGTTCAATTACCTTTTCAAACTTGGAGCAGACTGGAGACTAAGCAGTGAATGTGCATGGGGTTTTGTCTAGACCTCAGTTGACCACAGTCTAAAACAGGAATTTATATCTAATTTTATTTTATTTTGTTCAGTTTGGTAGCTCTTAAAAGATTCATTTTGCTACTTAAGTTATCAGATTCTGGAAGCCCAGTACACATGTATTGCTGTACTTGTGTGTGAATATGTCTTTAAAAAAAAAAAAAGTTTGTGAGAAAAGTAGTTGGCATTTGCAGGGTAAGGATTTGGGGAGTTTAGCTCCTTTTAAAAACTGTTTGAGAGCAGCCATGCTTTTGTTTCTCTGTTCTTTGTGGTTTACTCCGGTTCTGTTTTAATACTGTGGCCTATAATATGCATTGCATAATGAATAATATTTTGAAAGAATTATTAACAGTAATTTTCAAATGTAACCCACTATAAACAATAAAGCACCTTTACCATCTCCCCTAAGGATCCTGCAGCTAGGCTGCCTGTGTGTGCTGGCTTTGTGTGGGATCCTGTGCAACATGTTAAAATGATGCTGGAGCGCATATTCTTGCCTAGCCCCATTATTTTCTTATTTTAAGTAACTGGGTTTTAGGGGCTTTCAATGGCAAAGTGAGGCAGAAATGTTTGGGTATGTACCATGTGCTCAAGTTAAAATCATCTCTTTGCTTTCAGCTGTTTCTCTCATTTAAATCAGTAGAAGTTCTGAACAGTAGCGCACAGTCCTTGTAAACAGATTGTAAACACAGCTGCAGGAACTGATTCCACTGTTTGGAATGAAATGAAATGACTTGCTATCAATACAACAACATAGCATATTCTCTTCCTTGCATGTCAAATAATTCATCTGGCGATGAGATATTAGCATGGGTCACACATCATGCTAAGCCAAACTATGCCTTATTGACAGCATGTGGGCTTCTGGAGAGGAAATTGCCTCTAGTTTGCTACTCAGTCAGTTTTCTGCTGCGGAGCACTGAGCTCGTCTATGGTTTGGCTTAATGTGTAAACTGAACCCAGGCTTGTGGTTTATCTCTCTCTACACTAACCATAAACTTTAAACTATAGGACAAAACTTGGTTACAGCTCATGTTTAGTGCGGAGAGAGCTAAATAATGAGCCCAATTTGGGCGACATGCTAAACCAAACCATGGCTTATAAGGTTCAGTGCGGAGCAGGAGCAAAATGACTAGGGAGGACCAAGCGGCCATTGTTTTCTCTCCCAGGGCCTGCATGCATTCATGCTAAATCATGCTTTGGTTTACAATGATGTGTGAACCAGGATATTATTTGCTAAGTTGATAAATTGGGTATGCCAACAACTGTAGTCTTACACAAAATTCCGTGGGTCAGACTTTATTATTAATTTTACTTATTTGTCTACTACAAAAAAGTGTCCAATCAATTCAGAAAAAGATATAGCATAATAAAACCTTTCTAATAATCTATGAGGGACGCGGGTGGCGCTGTGGGTTAAACCACGGAGCCTAGGACTTGCTGATCAGAAGGTTGGCGGTTTGAATCCCCGTGACGGGGTGAACTCCCATTGCTCGGTCCCTGCTCCTGCCCACCTAGCAGTTTGAAAGCAAGTCAAAGTGCAAGTAGATAAATAGGTACCGCTCTGGTGGGAAGGTAAACGGCGTTTCCGTGTGCTGCTCTGGTTCACCAGAAGCGGCTTAGTCATGCTGGCCACATGACCCGGAAGCTATACGCCGGCTCCTTCGGCCAATAAAGCGAGATGAACGCCGCAACCCCAGAGTCGGCCACGACTGGACCTAATGGTCAGGGGTCCCTTTACCTTTATTAATAATCTATAAACAAACCCACTAGAAGAACATTTTATGGAATTGCTACCAACCAGCTGGTTGCAATCCATCAAATGCCTGGGAGAAAAAAAGTAAGTTTTAACTTGACACCTAAATGATGTTATTGATGGATCTCATTGGGAAGAGCATTCCATAAGTGGGTAGCCATAACTGGAAAAGTTTGCTTCCCTGTTGATACCTTTTGAAGCTTCCTCAGAGGGAGCATTCAAATAAAGATCACAAGTGAAGATGGAAGGGTCCAAGTAGGTTCATACTGGGAGAGGCACTTCGGAAAAGATTGTGGTCCCAAGCCATCAATGTTAAAACTAGCACTCTGAATTGGCAACCAGTGCAGTTGTGCCAGGATTGGTGTGATATGCCAACAATTGGGTGGCCACTAGCTAAATATTCTGAACCATCTTCAAAGGCAAACAAATATACAGCACATTGCAGAGCATATATTACTGCAGCCAAGTCGTTCCTGTCCATATAGGGCCACAGCTGAGCCACCAGACAAAGCTGGCACTCTGCACTCTGCCCCACTGAGGCTGCCTATGCCTCATGTGACAGCAGTGGATCTAGGAAGACACTCGACTGCAGATCTGCTCTTTCAGAAGGAGCTTGACCGCCACCCGCCTGGTCAGAAGTTTCACTTAATCCAGTTGTATTTCCTCCCACCTATTGTTTTTGGACTTCGTAAAAGTTAGTAATTTTTCATTGAGACCATTGTGGAATGTTGTAGGCTACATGGCGTTTATTTCAAATGTATGAACTATGCCTTTCAATTTAGCACCCTTTTCAATAAAATCAAACAGCAAATTTTTTTTAACTTGTTTTTTTTTTTTTTAATGAAAGAGATATTGCCTAAGTGGGTATAATTAAGTTGTAAGAAGTGGCCCATCAACTGAAATCCTATGACGAAAAACAAGACGCTGTTTAATAAAAGGAGGTTCTTTTGCAGGAACAGTACTCTGATTTTCATTAAGTAAATGGTATTCTCAGCTACTTTATCTAAGCTCGAGATTAATTTCTATGGTTACGGGTGGATATAACTCTGTAGTATGCTTTTCAAAACTGATTGTGTTTGTTCACAACAAGATTATAGCAGCCTTCTTCTAAAATAAGTTTTTACTTTAAATCCCCCCCCCATTAAATGCATAGACATAGGTGGGCTGCAATTCCAGAGCCTTCATAAAAAAATAAAAAGATATATGCTGAAATAGAATTACAGAAAGTAGACATTAAAATACTAAATAGCAGTGCTGTCCCCCCTAAAAACATGTTTAGGGGTACTCTCATTTTCCTACTCATATTGAAATACTGCCCCTCAATGAGGCCAAACTTAGATTCACAAAATGTTTAGGGGTATGTGTGCCCCTGTGTCCCCCCAGAAAAAAGCACTGCTAAATAGGGTTCATGGTTTCAGGCAAAGGGAAAAATGAGTGCCCCTTACTGTACACCAGGTGTACAGTGGGGAGCCTGAGGTCTGGCTCTTTATCTGGCCTTTGAAGCTATCCCAGGCCACATCCTGCATCCGCTCTGCTCATGTGACCCCAAACGCTGTTAATTTCTCCTTCTTGTCTGGATATAGAATAGAGAGAGAAGTGCAAGTGTGCGTAGAAACTCTTCTAACATGCAAAGGTAAAATTTACATGCCTTGTCCTGTTCCCTTTTGCCTCTGGCCCTGCCTACCAATAATTGGTTGTGATCCCCATAAAATTGCCCAGAAGCAGAGGTGAGCCTTGAACTAAAAATGGTTCCTCGCCCCTGCTGTACACTAGGACTTCTAAATATTCATTTCTATACTTCAGCTCTAGCAGATAGACATATTTAATGCTGAGTAATAAACACATAATTAATGATGATAAACAATATTTCTTCCGTGAGAAAATCTGTCTACTGTGCTTTTTATTGAACAGAAGGGATTCCCCCCCCCAATACAATTGTATCCTATGTTCTGCATGTGCAACAGAACTTCCTACTCGTCTCCTTTTGTCTCCTATGCCCCCTCCTGCACTGAAAATCATTTCCAATGAGTTGGGAGACCTCCTGAGCACTTTGGGGGAGAAAAGAGGAAGTATTGTTGTGTAAGTGAAACTTCGTTTGTTTAACGTTAGGTGCAACCTAAAATTTTGCTCCCCTACATAAAATTGCTAATGTTAAAATGTAAATTTCCCAGAAAGTTATGTATGAGCCAGATTAGATTACTGTTTGTGTAAAGCATGATGGAAAGCATGTTTATACTATTGTGAGTGTGTCCGTGTGCACTCATGTATTTTCCATATAGAGATCATGTCATTTTTTGTTCCCTCATTCCACGCAGAGAAAGAATTTCTGAAGCATGGCTTACTTATAAAATAATAGTCAGGAAACATGTTTTTGAGATTCTGAATAACATCAGTATAACTTGTAAGTAGAGGATATACAGAAGGATATCTTGGTAATGGAAATTGCAAGTAAGGAAAGGTATTAAAACACTTTTAAAAGCAATGATATGTGAATGAGAATCTCTGTATGGGGCTACTAGTTACAGCCAACTCATTCTCAGAATGTGGAATCTTTTGTAGCCAAAGCAGCACAATTCACACACATAAAAGAGGCGTCAGTAGGCTTGAAGGAGTCCCAAAGAATGCTAACTAAATAAACTGAAAAACCCTTTTGGGGCTAGGTGGGTGGAATGCTGACTGACTGTTGGCAAAGACAACAGAAAACCTGGAAGAGAGGACGTGGAAGGGAGTATCCTGTAGGAGGGCATTGCTAGCTGGTTGGAACCCTGATCAGGAGCATGCCACACGACAGTGTTTTGTTGCAGGTCCTGCTTGTCTCCACAGTGTGTGTGTGCGTGTGTGTGTGTGTGTGTGTGTGTGTGAGAGAGAGAGAGAGAGAGAGAGAGAGATTGTATATATTATACAGATGCTCGTTTCCCTATAGCTTGTTATGCACGGTTTACAGTGATTTCAGCAGGAAAATATGTGCACCTCAGTTTTGATACTTTGAATAAATTTTGAATCTGAAATTATATACTGTGCTACATAGATACAATTCAGTGTGCATTTCAGAATTGGGTCTCTATTATGTACATCAGTTACAGATTGCTAAATTAATGAATAGTAATGAGTAGGATTGGGCTCCAACCTATACACCCAATCCTACACAACTTTTAGAAGACATCTGAAGGCAGCCCTGTATCAGGAAGTTTTTAACATTTGACTTTGAATAAGGATTCCTTAAATCAGAGCATAACATAGTTTTTATAAAACCTGATTTTTGTAAAGAGTAGATTAATGGGAAATATTTGAAGATGAGCTGTCTACTATTCAATATAATGTCCTACCTTATTACAGTTGGCCCCTGTCTTAATGATGCTTCCACGTCTGCAGTGGTTAATTGTAAAAAGATGTGGACTCTGCAGAAGAGTTGAGTGAGGTCTATTAGTTGCTCTCTTTTTGTTTACTTGATAAAGAAAAGAATAAATAAATTTATAATTTATTCATAACAAAATGGAACAGTTGAAGAAAAAACATCCTGTGTAAAAGTGCAAATAAAGTTTAATGCTGAGAATTGTTGTAAGCGGAGTGTGTTTAATTCGCGGTAATAAAAGCCAATTTCGGCAAACATATTTTGACCAATTTGCTTTTGTTTCCCAGCTGAAACGTTCCTCAAATCTTGTGGCTTTTGTGTTGTGCTTAAAGAGGTTTTATATAGTTGTGTGAAAATATAAATATTGAAGTTCTGATTGGAGTTAGGCAATAAGACAAGAAGAAAATATTGAAAAATCCTATTAAAGTCAGATGTTGGATCCCATGATGAAACAAAAAATATGAACATCAGAAGATTTGTGTGTTTTGCAGACTTGAATGAGGCAGCCTCAATTTGTTAGTTCAACAGATAAGACTGAATTTTTGTCGGGTCCTTATTTTTCAGTTCAGTGACAAAAACTCCTTTCAGTGTTTATGCATACATAACAGTTGTGTGAATAATGAACTCACTGACCGTGCAATCTTATGCATGTTTAATCAAAAGTAAGACTTACTCTCAAACATGTGGGTGCATAAATTATTGTAGACTTACAACACAATCTTAACCATGTCGCCTACTCAGAAGTAAGTCCTATTGAATTCAGTGGGGCTTACCGCTCGGTAAGTGGAGTTCAGATTGCAGCCTTATTCTTGTAAGTGATACTAAAACGCTATTCAGTCGTTTGAAACTTTCTGCCAGTTCTTAAAGCACGCCGTTGTGTTCCTTTTTGCAGTAATTAACCTTCCCTTTTAATATATAACATTTCAGTGTGTTGAAATTCATAGAATTAGAAGTATTCACGTGTATGAACTTACAAAGGCAAGAAGATTACTGGTCTGTCTTTTTTGGATAAGGACTCGGAACAATCAACGAAGCACTTTTTGCAGGTTCTTATTTCAGTGTTTTATTTAGAATCCAAGCTCAGTTGATCTGTAGAACTTCAAAGTCTTAATTATAAAGTTTCATTTGGTGATCTTGTTGCATAAGCAAAAGTCACTGGTGCCTCCTTCCGTCCCCTGCTGCTCCCCACAGGTCCCAAAGACCCCCCTGAGCAACTTTGTGCTCAATATTATACAATAACTCTTGTAACATATAGTCAAGGTTGTTCTCGCATTTGGGTGTGGTACGTGTGTGTGTCTGTGAGACCATTTGTTTTCTTAATTTTAAGTAATACTAAATTGAAGAGATGCAACTGCATTAGGATGCTCACTTTTCAAAAATATTTGAGTTACTCAAAATATTCTACTTTCCTTTTAATAATGTTGCAGCAATACAGAAAAGCAGCTTTCATATTCCTGGAAGGAGCATTATTTAAATACTTCCTGCTATGAGTCCTTTTTTTGTTTGTTTGTTAAAGGAAGCTGTACTCAAAGATGAAATAAACCAATTTCAGAAAATGTTTTTCAAAAGCTGTAAACTCAAAATAGTGAACAGAACGTTTATGATTTATTCCTCACAGTTAGGATTGCATGGTCGCTCTTGTTTGAAGGGGTGTCCCGATTCAAGAATATTTTGATCCTTTAGAATAGGAATCTCACGTATTTCTAAATTTCTGTATACTGAAAGAGCTCCCAAATGCTTTTGTTTTGGAAATTTGATTTTGTTTGACATCAGATAATAGCAGGAGATTACGAAGAGATATGATGTGCAAGTAGACTAAGATAAGTCAGGGCAGTTGTGCATGAAGAAATGCATTATTTAAAAAGAACACAAAAGAGCACATATTTGCGTAAAATTTGCATGTGCTACTTTATACATGTAGATTTAAATTTATAAAGAATTGCTATAATTATAAGGGTAAAGGATAAATTTGGGGCCAGGTAACCTGTGTGCCTCTATGTCTGCTGATGGGCCGCTGCTCGTCTTTATCTTCAAACCCGACTTTGGCTGGACAGCCTTTCAAAAAATAAAGGATTCCTGGAGTATTGTCCTCTGACACGCCTTCAAGTAGAGGACTGTTCTAAGTGGGGTATGTGGCCGCCCTGTGTTCAATTGTGCAGACATGTATGTGAAGAAAGTGTAAACTCTTCCCTTTTCCAGGGTTGTAGCAATTCACTTTAGTAGTGCCACTTGAGGTGGGGTTTTTTGGGATTTTTGGGGGGCTGATTCTGGAGCCAGAGAGTAGTCGTACACAAGGATGAGCAATTCAGTTTTTAGACAACAATTATGAGCGCCTCGTTAAGGAATGGGAAATGTCTCCTTTTATAATGCTGTACTTTCTCATCGAAATACCATAAAGTAAACTCTTTAATGCCTTATGCATGCACTTCCATTTTTGAAACAGGTTATCAATGCAGAGTGACGTAAATGCTCCTATATTATTTGTTTGTGCTTAATGCAGTCAACAAAAAGATTGCACATTTTATTCTAATTGGTTTTTTATTATTATGCAATCCGATAATTTTTCAAGTACTGCTCTGTCTCTGCAGTGCGTAAATCACATGAACTTTTTTGTTTAGTTTTGTTACTGGCAGCTGTACTTTAAAATTTTGCCTCAGTTTTTTTAAACAACATTTTTAGCGTCTCCACATTACATCTCTTTCAACATTTGCAGATAAAAAAATATGCAAGCAGTCATTTTTTGTGTTTATTGTTTCTGTTCTTTCATTACTTTGAATAGCTGAATATGAGTAAGGAAGGAATGTGGAACCCTCAAGTCTGAATTTTGGTGCATCTTCAGACCCTTCTACTTAAGATTTGCTGCCCTGCTTCCTTGCCCTTCCTTGCATTTTTCAAGAGTTTTGTTGTTGTCATTTAAATGTTGCTATTCAAATAACTTTTAGTAGAACAAAAGTAACGGAATAAAATGTGCACGCTGTGCCTGTTAATAAAAGTAATTATAGGTCCCAAATTGCCTTCTACTTGTAGACTAGTTTTTGTTCCCCATTTGTTGATGTAAACCAGGAACTGAGCAAGGTAACCATTTTCATGAGATTAGAGGCAGCCAGGCTGACTGTCTCTTGGCTTTTTGCTCCCCCCACTTAAATGCATGCCCACCCCTATCTTCTGTTTAGATATCGCTTGCTTTTTGGAGTTTCACATTACTGCAGCAATTGATCTGAGTGACCTAGCTTAAGAACTTTAACATTGCAGTTGCAACTTAAACCAAATGTATACCCTCAAGAGGCAAATCATCTGAAAAACTGGTCAGTTGTGATTATGACCTACTGTACTTTCTCCCCGCAAACCTGAATAGGATAGCACTGGAAATCATCAGTTGCTTAAACAGGCGGGTGACATAAATCTAATTTCTGCTTATACAAATGCAGCACTTTTGCAGCTTTAGAATAAGCATTTGAACCAGCTGTGCCAACTTTTCACAGTTGCTGTTCCTGAAAGTTTAAACTTTGCGTTTTCTTCTATTTCACTTAACCATCAGACCCTGAGTTTTAAACTTAGAAATTAGGGTCATGAATTTGGAAATTAGATGCTAATTGTGCATCAAAGCTTTGACCTGTAATTCTCAAATATCTTCAATGCAAAAATCGTTACTGTTGCGGAGACCTTTATCCTATTAAAAATCAGATAAACATGCCTAGACCGTACCAGGAATAGATGAATATTTAAATTATTATTTTTATTATAAAGACATGAGCTTTACCTTCAAAATGTGCAATACTTTGTATACTTTTGCAGAGTAAATCTAGGTGATCTCAGTGGGACTCTGTAGTCTCAAGTAAGCATGCATGGAATTAGACTAAAAAGCCTATAATATTGGGTACGTGACTTGGGTCCGTGAATTCAGTTGTTTAGGCTCTTACGTAATGCAGTTGGTGGACTTGTGCTTATTCTGCAGTGCTCTTTTTGTGAAAGGATTGCTCATGTTTGAAAAATATTAATCGAACTTTACTTTTGAATCTGTATTTCTGAACTACACATAATGATAGAATATATAATATGGATAGAACAGCTCTAACAAAAATCAGAATTTACAAAAACAAATGAATCTTTGGCTTCTCGATTTTGATTCCTTAGTATTTTTAATGTCTCACATTTAGGTTTTGACTATTTGGGTTTTTAAATACAGATTTGTTAATCTACTACTCAACAAGTAACATACAACCACTGCATCATTTTATCATTTGCATGAGATTAGAAGAAAATGGCTACACCACCTTGAGTTTTAACAAAGCCTGAATTGTAATTAGTGATTTTAAAGGCATAATGACCTCTTTAATGTAATACACCTCTTTTATGTAATGACACAAAAATAAACTGGCTTTATTCTAAGATTTAGAAGATGCTTTCTGACACCATAGATGTGACCCCTCATTTTTCATGCAGTTAACATTTTCTATCGGCAATTTAAAAACATTGAACATTTAAAATCCAAATTATGCAACAATTTCCCCAACCCATATGCTCTGTGTTCATACACAATATGCAATATCTTGTTTTTTTTTAATTTTTGCCTGCATATAACTCTTGTTTTTTTAATTAAAAACAATAACACAACTCCAAGATCCTTGATTTTGATATTGATGTCTGAATGAAGAACCACTAGGTCCCATTTTTAAATGTTGTCTTCCTTTCAGTAATGAATTATTTTTATTACTATTACTATTATATTTATATCCTGCCTTTTTCCCCAGACCAGGACTTGAAAGCAGCTTATACAAATTAAAACAACACAGATAAAATACAGAAGGCTTAAAACATATAAAATATAGTAATTAAAAAGTAATTAAACTGGAGTAGAATTAAAACAATATAAAAAACAGTTACAATGGTACCTCAGGTTACATACACTTCAGGTTACAGACGCTTCAGGTTACAGACTCCACTGATCCAGAAATATTACCTTGGGTTAAGAACTTTGCTTCAGGATGAGAACAGAAATCATGCTCCGGCAGTGCAGCGGCAGCAGGAGGCCCCATTAGCTAAAGTGGTGCTTCAGGTTAAGAACAGTTTCAGGTTAAGTATGGACCTCCGGAATGAATTAAGTACTTAACCTGAGGTACCACTGTATATTAAAATACAGATAGTAAAAGAAGCACAGCACTATTCAAAAGCCCTTTCCTTAAAAAAATGGTCCTGCAACGCCTGCTACAATAATGCAGTCTTTTCTTGCTGGTGGAATAGCAGCAAGGAGTGAGCCAGTCTAGCTTATTTAAGGAGCAGCCACCAAGAAGGCCCTCTTGAGAAATGTATCTTAGTGGTAATTCTTTTGTGAATGAATTTTGAAAAGCAATTGCAATTGAGATTTGTCAGGTGAGGATTCAGCACTTGGATGTGAAGGGCTGTGCAGAGGATCATGAAGGTATCCCTTTTATTTATTTGTTACACTTATCCCCTGCCTTTCCATACAAAAGGTTTTTCTTCTGAAAACCAACCCTGTTTTTCCATGCTCCATCTTATTGGCAATTTCCCTTCTTGGGCAAGATAGTTGAACAAGTGTACATCACTTATTTGGGAACACAACTGGATATCAGCACAGTTTTATAAACGCCTACCAACCTGGCATGTGGTCTCTTAATAGCATTGGGCAGGCCTTGATTAACAGTTGCTGCCTGTTGATTTATCAAGATTTTCCACCCCATAGACGCTCTTAGATCTTTGATGCCTTTGGTAGTGTTGATCATGAGATGTTTTTGGAAACACAACTGCGGGACCTGGCAGGAATTCAAAACATAGTTGTGGAGTGCCTGATTACAGCATGGAGGTCTGATTTGTTATCGTCCCTTTCGGACTCGGCCTGCCCTGTCCTGCCTCCTGCCCAGTGTTACATGTTGAATTACTGGGTAAGATTACGTATAATCTAATGTCATCAATATGCTGATGATACCCAGCTCATTATTGTAGTTTATCTGAGCCAAGCTCTGCAGTCTTCCAGGTTCAAGCCACAGCTGGATATTTCATTATGAGTGCTAAAGAAGTGCTTGCTTGATTCAGTGTAATAGAACAATATCCCAATAGAACAATATGCCATCTCAGTGTAATAGAACAATATCCCATCCTTTCTTCGGTGCAGGGGTGAGTATAATTAGCCTTGGACAGGTGAGAACAGCCATACAAGTTGTGGAAGGGCAAAATTATCCACCTGCAGCTTTACACATAATTTAAGTTTGTGGTTTTTTTGTTTTTTAAATTTTTGGTATGACATGCTTCGATAAGGGCTTCCCATGTTCACTTAAACTCTGAAATGTAGAGAAATTTGTGGGTCATGCCCTTAATAGGCATACTTGGGCAATGTGGATCTTCTGTGGTTCATTCCAGCTTCACCACTACTTTATTTATTTAATTAATTTATGGAGCGTTTCCAATAAAACTTCTTGAAGCAAAGTAACAATACAAGCATCAGCAAATAAAAAACCATTTCAGTTTCAGTGCAGATACAAACTGGGAAATCTCCACTTAAAAGGCTTGTAGGAAAACGAAGGTCTTCAGTAGCTCCTGAAAATAAAATATAGAGATGGCTGCCAGAGGCACAGTGTCACGTGAACCTGAGTCTACTAAACACATGAGTCCATATAACTGAATCAATCAGTCCATGTTCCAAGCACCTAACTGGTGCTTGTAAAACTGCAAGGTATGCATACATCCTGGTTTTAATATAGAAAGCATTAAAAGTAGTAGGTCCAGTTTGCCTAAGAGACCCCCTCTTCTTCCATATTTTATATTTAAATTATGGCTGCTTGTTGTGATCCATGGGGATGCCCAATATTGTGGTGGCCCAAACAAGGGGAAGTTGGTAGTTCCTGGTTGCCCAAGCAAGACGGCGAGGAAAAAGAAGGCTAGGTAAAGGCAGCGCCTAGGAGGGAAATAAAGGTGGGGGGTTCAGGACCATGGATAGGGCTCTTGCAGTGGAGACGAAACATTCAAGTTGTCTTAGTGAGCAACTGGCTGAGTTTTGCAGCAGGCCTAGGTAGTCATTGACTAAATGCTCCATTCCCCGAGTGCACCTCCCGTCAGTTAAAGGACCTTGTTCTTTCTTCTGTAGCCATCGGTTTCTTCAAGGTAGTGGGGTTTCCAGCTATGGAAATCTCCATCTCATCCTCACAGTTGCAATTCTGGAGGACTAACTCCAAGGAGGTCTCTTCTAGGATCATGACTCCCAAGACGGCATATGGGTTTTTGTTTGTTCATTTAAAAAGACAATCCAATAAAACACATGATTATTTTTTAAGAAACAAAACCCAGTAGCAAAATGTCCCATCACAACCTCTTAAAGATCCACCAAGTGTGTAATCTTTACTGTTGCATGTGTCATTGCTTTGATAAGAGAAATAATCTCTTCCTGTCCCACTCTTATTTATTTCATGGATGTTATATACTACTTGTTTGTAAAAATTCTCAAAAAAATTATCAAAGCAGTTTACTCTTTTGGTGAAGAACACTGTAGCTAACACCATGCTATAGATAATCAGAAACAATAACGGCACTAAGCGAAATAAAACATGTCATACATTATAATAACAATAAAATCAAGCTGCCCCGAGTAGCCAGAGCAACCCAGTCAAATGGGCAGGGTACAGTCAGTCTAGCTAACTATTTAGCAAATGCAAAATAGTAGTGCGTTCTTGGCAGCTGCTTTGCACTTGCAGAACTCCCTCTACTTTGAGGCCCAATGAAGTGCAAGCCTGAACATCTTTTACAATTATTTCTTTGGGGGGGGGGTAGTATTGGTTTGTTTGTGTTTGTATATGTATACAGTGGTACCTCGGGTTACATACGCTTCAGGTTACATATGCTTCAGGTTACAGATTCCGCTAACCCAGAAATATTACCTCGGGTTAAGAACTTTGCTTCAGGATGAGAACAGAAATCGTGCTCCGGCGGCACAGCGGCAGCAGGAGGCCCCATTAGCTAAAGTGGTGCTTCAGGTTAAGAACAGTTTCAGGTTAAGAATGGACCTCCGGAACAAATTAAGTACTTAACCTGAGGTACCACTGTATGTATATGTATGTGTTTGTCCTTGTTTTTATTATGTATTTTGTATTCCTCTCTGCCCCAAGATCTGTGGATGAAAGGTGGTACATAAATAAAATAAAATAAAATAATAAAATAAATTTATATTCCACCCTTCCTCCAAAGAAGCCCAGAGCAGTGAAGGTTTATGTGATTAATACAGTTAAGATAAAAACATCTTTAAAATAAGTTTACATATTTGTAAATAACACATACAGTGGTACCTGGGTTTACGAACTTAATCCGTTCCGGAAGTCCGTTCTTAAACCAAAACCGTTCTTAAACCGAGGTGCACTTTCCCTAATGAGGCCTCCCACTGCCGGTGCCCTTCCGCTGTTCGAATTCTGTTCGTAGACCGAGGTAAAGTTCGCAAACCGGGACACTATTTCTGGTTTTGCGGAGTTCATAAACCAAGTAGTTCATAAACAGGGCTGTTCTTAAACCAAGATACCACTGTATTTGTAAGAATTTCAAGCTGCACTTTGGACATGGGGTGGGTGGGTAGACATTAGTAGGTTTCGGGGCTTTAGATCCTAGTGCATATTTAGTTCTTAAATTGGATTTTAATTTGATACTTGGTGGGATATTCTGTCTTTTTCTTTTCCTGAATTCAGTAGGACCATCTAAAAGCCTTCAGGACTGAAATGGCAGTTACATCAATATTACATTAGTCAAGAAATGGAAGTGTTCATAATGTCATAACAATGCAGTCATTTGGTAACACAGGTTTTCATTGAAATATGAATTTTTACAGTGGTCTGTTAATTGTAGATGATGGTGTGCTATACTATGGTAACTTGCTCATTTTTTATGTTTGCTCATAAATTTACACGCACTTTTTATCAGTTCCTCTCATATTCCTCTGTTTTGTCATATGTACATTGAGTAGGAAACTCAATAGTAGTGGGTTCAACTGGTTCATAGAGATGACCAAACAGGACCATGCACAATTGTTGCAGCCAGGGCAGGAATTGGGGCAGAGGCTGGGGGCGTGTGGGTGGGTGGGTGTCCTCACCCCTGCAGGCTTTTTTCTTCTTACCATCCTACCAGTGGGGTGGAGAATAGCTTTTCAGCTCCAAGGAGTCATAGATTGGGGCCTGATCTGTAGATGTTTCATCGTAATGAGCAGGCTTTGGATGTGGTGTCCCCAGTCCCCACTGCTGGTAAAAAGACCATCAGCCACAGACCTTTCTTTACTGAATTTTCTGCAGATGTACAGGGGGCCTTCAGACTGCATAGTGCTGCCCCTCTGGTGGAGGTGCTGTCTGGGAGCAGAGGGGCACCTCAGCCGGCCTTTGTAGGGCGCTGACCCTAAATAAAATTCATTAAACGTAAGCCCTATTTATTGCAGTGGAGCAAGCTTCCCAAAGAAAGGTGCAGTTGTAAGAATACTTGCAAGCAGTTCTCCCCCCCCCCCCCCAGAAAAAAAGTTGCCCGTCCTCACCATGGAGATGTTACAGTAAATGCCACGTTTTTTAACAACAAGAAAAAGAGGTGCCGGTACTGCGTACCCTTGAGCATCCCCTGAAAAAAAAGGGCACTGCTTGCAAGAAAGTAAGTCCTATATCCCTTTCCCAACCCCCCTGGGAAAAGGATATAGGTCAAGAGATAAACATCTATGAATGGAGAAGGACCCAGACAAAAATCCCACATAAACTAATACCAGCAGACCTAAAAGAAAATATTGGAAATATCCGATTTCAGTGGTACCTTATCTCTCACATACTAAGGGGATGCTTATTCTGGGACTTGCTGAACATCGGGCTGTTCTGGAGCCTAACTGGTAGCTCAGTTAATGAAATGATAGGATACACCTTACTACTGTATTAGAAATAAAATGTATGATTTGGGTTATTTACAGGATCAGATAGCAGCAGTTGATACGAAAATAACTGTGAAAATATGCATAGAAAACTGAAAGAAAAATAATCCCCCATTATTAAATGAATGGTTTGGGGTGGCAGTGCGGAATGGAGCATTGTAACTGATTAAATTAACATTTAAGGAAGACCAGAACTTGAGCAAACATTTGGAACACTGGTCACTATTAATTACTTTTTCAAAGAAATTGTGACAATATACCACCCTGCCACTTTCTCACTGCTGTAAAAAGCATTTCCTCTTTACTTTGGTTTGCTGATAATTTGTGGTTACTTTATATTTATTTTATCCATCATTTATTGATGTTACTTTCCTGTTGTTGTTTTTTGTTTATGCCTATTCTAGTCTGCATTGTTATGTTGATTTATATATTTTGGAAAAGTAATTAATTAAAAAAAAATTAAGAAGGCAAAACCTGTTTAATGGGTTTTGAGCAAACCTGTCTAGGGTGTGTCTTTCAGCGAGTTGTGGATTCTAGGAGCAGATGTTAAAATGCCCACCATCAAAATATTTTGGCAAGACATGCAGCTCATTGAAAGTATTGTTCCTTGCATCTTCCTGTTGTATTTAAGTCTGCTTTAATTAAAAATTATATATCCCTTTGAATAATAGAGAGAACGCAAAGCCAAATGAGTATGCCTGTGCCCCAGTTACTGAAGGCTTCAGATAAAAATGGTTTGCTTGTCTCCTGTCACTGTTAACAGAAGACAGAAGTTTTAACTGCCTTATCAAAAAAGATAAAGTATTTGTTCTGTTACTTTTAACATGATATGATTGGGTTCTTTCATCTCTGCCTCCCCCCTCAAAGAAAAAGTGATGCTTGTAGGCCTACAGATACAGCATCTTCAAACTACAAACTAAGCAAAAGTCGCAGAGAGATTAACATAATCTCTCAAGACACCAGCATACTAGCACAATGCTGAAATCTTTGTTGCCATCTAGTGGGTATCCCTGTTGTGTGCATGAGGTTGTGTTTTGCTGCTAAATTTATAAAAGCTATCCTTCTGGCAAAGGATGGTGCCATTCCATTAAAGACTGCTTCTTGGGTCTCAGAAGGAAGCAGTCCTAATCTTTACTCGGACTTCTTTATTTTAAGATGTGCAACTACTCATTCTACATGCCTATTTTATAGTTGTGTTTTTCATCTTTTAATTTTTGTCTATGGTTCTCTCGGTTTTATATACATCCTGAAATGAAATAATAATAAACAGCATTACAAAAAAAGAAGGGGGAGACAGCCCTATTTAACCACCTGAGAGATATCACTTCTAGGGGTGCCACACTCTTTCTACTGCCTTCTGCTTTAGCACAACAGACTTTAGCTAGGCGACACCTATTTTTGTTGCCTTTTAACCGCTGCTCTCTCCAACAACCTTTTCGGAGCTCAGAGGCATATTCTATTTGGATTTATCAGACCGAAAGATCGATTGCCCCATTCTGAACTGAGGCTGACTTGGAATTTGGTGGCTGCTTTAGTCAGGGCCACATCATACCTGCCTGTTTCTACCGGTCTTGCTTGATCTGGGAGCAGTGGCTGTTTTCTGTCACTTCTCAGCCACAGTCCTTATTTTCCAGCACAGTGTCTAAGATTTTCCCGAGTCCTGTGGAAGTGTCATGGAGGTTGTGGTCGAACCCTGAGGAGGAGGAGGAAGAGCTTGGGGATTTGATCTTGAGGATGCTGGGGAGGATCCCAGGGGGTGAGGTCATGGAGATGCACCCTCCAAAGAAGGCTCAGGCCAATTCTCAGATTGCTTCCAAACGTGCATCCTGCAGCTTCTCTAGCTGTGGAGCCACCTCTGGCACCTTCACTGTTATGCAGGAACGCCCCCCCCCCCCTTTCAGGCGAGGCAGCTGGGAGTAAACCGGATGCCAAGCCAGCGCCACTCCACCTTTGTCACCTGGAGACTACAGCACTGACTCACACAACAGCACCTAACCTGCCCAGTGGACGGAGTGCCTGTTTGCTTCCCAGACTCCCAACCGCTTGCAGCACTCAATATTGTGCTCACCCCATCCTTCAAAAGGAAAGTGCAGGGGGCATGTCACTTATTGGTTCAAGATCTTAGCTTGTGCCTAGCTATGCCTTTGCCCTCTCATGTAACGGCTGATTCTTGCAACCTGTGACTTGCCTTATGTACTGTTCTAATCTGAAAATAAACACCTTTAGCAAAACTGGAGTTCCAGTTCCTCGTGGGTCTGGCAGTGGTTGACAGAAGGTAGGCCTAAGTTGGTCTGCCTTGCTGGAATTGGTGCATCAGTGCCATTTGAGTGTGCTTTGTAAACAGCCTTGCATTTGATCATACCTTGGGCACATAAAATGCTTTTCTTTTCCCTTTCATTTTTAAATCCAATATTTACATTTTGCTTTTTTTATTTTATTCAGGTCAATAACATCGGGAAACTGAAAGATTTTCTTCTGCAGCACAGGAAAGATTATATTAATGCCTACAGGTAAGTATTGCAATAGGAACAGTGGGTGGGTTGGTGGTGAAGAAGGAAAACATTCATGGACTGATGCACTCTCCCTTTGTGGAAAGCTCTTGTGCTAAATTTCCACTCTGATTACTGAACCTGTGCTCATAGTCAAAGAATGTTAAATTGGTTTCCCTCTGAACAGGAAGAATAAAAGGTTGTGGTAAAAAAGAAAGTTGTGTTTGTTTAATGAAAAGAAGTTTTCGAACCTTGTCTGTTGTGATGGATTGAGATGGCTGTGGATGCATGGATTCCAGTTCATACCTACAGCCTATGCACTAGGAAGTTTCTGCCACCAGCTCCAGCCAAAAGACCACAGCCACTTTAGGGATGAAGCCTGCACATGGAATCTGGGGGACAACCAAGCTAGCTGCCACCACCTCGCATCACTGCCAAGGAAGTCTTTGGCCTGCTTCCCTTTTCGGCTTCGTGCCACAGCCTGTAGTGTAGAGGTGCTGTCTTGCTCATGAGGAAAAGTTCTTTGAACTTGAAAGTCACTTCAGTCAAAACCCAATGTTCATTTTAAAAAACAAAGACTTGTGGTCTGGGTAAGAGGAATAAGAAGTGGAATGTTGAAGGAAAATCAAAAGATTATTTCACATTTGAATATCTAGGCAGTTTCTAAGTGCAGATGTGCCCAAGCAGAGATGAAGGACAACTGCTTGAAGTGTGGAAGAAAAAGCTGATGGTTTCCATAGTGGGAGGGAAAATATCTTTTGAACACACGCACACATGTATATGTACCCTGTTTTTTCACTGACAGGGATTCAAGGCAGCTTATGGATAAAAATAAGAAATAATCTCTCTTTAATTCTTTTTAGTCACGTGTTAGAATGGTTAAACCACATCACCAGGTGGCAGTGTTCATCTTTTGGATTTAATAATGGTATTTATTTTATGAGAAGAGGTAACTAGTGTGGGAGCAACACGCTGACACTAGTTGCAGTGGACTTAAGGAAACAGAAGCGGAGTGTGCTAAAATAAAATTAACAACGCTGACTGTTTCCCCAGCCATGTCATGTCTGAGTATGTGCGGATGACAGACACTGAGCGAGACCAGATTGACCAGGATGCCCAGATCTTTATGAGAACATGTGCTGATGCAATTCAGCAACTCAGAACAGAAGGTAAATTGATTAAAATAATGTGTGAGTTATGCCAGATGTTTAAAGCGTTTATCTGCGAAGCGTAATGCTTTTGTGTTTCTTTGTTTTTTTAGCACACAAGGACATCCATTCCCCACAAGTGAAGCAGCACAGAGAAGCTGTCCTAGATTTCATTGGAGACTATTTAAAAAGTATATATTTTTCTTGAAATTGTGGTGTTTTTTATTTTGTCTAGCCATAATTATTTTCTTTAAGCTTAGACCAAAATGCTCTGCATTGCTGTAGCCTTTTCATAAGTGCTTCCCTGTTTCCATTGCTGGGACAGCTAGAGAGCCAGAGTTGCCGGGTGACAATAAGGCAGTGGTGTAGGGAGGAAAGTTATAGATATGTTGTGTCCCAAGTAACATTTGTGGGCAACTGGAACCTTGAATTTCAATGCACACAAGTCAACTGGCTTTAAAAAAGCAAAGCAGATTTCAAACTGACTTTGGAAGGAAAGCTAACAGGAGAAGAGTTTAAGTTAACTCGTTAGGGTATCCCTAACAAGTCCACTAAAATTAACAAGCCCATCAAAAATATTACAGTTGCAAGCGGTAGATACTTAAAGAGGGAGAAAAATACTTTTTTTGTGCTAACACTAGAAGCCTTAAAGTCAGAATAGGTTTGAAGTAAGAATATTGAACCCTTAAACTTGGTGGAGCATCATCACTGGTAGGTTGGGACAGCACTCTTTTGCTAGATTAGAGTGGTTCGTGACATCCTGAAGTGCAGTTAATACTAAATACTGTAGGTCAATAGTGGTTGTAATGGATTTAGGGGTTGCTCGTGCGTAGGTTGCCGCCACTGCTGGCGAGGTTACCTGGTTAAACCCTTCCTGACTGAACAGCCTCCAGCATCGTGACTGTCTCAGTCGCTGGCAGAATCCGTCAGTGGGCGTTTCTTAAACCTTTTCCAGCATAAAAGTTCCTTGACGCCAAGTCTCCTCCTACTCTCCCTGCGCGGAAGTCTTCTGCGCAGGGAGGGTGTGGGCAGCGGAGTACCCGTACTCTCTCCGCTGGTCTCCGGCGAGGAGTCTTGGAGCCTCCTCTCCGATTCCCCAATCTGCCCCCCTTCTCCACTGGTGTTATGCTGATTTCCTTCCCCAGCAGATGGGCTGCCTCTCTCCCTACTGGGACCCTCTCCGGCATCCCTCTGGAGCCTTCCCTCCGCCTCTAGCTCCGATGGCAGTTCCCTGACAGTGGTAAACTACAGCCCTTCATAGTTTTGAACCCCTGATATGGGATGCGGATTAGACTGAGGCTTAGTGTAGCTTTCAACTACCCTGCAGTGTTGTCTATTCCTTTTGTTAGGAAACAAAGGGGGAGCACATAGTAGAAATTTTATAAAGTTATGAACAATGTGAAGTGAACTTTATTCTGTGCAGACTACTTTTCTCTTAATAAAAAATTATAATTCATGCCTATTCAATAAAATTGATTGGTAATAAAGTTCAGAACACACAACTTTGATAAAATCCATTTATTAGGTATAGTGAGAACAGGTCTACCAATGACTATTAGCTCTAATAGCTCAAAAATTGATCCTCTATGTTCAGAAGTGCTATGTCAAAGAGGTAGCATATACTACAGAGGTGGTATATTGTCAGTCAGACATCCATCATATTCAACCTGTGAGTTTTACAGGTTCATCTGGGTGGTTCCTGATCTAGCAAGACATTTTTTATGTTAATGTATACCATTTTCCTCTTGTTTACATGGCATCTTCATAACTATAAAGGAGTGTGTAAGCTGTATTCAGAACAAAGGGCTATCCGGGTCAAGCGAGTAGTTGATAAGAAAAGATTGTAAGTAATATTCCTTTAAATCCGTGCTTTTGATTTTCTTTGGAACTCTCATTAAATCTGTGAGCAGGTGATGGTGTTTCCTACTTGGCAGGGGGTTGGACTCGATGGCCCTTGTGGTCTCTTCCAACTCTATGATTCTATGATTCTATGATTCTATGAAATGTCTCAATGATAAATAGGTATGTTCTTCATTCACTTGCCTCAGAAAGCCAAACTGCACCTTACAAGGGATGCACAAAAGCGCAGGATCCCAAAGAGGAAGATTCTCCTGCTTTGCTCCTCCCCAGTCCTTTTCGTTTCTTCACTGCTTTGGTTTGGTTTAGTATGTCGTCAGAATCTGGGCTTGTGTATAAGCTCTCTCCTCGCTAACCACAAATCATAGGCAAGAACGAAACCTTGGCTGCTGCTGAAGGAGAGAGCTTAACCACAAGCCTGGGTTTGCATGACACCCTAAGACATGGGTAGGCAAACTAAAGCCCAGGGGCTGGATCCGGCCCAGTTGCCTTCTGGATCCGGCTTGAGGACCGTCTGGTGTGGATCTGATTGTTCGGGCTGTGCTAGTGCACGCGTTCGGCAGCGCCTCCTCCCTCCCTCCTCCTGGCTTCTGCCTAGAGCTGAGAGGAAAGGGGCAGGGCTTTGTTGGTGACAACAGCAGCAGCGCTAGCGCTCAAGCGGCCGCCATTGTAAGCAGGCTCAATTCGGGCTTTGTTGCTGCCAGCCCCTCTCCAGAGCCCTTTTGTGCGCCGCTCATCATCCCGCCACCGCCAGCCCCTGCCCTCGCAAGACACAGGTAAGCAGCCACCGGGGCTCGTCCAGTGCTGTGGAGAAGGGAGGGGAGAGTCGGGGTGGTGGCTTACCTGAGTAGAATATGTCCTTTTATTTAAAATGCATCCCTGGGTTATTTGTGGGAATTCGTTCATTTTTTTCCAAAATATAGTCCAGCCCCCCACAAGGTCTGAGGGACAGTGGACCAGCCCCCTGCTGAAAAAGTTTGCCAACCTCTGCCCTGAGACAAACCTTGGTTTAGTTGAGTACAACATGGGAGTAAAAACGTTTGGGGCGGAGCAATACAGATGCAAACTCCTCTCCAGGAATTTGCATGGTCCTAACAAGCCATCCATAGCTTCACTTACTGCAGCTTGCACAAGAAGGCGTTCTCCCTCTTCCATCTCTCTTTCTCACGCCCACATACTTTTTCTCCAGTTTTGAGTGTGACACAAACATTGAATTTCTTTTTACTTTCTTGTAGAGTTGGTTTACAACAACCTTCCAAGGGTTTCGTTTGTTTGCTTCCCTCCATTTTTATCTTGCCTTTGGTGTTCTGTAAGGCTCTCAGGGTAACTTAGTTTCATTAAACTCTGCTAAAGGTTTGCCATGTTAATTCAGCAGCAAAGTGAAGTATTAATGTGGGGAAATGCACGTGCCTGGATGCTTAGCCGTTCTTGCCTCATGTCATTGAAGCCACTGCTGTTAGACCTCATGCCGAAAAATGGGAAGAACCATGTTTCTCTTCCTTACTGAGACTAGTAGCTTTAAAGTGTATGTTCACAGGAGTTTTAGGGGAAATGATTCGGAGGGCCACAACCTCTCCAACCTGCAATTATTTCCTAATAGAGCAACCATCAAATCTGGGCATAATAGTAGGAAGCGGAAACTTCTGGATCTTTAGACTCAACCCCCACACTCATGGACTTAATCTGGAGGGCAACACTTAATTTCTCTCTTGTTATTTTTTATTTTAAAAAGCCTTTTGTACATGCCACACTTCTTAAAATTATTCTGAGTATTCTTAATGCAAAGGTGGAGATGTTTTACAAAGCAGTGTTAAATCTCTCTATTCCAACATTTATTTATTTTCCATGTATTATTGCTGAGTATTGGTCAGCACCTTCCAGAGCCTGTTTATTTACAGCGCTGCCTGACTGGTTTTAAGATTACAAAACCAGTCGTGTAGAGCACCTGCTTTCCCAGGTAGGACTGGGAGAGACTTGTGCCTTTAAGCCTGGAGATCTCTTGCTCATCAGTGTAGACCATGGTTCTTCAACCTTGGATCCTCAAGGCTAGGGATGATGAGACTTGTAGTTGTTCAACATTTGGGAATGCAGGAACACTGGTGTAGACAGTACTGAACTATGTGGACTAATGGTCTAGTTCCATATAAGGCAGCTTCTTATGTTCTGCAATTTATTACAGAAAATATACATATTTTAGCACTATTTCCAGACACATAATTCATTATAGAATAGAAGCATCATTTTTAAAGATCTGTACATGGCTCTTTTGGGAAAGCAATTGCAAAGTTCCAGATGCCACCAGAGCAGCAACTGTTAGCTCTTACTGCATGAAAGGAACTTGACGTTACAGAGGCAGGCAAGGAGGAGGGGTATCTCATCTGTTGCCTTATCATATGGCACCACAGTGCCAATTGCTGTGTGTATAAACCTGCCCCAACTTTCCTCCAGCTGAAGGGAGAGATGCGCTATTCCAGCATAATGGACCATGGTATGAGCCTGTAGCTGCACTTGATTTTGGTTTGCTTGCTCTTAATTGTTTATGTATTTGCTCATTTAGATCCAGGCTTGAGCCAGAACAGAGTGATAAATCCAAAGTAACTTCTTCTCCTGAAAGAACTGCTCAAACAACTTCGGAAGAATCTGAAGAGAAACTCACTTGTGAAGACAACAGAGGTGATATTTCAGTCCGGTTCTGTGTCCATGTTCCACTTTTTAGCGGTGGTGTGTTTGTATGTGATGAGCATTTGCTCAGGTTTTTTGCACTTTGGCATTTGTTGATTCAGCAGTGAACAGTGGGTTTACTGGAAATCATGGGACATGGGGGCCCGGAGTGTGACATGGGGAGAAACTTGTCTGCTTTGGCCTTCCCTGAAAGACCTCATGGGAGTGAGAGAGAAGGAGACTCTACAGACAGGGATGCATGGTTTCTCCTATGGGGCTTCAGCAGCATATGGGTCAACTAGAATAATTCCAGTCCGTCCTGAACTGACTGAAAACAATGCATCCACTACAGACTGGGTTACTGCAAGATTGGATTTCTGCAGTGCACTCTCTCTGGGGTTTCCCTTGCACTTGATCCAGAAGCTGCAGTTAGCGCAGAGTGCTGCAACACTCCCAAGGCCTTGTCAGCATAGAACTGGTGTGCTCAGAGGACTGCTTCTGGGCCAGGTTCAAGGTGTGGCTATTAGTACGCAAAACCCTTAATAATTTGGGACCAGTTTACCAATGAGATGGCCTTACCCCACATGTGCCCCTTTGACCGCTTTGATGGGCTGAATTTGCACCACCACATATGCCATATAATACCCATCCCACATTTTTAAGAGATTAATCGTTTAGTGTGGCAGCGCTTACGCTCCCTGTCTGTTGAGATTAAGCAGGTGCCTTCACTGTACAGTAGTACCTCGGGTTACAAACGCTTTGGGTTACAAACTCCACTAACCCGGAAGTAGTACCTCGGTTACAAACCTTGCCCCAGGATGAGAACAGAAATCACGCGCCAGGGGTAGTCCCAATTAGCAAAAGCGTGCCTCAGGTTAAGAACAGTTTCGGGTTAAGAACGGACCTCGGGAACGAATTAAGTTTGTAACCTGAGGTACCACTGTACTCCTTTTCGGTGTTTGCTAAAAGCATCCTTGTATCAGACAACCCTACCTCAATTAGAAATCTGTTTTAATATTTTAATATTTGTAATTTTTTAAAAGTAGGGTTGCGAATGTTTTCTTGGTTTTACTGTTCGGTCATCTATAAACCACTGTTCCATTACAATCAAGCAATGTATAAATTTTCTGAAATAAATAAGTGTGCAAACGTGAAAATTGCATTCCCCCTGTGTTTCATGTAGGAGACAGGCTGCTATGGTGACCAGAGCTAATCTGGGACTAAGGGCACCTGCTTCTGTGAGCTCTCTCCTTCCCCTTTTTCTTGATATTCATCCCGGTTGCAGTTGCCTAACAATAAGAGCACTGGCACTGGTAGTACTTAAAATTAATTGGTTCCTAGGGGCTAATAAAGGGAACTCGGTGGAATTAACGTTCTGTCTGCCAAGCGTTGCATCTTGCCAGGTGGACCAGGCGGCCCTCTCCTCTCCCCACCTTGCTGTTTTTGGGGGTTCTCCCAGTCCCCTCCCAGCCAATTTTGGGTAATGTAGGGGAAGCAGGGGAAGCCCTGTTGTGCAAGCAGAAGTCCTTGTGTGTAGTAGAATAATCTTCCCCACTCTTTCTCTGTTTGTAGTTCTGTAAGCTGACTTTTTCTGGTTTTGCCAATATTGTAAATAAGCATAGGGCTGTAGGTGATAGCTGGCACTTTTAAATGAAAACCACATTGGCTTTTTGTTCAAAGTGTGGATATAGTTAAAGCAAACATGAATATATCCTTCAGTTAAACAAAACAATCTGATTTCAGAGCTGTGTACTTCAATTAACATAGCTTTAGTTTGCAGAATTGGTACCATTGAATGCAAGAGAGATTATCTGCTTCTGAATAATAAGCAGATATTCTGTTCACAGCACCAGTGTGTACCTTACGCAGGGAAAGGCTATTTCTTGTCAAACCAGCATCATTTCCCTTCCCAGTTCCTTCAGGCAGTGTCATTTTTTGAGGTAGGTCATCAGATTTCATAAAGGTTGCACAAGAAGGTGGGAGATGGGGAAAAGGCATTTCCGGAAAAAGCTATCAAACCTCTGGCATTTGGGGGGGGGGAGTTTTTTAGTTTTCAGTGCTTGATGTTGTATTGTGTTTTTACTATTTTTGTTGGGAGCCATCCAGAGTGGGATATAAAATAATGTTGTTGTTGTTGAAGCGTAAACAGAAGGGATTTTTTTAAAAAAATCAGGAAGTAGGAACAAAAGATATGGAACTGGGTGTGAATTAATGAAACCACTGCCACAGTGTCCTTTCTCTTGGCAGATCAAGATGAGCAGGTGACAGCAAAGGTTGCAAGGTTTTTAGCTGGGGCAATCAAAATATTTGACTGTTGATTTAAAACCCTAAAATGTATTTTATATAATTGACTTTTTACTTCTATTCTTTATATATCGTATTGTTGTTTTATTGCTATGGCCGATGGCTGTCGCAAATAAAGAATCATTAATTTTTAAATGAATACATAATAATAAAAGAACCATGGAATATTATGTTAATATATAATCACAGTGGAGAGACTCTTGTTTCTCCCTTGAAAGAAGAAATGTAGCTTTGATTTAATGTGGCAGGGGCCCTTTCCATGCCACTGTCACTGTTCCAAAAATGTTTCATCTGCCTTTTTCAGCCTTTGTTTTAATAAAGAAGAGAACAGTAATTCCAGACACCATGCCTAGTTACAGAGCCTAATGTGGGAGGTGTCTTTCAGTATAATACCTCATCCAGAATTGTTTTTAAACAGAAGTCCCCTGAAAGGCTTCCCAAGAGAAGCGAGCATCTCACACGGCAACATTGCCGGTCTAATCGAAAACACTTTCAGAGACAAGAATATAAACAAGTACAAATTAAGCAAAACACATCTCACTCAAGGATCTTGGTAGGAAAATAATGTTCACAACTAATGGCAGGCTTCAAACATAAAATAAAGTGCAGCAGTACCCTATCTAGTTTTGTACCCCTTGGAAAATTGAACAGCCAACATGCTTAAGTTGAGTATGGAGACTTTTAACACTATATCCCAGCAGGTGCGTTTGGTGCCTTAACCCAGGGGTCAGCAACCTTTTTCAGCTGTGGGCGGTCCACTGTCCCTCAGACCATGTGGGGGGCTGGGCTATATTGGGGGGGGGAATGAACGAATTCCTATGCCCCACAAATAACCCAGAGATGCATTTTAAATAAAATCACACATTCTACTCATGTAAAAACACCAGGCTGGCCCCACGAATAACCCAGAGATGCATTTTAAATAAAAGGACACATTCTACTCTTGTAAAAACACGCTGATTCCTGGACCGTTCGCAGGCTGGATTGAGAAGGCGATTGGGCCACATCCGGCCCTGGGGCCTGAGGTTGCCTACCCCTGCCTTAACTGATGTTACTTTTTGCCAGTGTTGAAAATATCAGAAAACCACTGGATTCCGTTTGAAGGAAGACAAACAAAAACAGCTTGGGCTTTTCTATATGAATGTTACATTACACTAAAATATTCCACTCTCCCAGAGAGGTACCTCTTTTGGGGGTAGAAGTGTAAGCATGGGTCACTTATCCCCCCAAACCCCCTTTATGTAATGCAAGTAGGCAACTAATAATATCAGGAGTGCTCTGGGTCATGTTCTAAAAAGTACCTTTTTTGCATAATTTAGAAATGTCTGCTGATTGAATGTGGATGATTCTCTGCCGCAGGGAACGGCATAAAACAGCTTTTTTAGCACCCTTTTAAAACAACTTTTTAAGCACTGAACATTCAGCCACTCAGCTGATTCCTTTTTTAAAATGTGAAGCTTTTATCCCTCCCACCTTCCTTTGCCTTGTTTCTGCAAGCGGCACAAAAGGGTTTGAGGCAACCTCAGCTTTAAAGCTTCTGAAAGTGCAGTACTGTATCAGTTAAGAATATGAGCATCTCAACATCTCCAATAAGAGGAAGAAGTCTGGTGGCAGGAATTAAAAGCTGGCTTTTAAAATTGAGGCAAATAAAATTATGGACAGTTCAGTTATTGCTGAACTAGGAATAATATTAAATAGGTCTAGCAGTTTTTGGCTACATGTTGAGCATAGTTTGTTTCTTCTTTTGCAGATAAGAATGTGATAGATGAACACACTAATTTTGGACTTTGGGGTGATGGCAAAGGAGAAGATGAGCTTTCACCTGAAGAAATCCAAATGGTAAGTTGCATTTTCTACCAGTTTGTTGACGTTCTCCCTAGCTAGCTATATCTACGGATATTGAAAATGGAATAAGTCCAATGCATACACTGAGTCATTTGCCTTTTCTGCTAAGCAACGCTTTAACAAATGCACCCTGCGCGTTTGCTTCTCTGATTCTTTTTGTCAGTACCTACTTAAAATTCTTAATCATATGATTGGGAAGGTGATTGTTGTCAAGCCATTATGTTCGTGGGAAAGTATTTTTCAGCAATTAAGACTGCCCTTTAAGATTTTAAATTATTGCTTTAAATCTCTACTATAAATAGTTATTTCTGTTCACAAGCAGATGGAGCTATTCTAACATTAAGAATCATAAAGAAACTTCCCAAAGAAGATACTGTAATTTCTTATACTTACTTTTCCATACTACCTCTGGCCTTCCAGATGTGGATTAATTACAGCTCCCATCATCCATTGCCATTGGCCATGCTTGCTGGGACGGATGGGAATTCTAGTCCAGCAACTTTGAGAGAGCCAAAGGTTCCCCATACCTGGTATATGATGAGGATATTATTATGAATCCACTGGTACAAAAATCTCTTAAGGACATTTTAAGGGCCTTCCATGCCACACAATGCTATTGTTGCATTATGATGGGATTTCAAGCTCAGTGCCTCAAAATCAGAGGGATCAGTGCTGCTTTCTGCTCACCTGGCCCCTCCCTCATGTGGTGCGGTTGTGCTAGACCAGGCCGGCATAGGCAAACTCGGCCCTCCAGATGTTTTGAGACTACAATCCCCATCATCCCTGACCGCTGGTCCTGTTAGCTAGGAATCATGGGATTTGTAGTCCCAAAACATCTGGAGGGCCGAGTTTGCCTATGCCTGGGCTAGACCGAGGACATAGGCATTCGGGGCTAGGACGGGGATACAGTGCCACCAGTTTCCCTTCAAACTTAATTGCTTACCTTTTCTGATTGCTTATATGGGACCATAATTCTGGAGACGTCTTGGGACCATAATTCTGGAGAGTTTTGTCTTTCAAGACATGTAAGATACAGCAGCATATGACCATATTTTGACTTAATTCTCTTTATGAAATCAGTACACATGTTGCTTAACCACATCTCTACTTACCATGCCTTTAACTAGAAATTCAGATAGGTAGGTGTTCAGTCATTTTCTGCATGTGATCTTCTGCCTCCATTTTGATGTTTAAAACTGAAGGTCTTTGTTCTCATGTGAATGAAGGGAAATCCAATTTTTGTACACAATCACAATACATCCTATCATGATTGCAGTAACACTTCAAAGTCTCACTGATTTCAAGGAAAGAATTAAGAAAGCCCTTTAATCTTTGAAATACAGTGGTCTTGCAATGCTCCACTCTACCTAGATCATACCTGTAAGCTCTTTCTCTTCAGCCATGTAATTGAATTCTAAAGCATCCAGCTAATTAGCTAAGTGGATTTCAAACATTTTCTTTCTTCTCTTTATATACTCCTTTATATCAGGAAACTTAGACTGTCCAATTTCATGAAAATTATGCTAAATTAAACTAGCTGCTAAGATGGAAAGAAATATTGAAAACACTGCAGAAGTTTTATATTAAAATGTGTTTGGGGAAATTGCAACCAAAAGGGCTGCAGGCTGGTTTACGAAACATTTTTATGCGATAATTTGAATTTTCCTTACCCCCGCTAACACATTAAGGACTTTATAGTTCTTATAAGAACACGGCATAGTGTTTAGTTAGATAAAGTAAAATCGTGTTCTGTTCTATCTAATTTTCCCAAGCTACTTTCATTTTATTGTTTTGTTCTTTCAGGGAAATAATTTGTTTTGCATTTTAAAATGTCTGTACTGGAACAGTAATAAAGGACTTTATTCTGGGTAATATATCCTTTGAGTAGATCCATTAAAATCAGTGGAACTACTTTGTGTATAACTAATGTTGGATATCACCCTCCGTTAACTAACTCGGGCTCTCTTTGTGTCATTATACAGGTTATCACATCACACCATCAGTTTGCAACCACTTACCTTATTTCTCTTAAGAAAATCTGTGTTTGAGCATTGTAGAATCATATTTCCAGTTTCTATCATGTAAATTATTTTGAGTATATACTGTTCTGTCCAACTTCATGTTCATATGACTGCTTTGTAATAGATTATTAGTCCAAGAGGCTTTCCAAAAGCTACATTTATCTAAGATATGTTTTTGAGGATTAAAGGGTCTTTCCAAAGGAACATTAAAGTGAAAGTGCTCTCTATATTACAGGTTACTTTGCTTCAAATAGGAAAGCACTGAAAATCCTGACTACTCCTTTCAGAAATTAATGGGCCTAATTCAGCATTGTAAAACCCAACATTGACCGTGGTGTAACTTACTCAGATTGGTAGAAAGTCCCAGGTTCCTGGTAAACCGTATTTTCCCGTGCATAATATGCCCCCTATTTTGGGGGGACTCCAAATTAAGAAAACACCCCTCAGCACTACCCATGTATAAGACGAGCCCCAATTTTAAACCTAATTTTTTGGTAAATAAACCTAGTCAAACATGGAAAAATACGGTAATTATCAGCCTTCATAAGCAGTCATTGCTGCCCAAGTGTTTGTGAATGCTCCATTTCCAGAGGCTTTGAATCCCTGCACATCAAATTTCATGGTTTATTTTGTGGGTGTGCCTGAGGATGGAATGACCTTTGAGCCTTGTTGTTATTATTGTTAACTTTCTCTTCCCAGTTCGAGCAGGAAAATCAGCGCCTTGTCGGAGAAATGAACAGCCTGTTTGATGAAGTGAGGTACAGCCTTCCCCGCACCCTCGCCTGCCCTTGCGGCACATAGAATGTGCTTTCCAATCCACTTTATGTACATACATACATTTGTATGTCACCTTTCCATGCTCACGGTCGCACACAACATGAAAACAGATACATAACCACCACATGACAAAAGTAGTAATTGCCCAGATTACCAAACTGCGTGATTTCCACACAAAACACAAGAAGATCTAAAATAAAGATATGAAAAAACCAACAGCAACAACTCCCCACCAACAGAATGCCCCCAGCCCACGAGTCTGGTCAGCAGCCTCAGCTTTTGCAGCTGGAGTCAGTCAAGGCCTTCCCCTCTCCGGCCAGGTGGAAAAGGCCTGCAAGGCAGGGAGCAGGTCTTCCGGGACTCACAGCCAGGATGGCCTCTGGCCTCTTCAGCAGCCTCAGCCTTTGTAGCTGGAGTCCGTCAGGGCCCCTAATCTCAAGGTCGTGGATTCAAACCCCACGTTGGGCAAAAGATTCCTGCATCACAGGGGGTCGTACTAAATGACTCTTGTGGTCCCTTCCAACTCTACAATTCTATCATTCTAGGTGGGGAACGGTCTGCAAGGCAGGGAGCAGAGCTTCACAGCCAAGATGTAGATATAGTTTCACAGTTTCTTTTCATAAATCTGCTGCTAGATAAGTGGAGCTGAAAGATTCATTTTACTGAGCTTATGCACAATTTGAACCACTCTTCATGTTTGCTAGTTTTTTGATAAATTGGACAACACAGTTTTCTGACTAACACCACCTTATACAGAGTCAGAAATAGGTCATCTTGCCCATTTCAGCTATCTTCAACCTGTTCATATCTATCCACTTTTAACGTTATAGGGATACTTTATTCTCTCTCTCTCTCTATTACACATCAATACAGAAGCCATTAGCTAGTGATCTACTGAGTTAAAATTTATTTTTGCTAATCTGCTTCGCTTGGCTTGCAATTCTCCATTCGTAAGAAATGCTCCATATTACATTTACTTAAGTTTGAAAGAAATTAAAAATGTTTGTACTTACATGGCTTTTTAATTTTTTTAAATAGACAAATTGAAGGGAAGGTGGTTGAAATATCTAGACTTCAAGAGATATTCACAGAAAAGGTCTTACAGCAGGTAAATACCACAGGGAGGTGGTTGGTTGGCTCATTGTATTCTAGTATTTTTCCAGTAGGTAAAAAGGCTGCAGTTAAGAGAGGCAAAATGAGTGATTGAGCACAAAAAGGCAGGCATAGTATAAGAATAAAATGTGAGTTCCATAGGGACTCCACTGCACTGAAGGGGACTTCTGCCGCTCAAATGGGCTTCGGGAAGATGTCCTGGACATGTTCAGGGGCATTGCTGCCACGGATGCTTTAGCTGAGATTCCTGCATTGCAGAGGGTTGGACTAGATGACCCTCAGGGTATCTTCCAACTCTACAATTAAATGATTCTGTGCAGTTTGATTATGACCTGTTTTTTACTTTGTATATTTCAACTTACTTAAAAGGAAGCCGAGATTGACAGTATCCACCACTTAGTTGTGGGTGCAACAGAGAACATCAAGGAAGGAAATGAAGACATAAGAGAGGTAATGTCTGCCTCCCCCCCTTTTCTAAAAATCAAATACTACTTGACCTTAACAGACTGCCTGTAATGTATTTTGAGAGAACACTGACACCCTTGTTAGTCAGACACATGGTCCTTCCTCCATAAAGCCACTTTTAAAATGTTCTTAAGGAAAACAAATCTCATCCCTGGGCAAGTAATGGCATGGTCTTTGGGCTTTGCTTTCTCCGCATCAATAGGAAATAAACGCCCATTTTACATGAAGACTTGAGAAGCTTCTGGTTTCAGCAGCTGGGTCTTGAAAAAAAGTGAAATGGTGGTAATAGTCTGAGTATACTTAGTGCTTACTAGAGAAAGCTATTTCATCCTTTATCTTCTGTTTGTTGAAGTCTTGTGCATAAAACTGAGCCAGATGTTTAATCGAATTTAAGTTTTTCCAGGCTGCTTACTATGTTGTTGTTGTTTAAAAAAGGGTGTCTAAAATAGGAACTCCCGGTAGATGTAACTTTTCATCAGTGGCCATAGAGGGCCTTTCACCTGTGATATGACCCAAGATTTGCAGTTTCATCAACCCAAACACTGCTTCAGTCTTGCTGGTGCTCATTCGATAGGTGGCCCACCTTTTATAATATTTCATAGCAGTGATCTACGTCAGCCCCCTGCAATTCATTGTGCCGTATTCTTAAAAGATGTGATTCATGCGGTCAGGCTTCCCATCGGCGTCTCCTTTGGAGGCTGGGCTGGGTGGGCCTTCAGCCTGATCCAGCAGGCTCTTCTTATGTTCATGTGCAGCTAAAGATGTGAAGACCTGTCTTTAGCCATTACTGCTAAATAATAGTATTCAGGGCTCAAACTGGAAAAGATTTTGCCTTGTCCTGAATTAGACCCTTTTGAGAGAAATCATGATTTATTTTTTCCCTACAGGCAATCAAGAATAATGCTGGATTTCGTGTGTGGATCCTCTTCTTCCTTGTGATGTGTTCCTTTTCTTTGTTATTCTTGGACTGGTATGGTAGCTAACCCTGGCCCATTCATTATTCATATAGCCCTGACCAAAATCTGCTGAAGCCACCTGGGACGGACACTGGCTGAAGATGTTTTCTTTACAAAGCAACACGTCTTGTATTTCATGCATCATCATGGTCGAAATACCTTGACCAGACATGTGCATTTCTACACCTTCTGCTACAGGACGTACTGGTACAACTGGAAGTTAGGTTTAGTGTAAGTTCACACAGGGAACTGTTGTGGTGCATCAACGAACATAGCTTTTTAGCTATTTACCCAATATTTTATTACAATGGTCTCTTTCTAAATATTTTTGCACACATGGATTGCTGGTGGGAGTTTTGCAGTGCTGCTCAGTGACCAAGCAACTGAAGTTCACAGCAAGTCCTAGAGTCTCATCTGTCAACAAAGTTCATACATGACAGGTTGAAAAAAATCAAACTGATGGCCTAAATGAACCTTATTCCAGAAAGGCAAAATAAATTCCAGATTGCATTGAAAAGGAAAGGTTTGACTGTTTAGCATGTGATTCTTCACAGTTGGCATTTCAATTTACAACAAAACTGCTTTCCATTTCTTTCTTTTTTCATAAATGTACCACTATAGAAAACAAAGTAATCCAAATTCTTCAATCGTAGACATGTAGAATAATCATCATAGGAAAACTTGAGGTGAATGTTGCCATAAGTACAGTGATTGGAATCCTTCATTTCTGATTGATTTTAAATGCAATAATACATATGTCTATGTCAACATACTGAGCTTGAGACTTGGTTATCCTCCTTTTTCTTTATTTTACACAGAGTGAAAATGTCAAAAGTTACATGTGAATTTACATTCAATAAAGTACCTGACTACTAGGAAATACAAACATGGTATAGTTTAATATGTTTATATGGGACCGAACTTTTTTTTCAAAATGCAAAAGAAAGATTTGGCACATAATTTATTGCTTTTATGCATTCCACACAGCAATGATGACATACTAAAAGTTCTTTTACAACATGAAACTATGTCCAGTATGAAAAGTTCTTAATGAAAAAAACAACTGGCTTTTGCTAAGCGGGCTCGTGATGCTGAAATGTATCGGGAGAAAATGTAACCAGAAGTGGAACCAACCATGTTTGTTCTACTACATATGTGTTTTTGGAAAGCATGTGTCTACAAAAATAATGAAACTTTTGACATGTCCACTGGGAAGTAGCACATTCAGAGCATGAACAAAAATAGCAGCTGAGTGCTTTGATCCAGTGATGACCAACCCTTCGGTCAACTGTACGCAAGTCAAGGCCCAGGTTTGAGAGAGTATAATTCTGGTGCAGTGCTTTTCAACCAGGGGTACTTGTACCATTGGACATCCTGTCAAGTGCCACTACTTATAAAGCATTGCTCTGGCGCCTCTGCAGTGCATGCTAGCACAAAAGCACAGCACTGGACACATGGCAAGAGGCAAAGCCAATCTCTGAGCCACAGCCTGCCACGCAACATTTCCGTGGTTTATTCCAGGCGTGCTACAGGTTGACCACCCAATGTTTAAGCCGCTTTTTCCAGTGATAAAGTTAATGAAAATATTTATGTAATGTACGTTGAAAGGTTTATAAATAATAAACATGTAATAGTTTAGAAACTTGCCAACACAATAAACGTGCACCTACAATTCTAGGCTTGTCTACTACTCCCCCCACCCATCACCCACCCCATCCAAGTTTATCTCAAGAAGGCAGCCTGTCTCCTATTCTCCCTTTCCCCACATGCCATTTCAGAAATGCAATGGGAATAGGGCTCTTTTTATGCATTTAATGCATTTTCTCCCTCACACCCAGTTCTAAAATGTTTACATGAAAGTCCCACTGAGTCCAGTGGAACTGTTTTCCGGGTAAATATGCTTAGGGTTGCAGCCTTAATGTCTAAAGATTAGAAAATGCCCAAACGGTGCTGCTAACGCAAAGCATTTTGCAACATATAAAAAGGGAAATCTTTTAATGTTGTACAAAAAGAGAAAGTTCTAAGAAAACTGCTCCTCCTGTCGTGTTGCACATATTACATTGTGGGCTACCTCTACAGTGGCTTTTTTTGTCTGTTCCGTAGGGCTCCACTACTTATCAGAATATTTTGCCGCCTAACATTTTTGCACATTCACTAAACATCATGATCCACCATTAAAATGTACATTTCCATAGTGTCTGTTTTGTGTCAGTGCAAGTCCATATACAAGATTCTCTAGCCATAGTGGAAATGCAGTGAAATGTTCACAGCTTTAACAAAACAACAATTAAGCATGCCTTGTTGCAAAGAACTTAATTACTTCTAACATATCTGTTACAGTGAGAAAAAACAGGCCAACTTTATTTTTTGGTACTCATCTTGGAGTCGCAAACCAATTTTAAATACAGTTTATAACTAACCCACATAATTTCTAGTTATGGCTATGATAACTCAGATTGCAAAACTGATTTTAAAACAAAACATTAGTACACACAGTAAAATGCACAATTCTCCCCTGTGTCCAAACCCCTGGATGGCTCAATGGAATTCTAAACTGCAAGAAGGTACCTAAGTTGGAATTATTAACAGAGAAACTGGTGTTAAAGCTCTAAAGCAATGCTGATATGCACTTGGCCATTAATGGTCTAAGTTTTTATTTTCTTATTTTTCCTTTTTGCAAAGCAGTTATCGGCAAACCAAAGCAATTGCACCATAAATATGAGTAACCTCTAAATTATCCATAACAATGAGACGTTCGATGAAAGCCCCCTTGATACCTTCCAATCAACAAGATCAATCACGTTAAGCCGATTTCTCAGCTGCTTCAGTCTCCTGCTCAGAAAGTTTCTCTTCTGAAAGCACTGTCATCCACGGAGATACGGATCGCGTGATCGTTTGTTTGGCCAGGTTGTAGTGGTTTATAACTGTATAAAATTTCCCTCTAGCACTAGAGTCTTGTTCAGAGTAGTAGTTCTCTAATCCAGCCGGAATGCATTGATTGTTCTGAAAGACAGTCATTTCAATGTATTTAAATTATTTCTAGGCCATTTTTCTATTGTTGTTTGTAATTTAATTTAATCCATGGTGGGTAACAAGAATAAAACAAATATAACAGAGCAGGACAACAAACGTGCCCACCTTAACTTCTGCACCATGAAACTAAAAACACAGTCTTCTAGCCTTGCATATTGTACTTGCTTACAACACCCATGTACCCACCCTTTCCCTGGGTTTTCATCCTGTGCAAGTTGAAGGAATACTGAAGTTTTCTCCTAAATTCTCACTCAGTCCACTGTGGGTACACTTTGTCACACAGGAAGACCCTAGAAAGATACACCATCCCTCCAAGATACGCACTAGAAGAGTGAAACAGTTTCCCCTGATATGTAAATCATAAAAGGACTTCCTGTTTCCTGTAGATTCTCAGTAGGAGACGGGCACATAGACCATGATCCAGCACAAACCCTACCTCAACAGTCATTCAAAAAAAATAAAAATGCATGCACACCTTTGATGCAATTTTCCATCCCATTAGCCCCAAACAACTTTTCAAACTCCCTCCAAATATAAAGGCAGTTTGACAGAAGAGGTGTTGAAGCAAGAACTGCAAAATCCTGGCTGTGTGCACTCAGAAGAGTTTGGATTTGATATCCTGCTTTATCACTACCCGAAGGAGTCTCAAAGTGGCTAACATTCTCCTTTCCCTTTCTCCCCCACAACAAACACTCTGTGAGGTGAGTGAGGCTGAGAGACTTCAGAGAAGTGTGACTGGCCCAAGGTCACCCAGCAGCTGCATGTGGAGGAGCGGGGACGCGAACCCGGTTCCCCAGATTACGAGTCCACTGCTCTTAACCACTGACCACTGAAAATCTCACTTTTTTGTTTATTCCCATGAAGTCCCCCGCTCCAACCTGACTCTTCAGGTTCTTACGCTTCAGCTCTATCAAGTCCATGGCGGAACCTCCTTAAAACCTTTCTATAGCAGACCTTTCCCTCAACACATGTTCTCTATGTGGAGTACCTGATGATGTGGTTCCTGCAGCACTTTAAAGAAATGTTGCCAATCATCTGCTTGAGAGGGAAAGGAGAGCAGCCAGGTGGGAGAGACAAAATCTAGGAACATCCTGCCTCAAGCAGCTATTAAGTGGAATTTCATTTTTGCTTCAAGGTTCAGCTCTTGGACCAAGAGGGGAAAGTGTGCTGGACCAGATGGCACATGGGATTGATTCTCCATTCAGTGGTGTATGTGTTTAAGCTTGCTTAAGTCCACATTCAGCTCCAAACTGGATCCGGGGGCATGTCCATGTTCTCAAAGGAGTTGATAAGCATGATTGGTGTGGCAAATTATAACTCATTTATTAAACACTGAGTTTTCTCACCCGTCAGCATCTCTAAAAAGCGGAGTCAGGAGTCAAAAACCCTGCATTTATTTAAACTTAAATCTATTGTCTGAATAGGCAAAAATAACTAACATTATTTCATTGGCTGACACACATTCTGTATTCATTTTCAGTTCTCTGAACATTGATTGGGATATTACCAAAACACCCTCCACAAGGTGCACAGGGCTTCTGTTACTGTTTTAAATTATGTAGAATATTAGTGCAAAATAGCCTAGAATTGAGAGGGACAGAAATAACATGTTCTCCCTGCCTCTCATAATTTTGCAAGTCCTCAGGCCGCCTTTAGTTTTTAACCTGAGCTAAACCCCAACCTATTTGAACCATTCCTTTAGTTTTCATTATTATGCCCCTAAAACAATACAGATGATCAATACATCGGAATCACTGTGTTCTGTTGTTGCTGGTTTTAGAAAACTATGTATTACCTTGAAAATGAAGCCTTCTGGACAGGTATGGTCATATTTGTAAACCTTGTAGACTACCAGAAATACAACACACGTCAGGAATGCAAGGGCAAAAAGGACCAAAACAGTTACCTGCAAACAGACAATATATTATCAACATACTTAGCAAGACAGTTTTCTGTTTATTGCACACTGTTCACCCCCACAAAAAAACCACTCCAGAAAATGATGGAAAGTTCTGAAACCTACCAGAGCTCCAATTCATGCCGTGAAGGAGCAGGTATATACTGTGCACCTAAATTACTGTGACATACGAGTCCATTCATGCTGTTGCCCAATTCCTGTTATTCTTCCCCCACAAAAGAAAGGGCGAAGATTCTGTAAAATTTGTCTCTGCACCAACACCACACATTTCTTTAGATCAGAGATGGGAAACCTGGGGCCTCCAGATGCTTGAACTACAACTCGGCTCATCCCTGACCATTGACCATGCTTGCTACAGCTGATGGGACTTGGGGGTCCCAACAACATCTGAAGGGCCACAGGTTCCCCATCCCTGCAGGCTTGTGCCGCTATTTCCACCTCATAAATTGGAGCGTGGGCTTGGTGTGTCAACTGAACTTAGGAAAAGCACAGCATCTACTTCAAAGCAGGTTTTATTAAGTCAATTCTAGCAGCACAAGAGAGCGTCTTTCCTCTTTGCTAACCAAGAGTCAAATGATATGTATTATGGCTATACAGTCTGCTTCTTAAGCCTATTTTTAGCTTGCTCACTGCAATTGTTCTGGTAAAATGTTTCACACCAAACTCTGAATGCCAGTACCTGTTCAAAGGCTGCTCTTTATGTTTCTGGCTTCATTCAACCCCAATGAAAAACCAACTTGAGTTCAAGTACTTCTTCCCTGTTCTTCTAAAGATGGAAAGCTCTACCCTTCAGCAGAGAGTTTGCTCCTGATAGGCAGTGTCTGGTGGGACAGGTTCTTTACTGCCTACAGTGGTACCTCGGTTTAAGAACAGTTTCGGTTTAAGAACGGACTTCTGCACTCAGGATTAAACGGTGAAATCTGTTATGATTAAATGGGCACAAGACGTTGGACACAACATTATGTTCGCTGACTGGGAGCAGTTATGGACCACAGGTATGAAATTTACGGCATGTAATGCCTTAAGAGAGAATATTATGAAAATGATATACAGGTGGTACATAACCCCAGTCAAGCTTGCAAAAATCTACCATGTGCCCGATAATAAATGTTGGAAATGTAAAGAAACTGAAGGTACATTTTTTTCACCTTTGGTGGACGTGCCCAAAGATTAAGGCTTTCTGGGAAATGATATATAATGAATTAAAAAGGTATTCAAATATACCTTCTTGAAGAAACCAGAGGCCTTTCTCCTGGGCATAGTCGGCCAATCGGTGTTAAAAAAGGATAGAACTTTCTTTATGTACGCAACAACAGCAGCAAGAATACTCATCGCAAAGTATTGGAAGACCCAAGAGCTACCCACACTGGAGGAATGGCAGATGAAACTGATGGACTATATGGAACTGGTGGAAATGACTGGTAGAATCCGTGACCAGGGAGAAGAGTCGGTGGAAGAAGATTGGAAGAAATTTAAAGATTATCTACAGAAATATTGCAAAATTAAAGAATGTTAGAGTGATGATGGATTGAAATTAAGTGGTTTCTAGCTGCACAGGCGTTAAAGTTATATATAGACTAAGATTAAGGATAAGGCATAAAAAGGTTAAAAGAACGGAAAACTGGCTATTAATAGATAAGAATTTAATGTTATACCATATTAAGATTAAGGATTGGGATTAAAAAAGAGGGAAAGAAATTGCTGGACAAACAAATTGAACTGGAATACAAAAGAGGGAGGTATGAGGAGGTCCAGAAAATAAGTAAATTCAAAAGTGGTGATGAAAAGGTGGTATTGTTTTTAACTGTTTTTTCTTTTGTTGTTTTTTTTTGTATTTTGTATTGTGTATTTTTGTATTGTGTATTTTTCTTTTTACTTTTAATTCTTTTTTACTGATGTGTCCTTTTTTATCGGAAACTTTAATAAATATCATTTAAAAAAAAAAAAAAGAACGGACTTCTGGAGCGGATTAAATTCATAAACCGAGGTACCACTGTATTTAAATAGATAACCCTTGCTGGAAGGATGGTGTCTTCCAGATTTCATCTGCTCCCCAACAACACAGAAACAGAATCCCTTATGGACCTAAGTCTATAAACCACACAGTGACTGCCACGCTAATAGAGCTGAAATTGCTCATTTTATTGACAAGTCACCTGTGTTCCATTTGCCTTGATTTACCCTGGAGAGGATTATCCAAGATGTGACTTATCTTTGCTTCTGGTGATAAGGGCTCTACTCTGTTTTTGATCACTCTTTCATAAGAAAATGTCGTGAACATACAGAGTGTCCTTTTAGATTCAGACTCAGTCCTGTCTATATTCCACTGAAAGGCGGGAGAAGTGAAGCAATGAGCAGTTTGTCCATCAGAAGCTCAAGCAGTCACAATGCCAAAAAGATCCCCTCCTTCTTTTGGTCATCTGAATTCTTGCATTGGGACTTTTTTAAGAAATTTGAACAAATATTATTAGATCTAGAGAATAATAAATTGATTCTACTTGGAGATTTAAATGGTGTGCCAGTACCAGAACTAGACAGAAGTGTGAAAAGAAAGAATTTAAAACAAGGGAAATTACCAAGATCATTTTACGACCTGGAGGAAAATTTAGATTTAGTAGACATATGGAGACATAAAAATCCAACGATGAAACAATTCACTCATTTCTCAGAGCCACACCAGAGTCGGAGTAGGCTAGATCAGATATGGATCTCAAGAGAATTAACAATAAGAGTGATGAAATGTGAGATACAACCCATAACCCTATCTGATCATAGCTCAATAGTGTTACAGCTAAAATGTGGAACTCAGGGAATGTACAGATGGAGAATGAACAATTATCTATTTGAAAATGAGGAGGTGATTGGAAAAGCTAAATCCATCTTGAAAGAATATTTTGATTTAAACATTAGTAAAGAAATAAATATGGAGATAGTTTGGGATGCCAGCAAGGCAGTTTTAAGAGGTTTCTTGATCCAACAAAACAGTTATAAGAAAAAGATGAGAGAACAAAAAAAAGGAGAGATACTTACCCAACTAAGAGAATGCGAAAAGAATTTAATACTGAAACCAAATGAATAAAAAAATAAACAACTACACAAGATATTACAAAGACAATATTCAATTTTAATAAATCAAGAAGTGGAATGGGGAATTAAATCAATGAAACAAAAATATTTCGAGTCAGCGAATAAAACTGGGAAATTTCTAGCGTGGCAACTAAGAAAAAGGAGAAAACAAAACGTAATAGAAAACGTAACAAAAATAGAAGAACAACTCTTGGAGGACCCTAATGAAATAAAAAAGGGCTTCCTTAACTTTCATGAAAAACTATATAAAAGAGAAGATGATGTAACAGAAATAGGAAGGTATTTAGAAGACAACAGAGTTAAAGGCCTATCGGAGGAGGAAAAAAGTCAATTAAATAAACCAATAAACCAATAAAAATGGAGGAAATTCAAGAAGCGATAAAAAAGATGAAATTAGGAAAAGCCCTGGGGCCTGATGGCTTGTCAGCCAAGTATTACAAAGTCCTAGAAGAACTCCTAACTCCGGTGCTTTGTGAAGTAATGAATGAGACTCTAAGAGGAGGAAGAATACCAGATTCCTGGAAAGAAGCATATATTACATTAATACCCAAACCAGATTCGGACAAGCTTAACATTAAAAATTATAGACCAATTTCATTATTAAATAATGATTATAAAATCTTTGCAGAGGTAATGGCGAACCGGTTTAAAAAGTGTTTAGTCAACTTTATACACAAGGACCAAGTCGGATTTCTACCTAATAGGCAACTAAAGGATAACATACGACATGTAATAAACATTACCAAATACTTGGAGTGTAAAAATGAAATTCCTGCGGTATTAATGTTTATTGATGCCGAAAAGGCGTTTGATAATGTATCCTGGAAATTCTTAATAAAATGTATGGAAACTGCAGGCACATTCCTGGAAGGAATAAAAGCAATATACTCGAACCAAAGAGCTAAATTAATCATTAATAATAATTTGACGGATTCTTTTGAAATCTCAAAGGGTACAAGACAGGGGTGCCCTCTATCACCTCTTTTGTTTATCATGGTATTGGAAATTATTGCAAATAAGATAAGGAAAACTCCAGAGATACGTGGAATAAAAATTGGTGTAAAAGAATATAAATTGAAAGCATATGCTGATGATTTGATGTTGTCATTAGAGGACCCACAAAAAAGTGTTAGTAAAGTGTTAGATCTGCTTGAAGAATTTGGAAAGTTATCAGGCTTCAAATTAAACAGAACAAAAACTAAAATGATGACCAAAAATATGAAAGAAGAGTTAAAAAATCACCTTGAATTACAGACTGGTATCAAAGCAACTAAAAAAGTAAAATACCTGGGAATTTGGCTAACCATGAAGAACATAAATCTAATGGAAGACAACTACACAAACACCTGGAAAGAAATAAAGAAGGACTTGGATACTTGGAACAGAATAAAACTCTCTTGGTCGGGCAGGATGGCGGCAATTAAGATGAATCTATTGCCGAAATTGCTGTTCTTATTTCAAAATATACTGATAATTAGGGGAACCTCAGTATTTAAAGAATGGCAGAAAGTACTCTCTAAATTCATTTGGCAAGGAAAAAGGCCAAGAATTAGATTTAAATTACTAACGGATCAAAGAGATTGGGGAGGATTTGCGGTACCAAATTCGAAGCTATATTATGAAGCCTTGTGCCTTTGCTGGGTTAAAGAGTGGATTGTCATAAAAAACATAGACCTGTTAGATTTAGAAGGTTTCAATATAAGATTCGGTTGGCACGCATATTTGTGGCGTAATAAAAAAAAGGTCCACAAGGGTTTTTCTAATCATATTATTAGAGGGCCACTATTAGAAGTATGGGAAAGAAACAAAAAACTACTGGAAAGAAATACCCCTTGGTGGTTATCACCAATTGACATTTTAACAGTTAAAAGAATAAATACTGAAGGAGAAAGATGGACATATGAAGATCTGTTAGTAAAAACAGAAAATGGATGGAAGATAAGGTCATATGAAGAGATAAAGAATAAACTAACAGGCTGGATCCAATTTCATCAAATCAACGCTTTGTGGACGGAAGACAAAAAGTTTGGGATGAAAAAAAATCTAGATTCCAGGTAGAAATTTTGGAAAGCAAATCAAAACTCTTATCAAAAATGTACAGCCAGCTGCTAGAATGGGACACCAAAGGTGAGGAAATAAAGGAGGTAATGGTGAAATGGGCGATGGACTTTGGATACAACATAGAGTTTGATAAGTGGAAAAAACTTTGGAATAAAGGCATGAAATTCTCAGCTTGTACATCACTCAGAGAGAACATGGAAAAAATGATGTACAGGTGGTACATCACACCTGTAAAATTAGAAAAAATGTACAAAACCGGAGACAAATCATGCTGGAAATGTAAGATTAAGGAAGGCAATTTTTATCACATGTGGTGGTCCTGTGAGGTAATTAAAAAGTTTTGGGAAAGTATTTAGAATGAACTAAAAAACATATTTAAATATACCTTCACAAAAAAACCCGAGGCCTTCCTTCTGGGGATAATCGGAGAAGAAATTAAAAAGGAAGATCAAACACTTTTCCAATACGCAACGGTGGCTGCTAGAACATTAATAGCCCAAAACTGGAAGACCTCAAAAATCCCAACCATAAATGATTGGCAATCTAAATTATTTGAATATATAGAATTGGCAAAAATGACACAGAAAATAAGAAACCAAAAAGGTACAAAGTTTAATAATGAATGGAATAAATTTATGACATATATTGAAACAGAGGTAAAAAATTTAAAAATCACAGTAGGCTCGATATAACGCCTGCGATGTAAAGAGATTTAAGAAAATGAAACTGCAGATAGAAAACCTTTTGTAACATATTCCGAAACCGAGTTGAAGGGAAGTCAATTATTGTTGTGTTATTTAGTTATTTAGTTATTTTAAAATTAATTTGTTGATGTTTTATGTTATGTAATCTCTTTCATTTAATTTTCGTTTTTTTCTGTTTGTCTTTTTGTTATGTTAATGTTTGGTGTTGTATAATGAATTGAAATTAATAAAAAGAATTTAAAAATAAAATAAAAATGAATTCTTGCATTGGGAGGATGGGGATTTATACTTGGCTAATGGGTGCCAGAAATGTACTGTGTTTCTGTACTGAGGGTTCCTTCAAACTGCCATTACCATAGGAAACAACAAGAGCAACAATATTCCAACCATTCAAATTGGGCAGAACATCCAGAACTGTACAAGCAGATTAGATTCCCAGAGATGCTTGACTAGAAAAGAGTGATGTCTTTTGATTAAGGTAAATGTAATGTATTTTAATTTTTGAAGAACTCCCAAAAGGCATGGAAGCCTTTCCCCTGAAATTCATTCCTCCAGGAACTCATGCGCAGGGCTGTGTGCTTCCTTCCTGCTACACAGAGGAGGGCAGTGGAGTTCTGAGATGAAGCCACACCATTTGCCCAGTCCTCTTGGAGTGGCTTGGAATCTCAGAAAGCAATGGGCACTTCGCTGCAGTAGCCTATGAACCAGGTTGCAGACTGCTTGCTTGTCTCTTGAAGGCCTTGCTAACAGACACCTCTCTGGGTGCTTTCTGCCACTGGGACCCTCATGCAAAGATCTTCATGCAATGATGCAGAAGTCACTGTGTTCTGTGTGGTAGGAGTCCTAAACCAGACACTAATGGACTGGATGGAGAACAGTAAACTGAAGCTCAGATTGCATTGTGGGGGTCAGGAAAACCCCCAGAACAACTTGCAAGGGTAGGAGAGAGGAGATCAAAATGCTCAGGGAGCCCCCCCCCCCCCCCGCCACAGGAAGCAAACATGAGTGAGAATTGGCCACCTTCAAATGCTACAAGCAGTGTAACTGAAACTTACAGATTGTTGTGATTTCAAAGCTTTAGAATGAAAAAGGATACATATAATTGGATAAAGTACGGATTTCCTCTCCTCCCTTTTCCTTTTCAGCATCAAGATAAATCCTGCAATTCTCTAGGGGAGCAAAATCCTACAGCAAACTCTCTCCAATGCATCCGTTACTTAGCAGCCAAACCCAACAATCTAATACCATGAAGGTAATCCCAGTGTGATAACCATAAAGTAATATCTAAGTGACAACGGGTTTTTCATGTTCCATCCATATGGACATATTAGTGATATGTATGGCGCGCTACAGAACCACTGATGTTAAACAAGGCTCAGTGTCATGCACAGTCATTGGCACATTCATTTTTGACCAACTACAGGTCTGAACCCAGACAAAAAAACGATCAGTCTTAATTATGGTTTACTGACACTTCAATAAATTATAGTTAAGATTATAGTTAAGATGTTAGTTAAGATTAACTATATTAACTGTATTTGAGTTGGGATGACACAGCAAGCTGAAGTTAATCAAAATGGAAGTGGAAGATTCCCATCTCCTCCTTGCAGCTTAGTTTATTTTCTAGTCCAATGATAACCTGACAAATGGATAATAATAAAACTAACGTTTTCTACCAGTTGAAAACTCCTGCAGTGCAGCATGTCATCATTGCCACCAGCTTCAGCTATTTGTTTGGGAAGAAACTCTTAAGAAATAACCTTGCCTCAAACCTTTGGCCAGTATCTGTAGCTCAGTTGGTTAGAACATGGTGCTGATAACACCAAAGTCGAAGGTTCAATCCCCATACGGGACAGCTGCATATTCCTGCATAGCAGGGGGAATGTGGCGTTTGCCTCCTAGGATGGGTCAAGGAAAGGGTTAAAATGGGTGTGATTGGCCAGTGAGAATGCAAGGGGGGAGTAAAAGATAGAGTGGGAGGTTTTGAAAAGTCAGTTGAGGTTTGGGAGTTGGGGGTTGAGGTTTGTCAGTTGGGGGTTGAGGTTTGGGTGTTGGAGAAGGAAGAGAGAGGCTTAGGTGTGGGTTGGTAGAGTTGTATTGTGAGAGAGTGAGAGGAATTGATAGGGAGTTAGACAGATAGTTGAGAATAATTCAGTTTGAAGTTGTAGGAACTAAGATTTAAGAAACTGACAAGAGAAAAATAAACTGAAACCATACACTTATTCCTGCACGTAAAAATAAACTTGATTATTTGTTTGTGTTAGCAACTGTCTGGACTCCGTGTGTCCCCGTGAGAAGCGGGGTGGCGGCAGCGAAGAAAGCAACCGCAGTGGTGGCACAGGGTCAATAGTCCGTGAAACGTCCGGGGGCCCTGTGTGATCGCCACAGGGTTGGACTAGATCAGGGGTGGCCAACTCCCAAGAGACTGCGATCTACTCACAGAGTTAAAAACTGGCAGTGATCTACCCCCTTTTTGGGGGTTCGGGTCAAAGATGTTGAGTTTTTTCAGGGAGGAGGGGAGCCACAGTTGTTCAGCTTCTTTGGGGGGAGTCAATGATCTACCAGTGATCTACCACAGACGTCCAGTGATCTACCTGTTGGACATGCCTGGATGATCCTTGGGGTCTCTTCCAGCTCTGCAGTTCTGCAATTCTATAGCTATACATGGTTGCTTTCACCACCAATCTTAGCTGTTTTTGTAACTATGCCTTCCTCAGGCCTTTTGCTTTCTGAATGGAGTTGCACAAATTTTATAGGCATTGACTGGGTATCAGATATGAATTGTGTCACAGCACAATGCTATCCATTATGTGTATACTTTTAGTGTTACAATTTTGCTTTGCTTCCTTCCTACCAAGAAGCTCACCTGTCTATCTGCTATCTTTGTCTTAGGTAATCTGAACTATGAGAAGATTAATCTCTCTCTCTTTTTTTGATCCTCTAAATTCCAAGCACGTGCCAATGACTCAGTACAGTGGTACCTCGGGTTAAGTACTTAATTTGTTCCGGAGGTCCATTTTTAACCTGAAACTGTTCTTAACCTGAAGCACCACTTTAGTTAATGGGGCCTCCTGCTGCCACTGCGCCGCCGCTGCACGATTTCTGTTCTCATCCTGAAGCAAAGTTCTTAGCCCGAGGTAATATTTCTGGTCTAGCCGAGTCTGTAACCTGAAGCATCTGTAACCCGAGGTACCACTGTACTTTTAAATCATATTTATTGTCTAACCTGGTGACAATTGGGTTAGCAAAGCTACACCTTCTTCCCGAGACAGCCACACTTTCCCAGGAACTTTTAATGGGTTTTTGATGTTCTGTCCCATGTTGGTTTATGCTCCTCTGTTATGCAAAGTCCAAAAAAAATGTAGTACAGAAATTGTAGGCACTAGAAAGGCCAAGTCTTCTCACCCATTACATCCAGTGGGAGGGATTTCACGCCACTGGTACAGAATAAGGGCTGCCTCAAGATGCTTGCCAAGGATAGCAACATTCAGAAACAGCCCTAATCCATCCTCACCTTCCAACAAAAGCTAATCTTTTGTTTCTCTGCTAACCAAGAACATCCAATCTTTAAAAGAAAAAGCAAACTGATTTTTGGCCAGCCTTTCAATCAGCCCTCCAACAATTTCCAACCTGGACAGGATTTATCCTTCGCTACTGCTCTGGTGGCCTATAGTACTTGCAAGTTTACACTATTAGAGAACAACATTTTTCATGCACCATCAAATGGATGATAAAAACCAGCAAATTCATGAGTTCAAACATAAAATTTCTGAGACAGTCTACTGATCAGTGCAGACCCTAAGAACAAAGGAATAAGGAGGAGGGGCATTTAAGGAAATTAAAGTTAACATGGAAATGAAGGAGCAGAGGTTCAGGGAGCTATCCCTTTATGCTAAATAAATAACAACCTGTAGATAAACAGACATAATCCAATAGGGAATTATCCTGCACATGCCATATTTAAACACACAATTCCCATTAATTTAAATGAGGCACATGCAAGAGACTATCCTGTTGCTCTGAGCCCTAAGGTTTTGCATACAGGTCTGTGGGGCTTTCTTAGAGCAATCTCGGTCTAATAAATAATAATAATAATAATATAATTTCATTGATGAATCGCTTCTCATGAGGCTTCCCAAGCACAATTTACAATGAAATAAAAACATACACAGAACAACTGCATATATAAAACAGCTAAAACTCTAGCATATATAAACACAATTAACATTTTTCTTTCAAAAACAGCAACACTTCTATAAATCTATTCAAATTCATCCAATACCAGATGGGATAAAAGTCTCCACCTAGAAGGCTTGCTGAAAGAGGAATGTCTTCAAGAGGACCAAAAAGACAATATTCTGGCAAAGGTTCCACTATGATTCTTCCACCAAAGAACTAAAGATTTTAATTCCTCACTTCAAACTTCTCCCATTTATGCAACAATAGTTGTGGGTTGTTGTTTTTTGTTTGGCCACCTGCAAGGCCCAAGTGAGCGAGATGATAGGTTCTAAATACAAGAGAATAAGTCAAGCATCTGTTTCTTTATGCCAGAAATAAAGTTATGATATGACTTACCTTAAACCGTTCTGAGACACCTTCAGTGATACTGACTGTGAACTCAGCTATTTTAGGAGTACGGAATTTTCCTTTCTTGCGGTCAGGTTCATATTCTGTTTTTGTCTTGACCACCACCTTTGCAAGGAACATCAACAGGAGACCAATTACCAGCTTGATTGGTGCAGCCAAACTCTCAAACATATAACAATGCAGCCGTCTCTCCCTTTGTGCATGACTTACTCATTAAATTTGCAGTGAAGGCAAGTGCCACAAAACAAACCTGATGAATCCAGTTCTGCAGCTCATCTGCTCACATGTCAGAGGCATCGGGGGAAAGATGTTCAAATCGTGATTCAACTCATTACATGCAATTCCGTCCTCAGTGACATGAACATTATGAGCATAATCTACCAGAAAGTTCTCCTGTGAAACAGTTCCTGTCTGTTTCAAGTGGGGTTTGCTTGTGCAGGAAACGTATCCATGGGTGATGATAATATTTATGTGCCAGCTTTCTCTCAACAACCCTCAAGGTAATAAAAAGAGTAACTTACTAAAAACAAGAGCCAACATAAAGCAAATCACAATAGCTGAACGCAGCAGCAATTTAAATTAATTCAAACACTTCCTTTAAAAGCCAGGTTTGGGTTACTGTACTTCCTAAAAGCCAGGTTGCGAAGTATCATGGCAAGGCCTCATTTGCTGAATGAAGATCTTTATTGGAAAAGGTCACCCTTAATGTTTTTGATGTCTCAAGGATTTCCCCACCACTTTTTAAGCAGCTGCATAACATGTGCTTTCTTCTGCCACTGTACTGGGAAATTATGAACGGAGATTATTTATGGAAGCAGATGCGTAACAACCACCTCATTTCCTGTGATGATGCTTTTTTATCATTAATTTGACATCAGGTCTTCCCTTACCTTGGTGTCATATTAGGCTAACATTCAGGTCTCTAAGTTAGGTATTGCCGTGCAAAAGGAAGCTTGTGTTTTACCCCAGTGTATAAACATCCTTAGGCTGCAACTCTAAACATCCTTACTCTGTTTTCAATGGGGCTTGCACCAACGGGGCTTACTTCTGAGCAGACACCTGCAATTCCAGTGGTGTTCACGTTCACCTCATTGTGCTTAAGGTTATAAATCTTCCTTAAATGCTGGGTGGCTTAAATTGGGGGTGGCCAACATGGCACATGTGCCCACAGCATCATTCCATGGCACCCACAGGTTTCCTTCCCCCGCCCCCAAAAAAATCATGCTTGAAAGAAGCATTCTGTTGTAGCCAATATAATAGTCTGTGAGACATTAGGGGTTGTGTGTGTGCTGCCCATGACAGCTTCTCCAGATGTGCCACAAAAGGTTGGCAAGCCCTGACTTAAATCCTTGCAGAATACCTTTAAAAATGGTGCTGTTTTCTAGAATCAGAAAGCTGGACAGATTCGGGGTCTATGAAAAGCTCCTGTGCATCATGACTAAGAGGTTAAGCTATAAACTGGGCAGCTCAATAGCACTGACCCACCTTTCGTTAAGCCTTTTCTTAAAGGTCCCTTGAAATAATGGGTTGTACACAGTGCCATTCTTTGGTGAGCAAAACATCCCCAGCAGGCCTTCGCCTTTCTCCCCTCCCCTCTGCAGCCCCCTGCGTGCCTCAAAATGTGCTCTGGAGGTCCCTATGGAGGGACCACAAGTGGAAGTCCTGTGACACAAGCAGAAGTCTGCTCAGGCAACCCTGGGCTCCAACCACTTTACAGGAAAGACTATATAAACACCAAGTGTACTATTATTGCCCTTTCCAAACTCACTGCATTGGGCAGAATTTGATGATCTGATACCATAGCAGAGAAAGACATAGGGTGGCATTCAAGCAAGTTTTACTGAACTGTTAAGTCCACTAATTTCAATAGTAAAACTTCAAAATGCCTCATGACTGAGGAAACCTGTTGCTACACCATGCTCTTTTCCTAGGTAGAATTCCCCCATAAAATTAAACCTTGAAAAGCCTCCTTTTTAAAATCACATCACTAGCAAACAGCACTATATAATGCAGAGGCGAGCAAGCTTTTCTTCTGTCAAGGACTATGCTCTAGCGGCTGGAAGCAAGGTGGGAGGGGCTACCTGCCATTTCTCCCTCCCTCCCTTGATGCTGTTTCTTTCCCTCTCCTGTCTCTCCTTCTCATCCCCCCCCTTTCTCTCTCTCTTTCTGCCACCCCTCCTGCCATTTCCCCCTTCTTTTCACCGCTCTGAAATTGGGCCAAGAAATCATGCTGAAGCCCATGTTCTTACCTCTGCAAGAGTGTGTTAATGGAATTGCATGAGGGACATCTTCAAAATGGGGCAGATGCAAGACCCCTCTTGAAGAAATCCTTCCCAAGTCCTGTTATTTTTTAAAAATAGCAACCAGTGGCAAACCTTCCTTTCTTGTCAAGATGCTCAAGGTATTCAGTGCCTTTTACAGGCAAGGTGGTGCCTGTTCGTCTACTGGCATTCCTGGATAACATTTTGATTTCAATTCTGACCTGGTTTGGGACAGAAATTGCTTTTTAGCCATTGGTCACTGCTCACTTTCAGGAAGTAAAGAAGAAGCCTTAAGCAGACTCAGATCACTAGTACATCTAGCTCAGGACTGTTGGCTACCTGATTATTTGTGCAATGTTTCCAGAGAAGTAGACTGACTCCAACGATTTACTGAGCAATCAATGTGATCTGTTTGCAGGGAGGTTGCATGATGTTGCATGAAGCAACTGTGAACCCACTTTTTCCTCATCACAAAAAGTCTGATTTTGGGAGGAAACAGGTTTGCTAGGGGAAAATACTAATCAACTTCAGTTGTGCCAGGCATACTTGCTTTCAGCCTCTGGTTAAGCCCTTAACTGTGGAAACAGTTAAATGGTTGAAGGGAATTAAAGGGTTATCTGGAGGACCACAGGTTCAGCATCCACCATCTAGAAGGAATTAGGTACAAGTAGATGCAAAAAGGGAGTCGCAATATACAGTATCCCAGGAGAAGAATGAGCCCAGCTTCTTCCTGCATTCAGAATGCAGTTGACAGAATTGCCAATTGAATGATGAAAGTCTATTGTCCTAGCCTATTGTCTTTCTCCACCCCTTCCATACCTCAAGCTGACTCCCTTTATTCTATTTTTCAAAAACACACACTATGTACATTCATTAAACGGAATGTCCTTTTTTGCACTAGTTGCTTATTTAAAAACCACCTAAGCAAAACCATATGAAAATCCTGGCCCAGAGAGGGGCGTGGCCTTGTGATATCTCAGGGAGCCAGCCAAGACTGGGTTTCCTCAAGCTTTGGAATGAGCGGAAATTGCACGCCTGAGAACTAAGCCAACTTCAAAGGTGAATGTGTTATGAGCCAGTATTCCAGGTTTTGTTTTTAAATAGTAGCAAGCTGGAAGAGGCCATTTTCATAAGGACCACAATGCACAAGGAGGGGAAGTGTTCATTCTTCCCCCATCACAACTCTAACCAAAAATCCCCCATTAGCCTTAGGAAGAAACCTTTTGCTCCTGCCAGTGCTAATAGACAACTGAGTGCCATGGGCAGTTTGACCCCGATCATTATCAATGGGCTTCTACAGGGGGTTCCCCACTCAAGCTATCTATGTCTGCCTGCACATACGCTTGGGATGCACATGCTCCCAGCATCGCTACTTGGTCACCATAAGGCAGAGGAGGCAACATCCATGTCCGCAGCTACTTTTAACCAAAATGGTTCTTGGGGTAGCTGCAAGTGGCAAAATGGCTGTTTTGGAAAAGGGAGAGACAGAGCAGTGGGGGTCGAGGGACAGGACACAGGGGCATCCCTCGTGCTACCATGAGACCAAAGCAAGTCACACAATTTCTGCTGAAACTGTAGCCTTCTCAGTGTGCAGCTACCCATCGGCTTTCGGGGGGGCCACGCGGTGGAGAGGGAATTTTCAACAATGGCCTTGGTTCAGGATACCCTGTTAAGTGGTAGAAGGCATCACGTATTCAAGTTGTGTTGGGTGGGACAACCAACAACCAGTACCTGGAGCTGGAAGGCCCATTTTCAACTCAGCTGTAGGAACTAGTCCAGGGGTAGGCAACCTATGGTCCGTGGGCCGAATCTGGCCCAATCGCCTTCTCAATCTGGCCCACGGACAGTCCGGGAATCAGCGAGTTTTTACATGAATAGAATGTGTCTTTTTATTTAAAATGCATCTCTGGGTTATTTGTGGGGCCTGCCTGGTGTTTTTACATGAGTAGAATGTGTGCTTTTATTTAAAATGCATCTCTGGGTTATTTGTGGGGCATAGAAATTTGTTCATTTCCCCCCAAAAAATATAGTCCGCCCCCACACATGGTCTGAGGGACGGTGGACGGGCCCCCTGCTGGAAAAGGTTGCTGACCCCTGGACTAGTCTATGCAATGAAAGGAAGGATTGTGAAGCCTATGGTTTAAACACTTCTTTTGTGGCTCCCAGGGTGAAGAGTGGATGGAAATTATGCCGGAGAGAGCTGGCATTAGGAGTTCTTGTTTATTATATGGACAAGTATAGTAGGGGTGGTAGTCACCGACTTTTACTCCTAACAGACCTAAAGAAATTAACTTAGTCAAGTTTATTAATTTCAGCGGGTCTACTCTGATTAAGAGCAATATGGTGATGAAAAATCAGCCTGGAACCCAGTTTCCAGATGTATTTGATGCCCAACTGCTGATTACATTATTTGGCAGTTTCTGGTGAAGAAGGAAGGGGAACACCCGTCAAAAGCCAAAAAGAGTAGCCAAAAGCCTTTACTAGCTAGCCCAACTCAACAACGTTTTCCAGGGGACATGTCAAGATATGCTCCTATCCCATATACAACCTTGTCATATTCTTTATTGGAGAACAAAATTATGTAGGAGCAACAACTGAAGAGCTGGGCTGAGTGCAAAGAGGGTATCTGGTGGGCAAGAAGCCACACCCAGGGATGTGAACAAAAGCATGTAGAGCAGCTGCAACAAAGCCTTTGTGTGTTCTATGTTGCAACAACCACAGCTCTCAGATCTGATATTCAAGGCTTCCAGGGCCCTAAGTATATCCACAGATTCCTTTTCCAAGCATTACTTGCAATTTATCTTTACAAGCTAGTTAAAAAGGGCCAGTACCTGCTCTGGGTTGTCTCTAATGGATATTTTTATTTAAATTTGTAAATATCGTCCTGCAAACATGTTTGGAGGATAGTTCACATAGGACTTCATTTTTTAAAAAACAAACAACTATCATAAATAATATGGAATACAATAATAAAAATTATTGTACAGTAATAAAAAGACAAAAGCAGCAGTTAAAACAACTGAAATTTAGAAGCCTGGGGGAATAAGAAAGTATTTTCCTGGCACCAAAGAAATACAACTACTTCAGCACCAGACACCTGGGGAGGGAATTCCACAAATCCAGTGCCACCAAACTTATCTGAGGTTATTCCAGTGTAATTGTCTGGGTTCCCCAGCCCACAGTCCTAAGAAGTATAATTTTGTGTGGGTGCTGCGGATTCTCTGCTATGGTTTTTCCCTGGGAAGAGGCAATAACCATGAAACCAGGTCAAATCTGTAGCATAAGCTATGAATCCCTTTCTGTCCCTAGAAAAGTATCACTTAATGATGTTGGTAATGTACTGTAATTGAATCCATGCATGACAACCACGTTTTACATGTCCTTTAGAGGCACAAGCATTTCTTGTGAAAGCCTCCTTCCTCTCAGTCCCAGGCGAGCCTCATGGGGAAGAGCCTCATGGGGTTGTTCTCTAGGGAAATCTAATGGAGAAGATCTGAGAGTATTTTTGTTCAAAAATATTTCTTAAGCTGCACTGCAAACCCTGGAAAGAAGAGGACAACCTCATTATTCAGAATGAACTTATTATTCAAACACATAGGGATGAGGTTGGCAGCAGGTTACTGGCTAAACAATGGGGGATTTGGTGATTCAGATGCTGTAAAATGGAGTAAAAAGACACAGAGATATTATATGATTGAAACAGATGTACCAGACATATGATACTGTAATTTAAAAGGTTCACAGGAAGTAGCAATAGATTTAATTCTCAAGCAAAACCTTTAAACTACACAATTGTTGGTTCCGACATATTTCTCAAAACCGAAAAACCTGGTTTCCCAGTGTTGCTTTGCAAGCCTCTGTGACAGACATTCTTTTGTTGTTTGCCTGAGATCTGGGTGCGATTGTCAGGGGTGGAAACCAAAAACCGACTGTACCTTATCAGGAGGTGGGAACTGTAGCTGATTGACATCCAGGGGAGTGATCAAGGGGATGGTGTCAAATCCATCCTCCAAGAGGGGCTGCTTTGTGCTCTTCTCGCTAAAATTATTTCCCAGCTTCACCATTTTCTTTTCCTGGACGAAAGGGAGTCCTGGAAAATGCACACGTGCGGAAGCGCAAAGGACGGGTCACAAGAACGCTCTGCACCAAAAAATGGCCAGCCTCCCTCCCGACACGAGACCACTTGCCACCTGGGGGGCACGACCAACCCCACTTTCCTAACATGTCATCCATGGAGGGCTGGGGGGGGGAGGAGGGAGTGCGCTACTCGACCCCTTCCTTCCCCGCAATTCGGTGCGCAGCGAGAGAGCCGCTTGCGCGGAGCCTGCTCTGCAAGTTCCAAGGTCTGGGGCTGAGACCCGTTTCGCCCCTCTGGGTGCCCCCCCCCCCGCCAGCCCTGGCTTCCCTTTCTTCTCTTCGCCCCTCCGCCCCCGCCTGCCCGCCCGCCTCCATCCCGGCGCCCCTCCCGGGGTCCCTGCCTCCCTCTCTCCCTGCATCCCTGCATCCTTCCTCCCCATCCGCCCGCCCGCCCCTTTGTCCTCTCTGCCCTCCTTCTCCGAGACACAAGGACTGCCAAGGGGTGCCCGCGGCTGCCCACCCCCGGGGGCCGTGCCCCTCCCCCGGCTGCAGCCCCTCCTCGCCCCCGGAGCGCGGCTCTGCGCCTCACCTCGCCTCCTGCCTTTGCGGATGTTCCCGCGGCTCTCCGCCTGGCCTCCTCGCCTTGAGCTCCGGCAGCAATGGCGGAGCCGCACGTCGGGTCTCTCGCCTGTCGCCGCTCGCCAAGGGCTGGTGGGGAGCGAGGGGAGCGCGCGGCCGAGGGAGCGGCGCCGGGTTAACGGGCGCGCGGCGAGCGGCTCCTTCCTCCTCCTCCAGCAGCAGCAGCAGCAGCAGCAGCGCCTCCGGCGTGACGCAGCCCGCGCGTCGCCGCCTCCCCCCCCCCCCCAGCCCCAGAAGGAGGCACGAAGGAGCCCCGGGCGACCCACGCCCCGCGCGCCCGGGCTGCGGCAGACGGAGGGAGGGACGGCGGGCCGAGGCGGGAGGCGCGGGGAGGGCGCGCAGAGGCGGACGGAGGCTTTGGCAGGCTGCGGGATGGGCAGAGGGAAGCTTGGGCGAGGCAACCGCGGAGCGGGCGAGGCCGGCGGGGCGGCGGGCGGGGCGGGGGTCTCGCTTGCGCTGGTTTTTCTCTCACTCGGGTTTATTTCTTGTAGCAACCGCGGGGCGGGGTGGGAGGCTCATTCCTGCGGAAATGTCTCCTGGAACCCCCCCACCCTGTCAAAAAGGAGGGGACCCTCAGGCTCCCCCGGGAGAAAACAAGCGCCGCAGCCAAACAAAGGGAAGCGGGAAGCCGCCTGCCCGGCGGAAGGGGCTGTGCGGGGCCGACCCTCCCGACCCCTGGCCAGGCTCCAGCCTCCCTCCGCCGGCGGCGCCTGCCAGCTGCGTGTCGCTTGCCCCCCCCCCCCCGGGCCCCGAGACATTGAGTGCAGAGAAGGGGGGCGCTTTGCCTGCAGCCCCAAAGTGGGACAAAGCCCCGCACGAGGCTGGTGGGCGCTTCGCCTCTTCCTCCTCCACTTCAGACAACTTGGGCCGTTGTCCTTTTAATGCCAACACGGGGCGGGGAGTCAGCTGCAGACCACGACGTGTTAAGCTAGCTGCTAGCTTTGGAACTGGCAACAGGGCACCATAAGACTGGGAAGAGCCCTCGGAATCCTGGAAACACGTAGTTGGAAGGTACTAAAGGGTCATGTAGTCCAACCCCTGCAATGCAGGAATCTCAACTCAAGCATCCATGACAGATGGGCATGCAACCTCTGCCTAAAAACCTCCAAGGAAGGAGGGAGCCTGTTCCACCATCCAACAGCTCCTGCCACCATAAAGTTCTTCAGGGTGTTTAGTTGGAATCACCTTCCTTGCAAATTGAAGCCATTGGCTCAGGCTCTATCCCCCGGTGCAACAGGAGAAAACAAGCTTGCTCCCTCTTCCATGTGACAGCCCTTGAGATATTTGAAGATGGATGTCTTATCTCCTCTCAGTCTCCTCTTTTCCAGGCTAAACATACCCAGCTCCTTCAAGGCTCCTCGTAAGCCTTGGTTTCCAGACCCTTGATCCTCTTGGTTGCCCTCCTCTGCACATGTTCCAGCTTGTCAACATCCTTCTTAGACTGTGGTGCCCAGAACTGGACACCGGGCTCCAGGTGTGGTCTGACCAAGGGCAGGACCTGGATCTGGAGACTATACTTGTGCTGATGCAGCCTAGAACAGGATCTTCTTCTTTTTTGCTGCTGCATCCCACTGTTGACTCGTGTTCAGCTTGTGGTCTACAAAGACCCCTAGATCCTTTTCATATATACTACTGGCAAGCCAGATGTTCCCAGTCTTATATTTGTGCCTCTGATTCTTCCTGCCTAAGTGTTAAGTATAGAACCTTACATTTCTCTATGGAAATTCTTTTTGTTAAGTTTGGGCCCAGTTCTCCAATCGTTATGGTCATATTGAATCCCGATTCTGTCTTCTATCCATCCCTGTTTGGTGCCATCTGCAAATTGGATGAGCATCCCCTCAATTCCTTCATCCAAGGCATTTATAAATATGTTGAATAACAGTGGGCCCAGGGCATGTAGAGACCTCACACACATTGATATCTTGCGTTTGGGCTTCTTGTGAGCATCCAGCTCACCACAGTGGGAACACAATGTTGGACTTGATCAGAAGAGCACTGCTGGCTGAGGCTTAAGTTCTAACCGTGGCAGGTTCCCATGGATGGTAACTGGAGGCAGAAATGGGCTTGGAAAGAAGATGGCACTGTTTTTATGGCACACAAGACCCAGCACATCTCATGGTAGAAACTGAAACACTGCAAAGGACACCTGCAAGGCTAGTTGTATTTCATCAGCAGGTTAGCTAATGAAATGGATCTATCAGTACTGTGCCAGTAACACTGTGATAATCAACAATACTAGTGTGATTTAAAAAAAAAATCTGGCTTAGTGAAGGGAAATCTATTTTGCCTCATGTTTCTTGAGAAGCAGAATAGAAAATCAATAGTATCCTGGAAAAGAAAAGAAAATGGCTGAAGAAATATTTTGGCTGCTTACTCAGACAACCCGTAACCACTTTTCCTATTTAAAAGCTTGCCATATGACGTCTTCAGCCACTGAGAGGCTGCCCTTCCTAGTTTATGCCCATGTGGGAACCCAGAATGATCACATCCCCACAGCCACATGGAAGGCTTGGTAGTCACTGAGTCACTGACAGGCAGATCTAGGTATTATAAATATTTTTCAGTGACCAAAATGAGCATGGTTGCCAGTCTCTGCTGAAGGTACAATTACACTTCAGCAGCACTTGTCGAACTTCAGACTCTTTAGTTTATAGAATTGTAGAGTTGGAAGGGAACCTGAGGGTCATATAGTCTAACTCCCTGCAATTAAGGGATCTTTTTGCCCAACGCAGAGATCGAACCCACAACCCTGAGATTTAAGAGTCTCATGTTCTACGGCATAGGAAGGCAAACTAATTGCCTTCTGGATCTGGCCTGTGGACGGTCCGGGAATTGCCGCGTGGATCGCCAGCGTGCACGTTCTTTCCCTCTCCCTCACACGGCGGCGGCAGCACCTCCTCCCTCCCTCCTCCTGGCTTCTCCCTGCCCTGCCTAGAGGAGGAAGGGGGCTGGGCTTTGTTGGTGCCAGCAGCAGCAGCAGCGCTCAAGCAGGCTCCATTTTAAGCAGCCCCTCTCCAGAGCCCTTTCGCGCGCCAATCATCGTCCCTCCGCTTCCACTGCCGCCAGCCCCTGCTGCTCACAAGACACAGGTAAGCAGCCACCGGGTCTCGTGGTGCTCTTGCATCATTCCCCCCCATGCTGTCCGGCCCCCCACAAGGTCTGAGGGACAGTGGACCGGCCCCCTGCTGAAAAAGATTGCTGACCCCTGCTCTACGGACTGAGCTGTCCCAGGTCAACTCCATGAAGGAACTCCAAGGAGGATAATGGGATTGACCTTATATTATATGGCTGTTGTGAGGATTATAAAGCACTGTACAGGAAGCACTTTGAATAGTTCAGTGCACGGTACAAATGTTTGTTTTTATTCATTTATTAAGACGACAAACCATAAGGCGAACTTGTCACTGGCCCAGGTCACTTTCATTCTGTAGCGTCTTCATGGCCAAACCCCAGAGGGTCACACTGGAGAAAAATGGTCCTTCACTGTTTCTGTATTCAGCAGAAGACGCACGACTACTCAGCTCACTGCTGCAACCGCTGCCCAGTGTAGTCATGGAAGTCTGAGTCATGGAATTGCCTTCAGATTGCAGAGGTTCCTCCTCAGGGGGTAGATCCACGCCTTTATAATAGCATGTCCGATTAGGTCTTTGCTGAGATTTGCAGAGTTTAACAGGCTCCAAGCTCAATTTCTGTTGGTTTGCACACTCATTCTGTTGCGCGGTGGGTCGTGCCTTGCGGAATGTTGCCCCAGGGCTGTCAAATTCAGTGGCCGAATTTCCGTTTGGGTGGATGGGAAACTTCACTGACACTGGCAATAAAGTTACGGATATTTCTTGGGCAAATGAGTCTGAGCTCTGGGGCTTCTCAAGTTCAGATATTTCTACTGTCTGGGAAAAGTCATCCAGTGTATTTGGACCACTGTTGCCAACTTTGCAATGGATTTTTTTGTGCCGACGCAAGACGGCAGAGCGACTGAAGCCTTTATTGCAGGTCTCACAGTTATATGGCTTTTCCCCGGTGTGAGTCCGGATGTGTCGCCGTAAGTCGCCAGACCCCACAAAGCATTTTCCTGTAAAACAAGAAAGGTTATTTGGAAATGGTATCTCCCAACAGGTATCAGTTGTCTTGTGTATGTGCTACAAATGAATAATTAGCGTGTCTAGTATTTCTTGGAGTTTGCTGTTACCTGGGTCCCATGTGCTGTTAAATGTGTCCAATTGATGGCATATGCAATAGGTTCTAGAAACCTGCTTTTTTTATTAAGGCTGTGCTGTCCATCAGTTTTACACGCGGTGGAGCATTTAATTATTTTGCCCATGTATTATTCCTTAGCTGAAATAATGTATCGTATATTTTTCAATAACAGAAATTACTATTAGATAACTGTGGGATGTATTCAACACAGCATTAAGTTAAAGTCACTCAGGAATCTTTTTTAATTTATTATTATTATTATTATTATTATTATTAAAATTTGTATACCACCCTTCATCTGAAGACCCCAGGGTGGTTCACAACTGAAAAATACAAAATAAGAATACAAAATACATACTTAAAACCTTCCTTCCTCAGTATAACAATACAGATGTGAAGAGTTCACCAGGATCAATAATACTTCCCGCTTGAAAGTGCGTAACACCTACAGTGCTGGTGTGTGGGTTCTAACTGACCCTACCATCACTCTTGCAACCGCAGACATGTATCCTATCGTTTTCCTTGATATTTGTGCTCCAGGCATCTGTGCTTCTACACTTCTAGGATCATTCCAGAGTTCAATGGCCTGTAGATGCATGTCTGCTAAGGAGATTCATCGCTCTGAGCAACCACTCTAACCAATAGCTACTGTATTGGTTAAATGGCAATAGCTACTGTATAGTGAATGCGGTAAATTTATTCCGCTGGTGAAATGTTCCGTGCAGAATGCTGTTGCACAAGAGAATGCATAAGCAAGCTACTGGTAGCTTTGTTGCACAACAGAGTGCACCGTCTGTTGCACAATGAGTTTCCAATAACCACAGTTTGGTTGGAGTCCTCTGTTGTACAATACTAAAACTCACCTGTCTTTTAATGCAGAAGGCCTTGCGCCAGAAGGCAGCTAAGCTTGCATGCAGCCCTATTGCGGATGGAATCATTTTTATTGTTTAAGCCAAAGAGGCTATCATTATAGGTGGGAAATTCCACGGGAACAAAACATTGCCAAAGCAAAGTCTTATGAATCCGGGGAGGGGAACTGCTGAATTCAGTCATCATTATTTCTGTGCTCAGAAAACCCACAAGAGCAAGAAAGAAGCACTTACAACCATTTATTATATTTTTTCCAAACTGAGTATGTCCCGCTACACTTTTGAAAAAGTGGCTTGTTTTATCTTTAGAGTGGCGATTTGTGGGGGTGATAAATTAAATTTTTCAGGGGAGCAAACTCTTATCGGACAGAATGCTTGGTTTACTGATTATTTTAACTGTGTAATGTATTTTACTCTGTTTTATGCATTTTATCTTTTGGCTACACAAATAAATGATATTCCTATATATAAATTGAAGCACAGACTTACCACAAGCAGAGCAGCTGTACGGTTTCTCTCCAGTGTGCCTGATCCTGTGCTTTACTAACTTTCTGGGCATGTTAAATGATTTTCCACACTCATCGCAGGTGAACACCTTCTCGACTCTATGGTTCTTCTTGTGTTCCTTTAAATTGCTGAAGTTACTAAATCCTAGAAGGACAGAGACACAGGACAGTTGCTCACAGGGTGCAAGCCACAAAATGGCTCCATTACGCCGATGCAGCTCTGGGACATATGGGATGTCACCAGCCCCTTGGACTGACAGGTCTGCTCCTACTAGTCATGGCACAAGATTGCCAACTGCTGCAGGTTAGCAGGACCATGATTCAAGTTATGGGTGGGGTTTGCTTGGGCTGAGGAGAGACACACCAAGTAGGGGAACCTATGCCACATCTGGGCCTCTCTGCACCCTGCCCCGTTCTGCCCTTTTAGTGACATGTTTAATGACATTTCCGAGTCACTTCTAGGTTTGGCGCTGCATGCGTGATGGCACATCATTCTGATGTACGCTGATCAGTGGTTGCCTCTAGAGGGCTTGTGAATGAGGTCTTTCCACAGACCAGGAACACTGGAAGCCGCCTTGCACTGAGACAGACCATCCTTCTATCTAGCTCATGCCTTATCTACACAGGTTAGAAGTGGCTCTCCAGGCTCCAGGGAGGAAACTCTCCCAGCACTCACCTGGAAAAGCCAGTAACTGAATCAGGCACAATCTGCATGCAAAGCAGATGTTCCGCTGTTGAGCTGTGGCCCATCCCCAACGATTACATCTGGAGGATATGCTCCAACTCACCTCGACCACAAATATCACACAAGTGTGGCTTTTCTCCAGTGTGAATAATGATGTGGCGTTGGACATCTCCGGATGCAGCAAACCTGGAACAGGAATTTAAAAGGTCCCTTCAGTTTGGTTATAAACCTTATACGGTGGTACCACAGGTTACAGACGCTTCAGGTTGCAGACTCTGCTAACCCGCAAATAGTACTTCTGGTTAAGAACTTTGCTTCAGGATGAGAACAGAAATTGTGCTCCGGCGGCGCTGCAGCAGCAGGAGGCCCCATTAGCTAAAGTGGTGCTTCAGGTTAAGAACAGTTTCAGGTTAAGAACGGACCTCCAGAATGAATTAAGTTCTTAACCCGAGGTACCACTGTACGCCTTTTCACAGCTGTGCTGCTTATTCTAAAACTGAAAGTGTTGATACAATCATCTGCACAAGTATGTCAGGCTTCCTAGGAGGAATTGCAGCACAGCATCGATTTAGCACCTCCACAGGGTCTGTCCTTTTCTGGCCCTCATGATGCCACGAATGGAAAGGGCCACGCCTGCAATTCCCACCAGGAGATGTTGGCTCAAACAATCACATTCCTGCAGTGCTGTGAGCACACCAGTGGTTTGTCTCGCTGGAAGCTGACCGAATTGGAGCTATGTGTCACAGTGGAAGCTGCTACGCTCAGCCCTCGATTATAGTCAAAGCTAAAAGTGCTGGACAGATGCAGTTGTGAAATATAAAGCACCATCTCATGTCAGATGCTGCCAGAAATCTCCTGCAGATATAAATGTTAAAACAGTGCTACTGTGGACTGCTATTTCTCTAGCCAATTATTTAGGCTGCACTCACTCAGAAGTTGACATACAGTCTTGATAAACGGAATGAAGCAATAACAATACTGTAGGTTTTTAACGGTACAGTGGTACCTCTAGATGCAAACGGGATCTGTTCCGGAGCCCCGTTCGCATCTAGAAGCAAACGTAACTAGCGACGGCACATCTGCGTTCGCATGCGTCGCTTTTCGCTGCTTCTGCGCATGCGCGTGACATCATTTTGAGCGTCTGCGCATGTGCAAGCGGCGAAACCCGGAAGTAACATGCTCAGTTACTTCCGGGTTGCCGTGGAGCACAACTTGAACGCGCTCATCCCGAAGCACATTCAACCTGAGGTATGACTGTATTGTTAAAAATGAAAAAGAAGAAAAGGAGATGCAGACCCCCCAACCTCCAGGTATATATTTAGGTTCAACAAATTCTAGAGCAGTTACTGCAGTAATGCAACAGTGGCCGCATTCAGACATCACATTCCCAAAGTGTTTGGAGGAATCAAAACCCCCAAGGAGCTCAAGAACTACTTTTTCTCAACTCCCACTCCGACCTCAACAAAAGACCGCCTGATGTCCTCAAACCCATTTCTGTGACTAGAAAACTGCATTCTGAGCAATTCCCTCCCAAACCAGGATCAACAACCACAATTCACCCCTGTTTTGCAATTGTGGTTTGAAACCACCACATCCATTTGAAAAGGTTTAAGACAATGAGGAAGCCGCCATTAAAGGCAGACAAGTGTTGCACAGTTTGGCAGACTGGGAACAGGACACCCGAATGCATCCCTGTACTGTATCATAATAGTAATTTATGAACTCCACAGTTATAAAAACTTTTTACCACATGTCCACAAATAGAACAATTTTGAATGGAAGTTTTAAAAGAGATCTCTCAGTGGGCAATCCCACTGGACTGCCCTTAGACCTGTGGGTATAGGACGGTATACAAGTTTAATAAACAATAATAAAAAATAATAACTCTGAGACTATTATATGAATAATATGGACCAATTAAGAAGTAAAGATTTAATAACACATCTATTAACAGCAGCTAGAACGGTAGTAGCCAGAACCTGGAAAACCTTACAATTAATGAATATTTATTGTTTTATCATTGGAATGGAATATACTCTGGCAAACAGTTGTAATGGAAAAGTTTTTACAAAAATCGCAAGGGGAGAGGAAAAAAATCTGATTTTTACACTATATGGCATAATTTTATTAGATATACAAATAAAACAACATACGGATGAGAAATACCTGCGATATATATTGCAATATGGTTTAGAACTTCTTAACGTAAATCAGCAGCTCAGTGTGGCACTACTCATGAGCTCATTCCTATTATTCTATATTTTCCAAGTTGATTTATTGAAGAATTCATTGAACTGGTTTACTGTAACTACCTCATTATTATGTACTGTCCTGTAAAATAATATGTTTAGGATTTTACCCCCCTCTAAAGACCTGTTTTCGGTCATGTTTTAAGATTTATCTTGCACAATCTTGTAACGCAAAAAATAAATACACATTTTAAAATACAAAAATGAAAGGCAAACCTTTTCCCACAGATTTCACAGATGTAAGGTTTTTCACCCGAGTGCCGCCGTAAATGCGTTTGAAGATTACCTGCCTACAAAGAGAAGAAACACTTTTAGCAGCCGAACTAACCAAATAGGTGATATTGGTAAAAGTTTACGACTGGAAATGAGGATTGCACTTTACTGAACTATGACACTTCAAAAACAAAGTCTTCTGCTAGTAGGATCAGTGCTGCTATTTAGACTACACTGGGGATCGCCAAACGTTTGGTCCAGCAGGCGCATGTTGAATTTTGAGAGAATGCTAGGGCTTCCCCAGTCACAAAGTGGCTGCCAAGGGGGCATAACACAAAAACAGAACAAGAACAGTCATGCGGATGCTTTGCCCATAATTCTGTTTCCATTCAAAAAATTGCTGAACCTGTTGAATATTCCACACAGCTGTTAAAGGCACAAGAAGTCTTCCCTCCCTCCTCATTGTCAACCCTAAGCCAAGACCTGCCATCCTGTCCCCATTTTTATCTGGGAGCAAGCCCCATTAATCACAAAGACTTACTTCTGAGTAGACATGTAAGCAGTTGTAGCTCAAGTTAAGTATACAGTGGTACCTTGGGTTACATACGCTTCAGGTTACATACGCTTCAGGTTACAGACTCCTCTAACCCAGAAATAGTGCTTCAGGTTAAGAACTTTGCTTCAGGATGAGAACAGAAATTGTGCTCCGGCGGCGCGGCGGCAGCAGGAGGCCCCATTAGCTAAAGTCGCGCTTCAAGTTAAGAACAGTTTCAGGTTAAGAACGGACCTCCAGAACGAATTAAGTGCTTAACCCGAGGTACCACTGCACTGTAAATTCTAAATGCGTGCCTGCTCTTTAACTCGCGCATGGCAGGAGACATGCCTAAGTTTCTGTGCAAAGTTTTCACATTTGCCTTTTTGGAGGAGAAAGATTATTTTTAACACCCACCCACACCTCTTGTGTTGCAGTATTTGCAGGAAATAACTCCTAGGAACTACCATACCTCAAGCCACAGAAATATTCGTTGTGGTTGCTAGAAAGGAAGGAAGGAAGGAGGAAGGAAAACTACGGAGATTCCCATGCTTGGAAAATGGACAAGTTCAATGAATGGAGGGGGAACAAGAGCAGCTTAGGAACCCAGGGATTCCTACTGCCTGGTGTCAAACCAACTCACATATCAATCACCGCTCTGCCTTTAGTCATTGGACAAAAACGCTGGCAGGCAGGAGCAGCCAGGCTGGTATATTTCACAGAAATCACTTAGAAGGGTACTTACACTAGGGCTGCCATATATTTGGATTCTCCCAGACATTAATGGGATTTCAAAGGCAGAATTGATGTCCAGGGGAATTTCCGAAAGGTGGCACTTTGTCCTGGATCTTAGGCAAATTAATCTAAAAATTGTGGTTGGGTTTTTTTGGGTTGGTTTTTTTTTGCATTTTTGCAAACTTTGGGGTTTGTCTTTAAAAAGCTCAACAATTCTGGGGCTTTCCCGAAAACTTTCCTCAACAACTTTCAGGGTGTCCTGGTTTTTACATTTTGAAATATGGCAACCCTAATCTACATGTTTTGTTTCAGAATTTACTTTCTAGAAGGACTAGAGACTTTTTTTTTATAGAAAGTAAAGCTCAGAGTCTGGACCCCCTTCCCTGGGGCACCAATGAAGGCTTTTGCAGACACCGTGCCATCCGCAGGCACCAGGTTGATGATCCAAAGACGTAAAGGTAAAGGACCCCTGACAGTCAAGTCCAGTCGTGAACGACTCTGGGGTTGCGGCACTTATCTCGCTTTACTGGCCAAGGGAGCTGGCATTTGTCCACAGACAGTTTTTCATGTGGCCAGCATGACTAAGCCGCTTCTGGCAAACCAGAGCAGCACACGGAAACGCTGTTTACCTTCCCGCCGGAGTGGTACCTATTTATCTACTTGCACTTTGATGTGCTTTCGAACTGCTAGGTTGGCAGGAGCAGAGACCGAACAACGGGAGCTCACCCCATCGCGGGGATTTGAACCGCCAACCTTCCGATGGGCAAGCCCAAGAGGCTCAGTGGCTTACACCACAGCGCCACCTGCGTCCCTAATCCAAAGACTAGAGGCTGGCAATTTTCTTGAGCCGAAAGAGGTACCAACATGTATTGTGTGTACACCAGAGGGGAAAACTCCCTGGCTCCTCCCTTACACCAGAGCATTATTGTGCTTTTATTTGAAGTTATGGGTGAGAAGAGGTTTCTCAATCTCTTACCTGCATGAAAAGCCCCTTGCTGGGACTTGTCTACCTCCTTTGCTATAGGGGAAGGGTCAACTCTAGAGCAAGGGGACAGTGGCATCATTGTACCAGCTCTCAGAGCCCCAAGTCCAATCGTATGATCCAATCTGAATTCTGCTCAGAGCTCTGGGGTTTGAAACACAAAAATAATAAAAGGATCATATTTAGGACTGAGAAATTAACTGGAGCTGGATTTCATGGACCTAATGTTTTTCAGACCTGAATATCTTGGATGACTAATGCTCTCAAAAACATCTCAGCATTAAGCTCAAGGAGGATGGGGATGGCAAACAGAAAAACATTGATTTTTTTCAAGTATTAAAGAGATGGAAAACATTCTTCTCCACAGTTCCTACAGGACTACACATATAGCAATGTGAGTGAGTGTCGACTTGGTGAGTGGCATGTCAACAAAAGCAGACTCAAACACCTACCTGTGAAAAACATTTGCCACAAACGTTACATTCAAATGGCTTCTCACCTAAAAGAAGAAGCAATAATGTTTTATGCTGTACAGAAGTTTGAAGCTGGCATATAAAAAAAAATTCAGAACAGTTGCCAACAAGCTATATTTTACATTAGCTACTTTGCTTAACTATAATTCATAAACGCCTGAGCACAGAATTTTCACCAAAGCTTGAAGAACAGCTCTAGAGCTGCTTCCCAGTTAATGGCTTGTTGATTTTTTGCTCAACAGTACTAATTATTTCTGCATGTTAAGATGCCTTGTAAAATTATTGACATGTATAAAAGTGAAATTCAAAAATAAAATAATAAGAAGATCCCTCCATTTAATAATGCAGGTGGTTTGCCTCAGGCTGACACACAGCACAGAATAGTGTCTCCTTAATAGATGCGATTGGAAATCTCCTCTGAACAGGAGAGCTTTGTGTGTGCGCACAGGAGCTTCAAGCTTCCACAATAAGTTAGAATGAAGGAAGCATCTTGAAGTCATTTTACAGCCATTTCCTTCCACATACACCAAGTAGTCATTTTGCTTTTTAACTCTTTGATCAACTGACAGGTCTGAATTCTGGCCTTTCTCAGCCAAACAATAATCAGGGATTTCTGGTTCACTTTTGTGATGGGATTATGAGCTGCTTATGCGTAAAATCGTATTCCCTCAGAGTTTGTTCAAGTCCACAAACCTCTGTCTGTGACTGAGCCCCTCTGACATGGCTCCTCTTAGTCACTAGAAGATTCCGACAGTGGTTGCTTTCGTAATCGCTTCCAACATAAAAGCTCCTTAACGGAAACACGTCTTCTGGACTCTCTGCGTGACAGTTTCCGGCGAGGAGTGGGTGTCGCTACAGGAGGTCCGGAAACCTCACCACTGTTTTCGCTGGAAGTATCTCTGAGCCATCCCCCCAGCTCCCTTTCCCTCAGTTCAGCTTGTCTCCCCCTGCTGGTTTCCTCTTCCGCTGCTGAGTCTCTTCCAACCTGTCTGAGCCCTTTCACCTCCCTCAGTTCAGCTTCTCTCCCTTGCTGGTTCCCTCTTCAGCTGCTGAATCTCTTCCAACCTGTCTGAGTCCTTTCACCTCCCTTCCTTCCGATGGCAGTTCCCTGACATCCACCTCCCCTCCAGGGCCCCCTTCACCCCCTCTCGCCCCCTCCTCTACGGGCGGTGAGGAGGCAAAACCCGGAATGAACTTCCTTCATCTTCCGATGTCTCGAACACTTCTCTCCACCTGTTGCGGTTCCTGGTCTCGAAGCACTCCTCCTCCTCCGAGTCCATCTCCCCTTCCCCTTCCGATTCTGGGAATCCTTCCAACTCCTCCTCCTCCTCAGTGGTCCCAAAGTATTCCCTCCGGAACCTCTCCACAGGCTGAGGTTTCCGCGGGAACCTTTGATGGAACATTTCTATCAATACCTCGTCATTGATATCTTTGGCCATTACCCACGTGTTTTCTGACTCCGGTTCTCCTTCCCACGCTACCAAATACTCCACCTGATTCCCCTTCCACCTGGCATCAAGGATTTCTGCCACATGACTGCTGCATTCTCTTTCTTCTATGACCGGTCCCGAGTGTCCATCCCTTCTCGTCCCCCCTCGTACGGTGACAGTAACGACCTGTGAAATACTGGGTGCAGTTTCATGTGGTTGGGTAACCGGAGCCTGAAAGCCACTGGGTTGACCTGTTGAATGACCTCAAAGGGACCCAACCTCCTGGGTCGTAATTTCTTACAACCTCCTTTGAGCGGCAGCCCTCGGGTTGACAGCCACACCCTATCTCCAACCCTTATGGTTTCACCTTCCCTTCGGTTCTTGTCTGCCTGCCTCTTGTATTCTTCCTTCGCCCTTTCTAAGTTGAGTTGGAGCTGACGGTGGATTGCTTCCATTTCTTCTACAAAATGCTCGGCTGCCGGTACGCTCCATCTCTCCCCTTCTCCGGAAAGCCCTGGGATGACACCCATAATTAGCCAAGAAGGGGCTCATCCCTGTGGACACATTCTCGGCATTGTTGTAGGCAAATTCCGCCAGCGCCAACTTTTCTACCCAGTCATTCTCTCTGTCATTGACATAACACCTCAGGTATTGCTGGAGGACACCGTTTGCTCTTTCCGCCTGCCCGTTGGTTTCAGGGTGCCGGGCAGTCGAAAAGTTGACCTCCACCTGCAGTAAGCTCATGAGCTTCCTCCAGAACCTGGAAGTAAATTGTTTTCCTCGGTCTGAGACCACCCTCAATGGCACCCCGTGCAACCTAAAAATGTGTTCTACAAATAACTTCGCTGTCTCTTCCGCCGTGACTGCATGCGAGCAAGCTACAAAGTGGCACATCTTTGTTAGTAGGTCTACCACCACCATGATGGCTGTTTTCCCTTTGGACTTCGGCAGATCAGTCATAAAATCTATCGACACTGCCTCCCAAGGTCGTTCTGGTGTTGGTAAGGGTTCTAATAGCCCCGCCGGCGCCCGCCTTTCCCCTTTGGCTCGCTGGCACTGCTCGCACCCTCTTACATACTCACGTACATCCTCCCTCACCTTAGGCCACCAAAATTCCCTGGTGACCAACCACATGGTTTTGTGTTGCCCAAAATGCCCCGCCGTGGGGCTGTCATGCAACTGCTTGAGTACCCTCCCCCTTAGTCTCCTTCAGGGATATACAGTGCCCCTTTGTAATACAAAGCTCCATTTCTTTCCTCGAAACCCCTTGATTCCTCTCCCTCATCCCTAAGACCTCTGAGCTTATTCTGGGCGTATTCATCATTCTCTGTTTCTTCTACCAGTTCTCTTTGTCCCACCAATGCCGCCCCACACACCCAGCGGTCCTCTGGAATGACATGTCTCTCTTCGGGTGCTCCCTCCCCCTCCCAATATTCAGGTTTGCGTGAGAGAGCGTCCGCCCTAATGTTCTCTGGGCCTGGCACGTAACAAATCTCAAAGTTAAATTTGGAGAATTCCTGGGCCCATCTCACTTGCCGTTGGTTGAGCACTCGTGCCGTCCTCCAATACTCTAGGTTCTTGTGGTCAGTGCACACTTGCACCTTATGTTGTGCGCCAATTAGCAGGTGCCTCCATCTCCGGAACGCCTCATGAATGGCTAGTAGTTCTCGGTCATACACCGTGTAGTTCCTCTCGGATTTGTTCAGCTTTCGCGAAAAAAATGCACACGGTCTCCACTCTGACTCCTCCTTCCCTGGCTGGAGAAGCACCGCCCCAACCGCTCTGTCTGATGCGTCAGTTTCCACTCTCATCGGTTTTTGTAAATCCACATGCAGGAGCTGTTGTTCCGAGGCGAAGGCCCTTTTAGTTCCTCAAATGCTTGCTCCGCCTCCTCCGTCCAAACGAACTTCTTCTTACTGCTGAGACAGTCCGTAATGGGCGCCGTCAGGTGGGCAAAGTTTGGGATGAACTTACGATAGAAGTTCCCAAACCCTAAAAACCTCTGCACATCCTTCCTTGTTTTGGGTGTTTTCCATTCCAGTACCGCCTGGACCTTGCCGGGATCCATGGCCAACCCCTTGTCAGACAGGCGATACCCCAGGAATTCCACCTCCTTGGTATGAAACTGACACTTCTCCAGTTTCACCCACAGCTGGTTGGCTTGCAGCCTGCTCAACACTTCTCTGACGTCTCTCACATGCTGCTCCTCATTCTCAGAATACACCAACACGTCGTCTAAGAAGGCCACACAATTCTTGTAAAGCAACGGCCCCAGGACGTGGTTCATAAACGATTGAAATGTTGCGGAGCCTGCTTGTAGACCGAAGGGCATAACTAAGTATTCAAATGCCCCTAAAGGGGTGAACATGGTGGTTTTCCATTCATCCCCCTTCCTTATTCGTATCAGGTTGTACGCCCCCCTAGATCCAGCTTGGTGAAAATCTTTCCCTTTCGCACCCTTGTCAAAATGTCGTCAATCCTGGGCATCGGGAAGGCCACTGGTTCTGACACTGCATTTAAGGCCCTGAAGTCACACACCAGTCTCGGCTTGTTCGTGTTTTTTGTCCACAAAAACACTGGGCTGCCCCCACCGCCCTGGACTCTCTGATGAACCCTCTCTTCAGGTTCTTGTCAATGAACTCTCTTAGCTCCTGCATCTCTCTGTCTGACATGGCGTACAGCTTGCCCACAGGGAGCTGTGCCCCAGGGAGCAAATTGATTTGACAGTCAAAGGCTCTATGCGGTGGTAGTTGGTCAGCTTCCCTTTCGCTGAAGACGTCGCGGAGATCTGCGTATTGTCGTGGTACCTTCACGTTCTCCTTCACTTCAGTCCCTGCTAGGGTGGCTTGGGCCCCTGCCAAAACCTTTCCCTCTTTGCAATGTTCTAAGCAATGTGCTGACCCAAAAGAAACCACTCTCTGATGCCAGCCCACCAGCGGATCATGTAACGCTAGCCAGCTCATCCCCAATATAATGGGAGCTCCTCCCAAGGTGGCCACATTAAAAGCTATCAGTTCAGTGTGCCTTGCCACCTTCATTATCATTGGGACGGTCTGCAAGCTGACTTCTCCTCCCAACAGCTCCCTGCCATCGATCGTGGTTACCTGCAGGGGTTGCTTAAAGGGAGCGTCTGTATCTGGTGTTCAGCTGCAAACTCTTTGCTCATGAAATTGCAGGAGCTGCCTGAGTCCAACAGCGCCTTTATCTTTAGAGGGTGTCCGTTTGGGAGCTCTAGTGTCACTTCTATCACTAGGGCGGGTTTAGGAGGTTCTGGAGTGGGCACTTTCACTGCTCTTTGGCCTGGCTGCTGTGCCCCGACAATGGCAGCCAGGCGTTGGCTTTTAGTTGCTCCGGTATTTTTCCTCTCTTCCCTCCACAGCTCCCACCATCCCTTGCCATTCCTTCCTCTGAGGGCAGACTCTGGCAAAGTGCCCTGGCTGTTGGCAGAGATAGCATTTCCGGGCGCCTTTTCCATCCTTCTTTCCCCCTCACTGGGCTTTGAAACTGCGCGCGCGCCGCTGTTCCGATTTCCATCGGCTCTGCCGGCGGGACAGTTGGCTCTGGAATGTCTGGAATGCGGAACTCCTTCCAACGTTCCCCTTTCCCTTCCCGCCTCTCCAATGCTCTCGCCTCCTGGCGCGCTCCTATGGCCAGCGCTGATTTGGTCAGCTGGTCCATAGACTCCGCCCTGGGCGCCCGGGAAAGTTCATCTTTCACAGCCGAAGAAAGCCCTTCTTCAAAGAGCATTTGAATGGGTTCCGCCGATAAGTCCCACCCCAATCTGTGTATCAGCATGGTGAACTCAGTCCAGTACTCACGTACAGATCGGCTCCCCTGTTTGCAAGCCATTAACTGTCTGCGCACCACTCCCTTTTCAATATCGCTGGAAAACATCAGATCCATGGCGCGAAAGAACTTCATCGTGTCTTTTAAGACGTCACTATTCGCTGCCATCAGGGGTCTAACCCAGTCTCTCGCCCCCTTTTCAAGATGCCCAATCACAAAAGCCACTCGTGATTCCTCATCAGGGAAATCATCAAACTGCAGATTGAGGGCATATTGCATTTCTGTCCGAAAGCTATGATAGTCTTTGGGCTCCCCCCCAAATTTTTGCACCAATCCTGGTACCTTTCTGGCGAGCTGGGTGGCTTTCTCCCTTTGTCTGCATCTTGAGCCCTCCTCTCCTCCAGCCTCGCCGTCTGCAGCGCCAGCTGGACCTCTAACACCCGGTACCTTTCTTCCAGGCTTGGACCCGCTCCAGCCCCTGCTTCTCCGGTTCCTGCTGGGTTGCTCATTATTATGCCGTCTCCTGCACAAGCTGCGTTCAAAGACTGTCGGAATGCTGTGATGGGATTATGAGCTGCTTGTGCGTAAAATCGTATTCCCTCAGAGTTTGTTCAAGTCCACAAACCTCTGTCTGTGACTGAGCCCCTCTGACATGGCTCCTCTTAGTCACTAGAAGATTCCGACAGTGGTTGCTTTCGTAATCGCTTCCAACATAAAAGCTCCTTAACGGAAACACGTCTTCTGGACTCTCTGCGTGACAGTTTCCGGCGAGGAGTGGGTGTCGCTACAGGAGGTCCGGAAACCTCACCACTGTTTTCGCTGGAAGTATCTCTGAGCCATCCCCCCAGCTCCCTTTCCCTCAGTTCAGCTTGTCTCCCCCTGCTGGTTTCCTCTTCCGCTGCTGAGTCTCTTCCAACCTGTCTGAGCCCTTTCACCTCCCTCAGTTCAGCTTCTCTCCCCTTGCTGGTTCCCTCTTCAGCTGCTGAATCTCTTCCAACCTGTCTGAGTCCTTTCACCTCCCTTCCTTCCGATGGCAGTTCCCTGACAACTTTACTTTTTTTTTTTTTTTTAAAGAAATGACGCAACGCAAAATGTATGCATTTTTAAAAATATTTGCGCATCATGGTAAGCCATAATTAATAGTTACCCAGGAGTGTGCAAATGGCTTTGGGTACTTCTTTGTAAACCAAAATCCTTGGCTTAGTGTTCTATATCCGAACCAGGGACTGTGATTTATTTCACTCCAAGCAAACTAGAATATGAAGCTAAGGTTTGCTGTTGGCTTACCAACCAAGGTTTGCAGATAAACTACGATCACTGGCTTGGATGTAATGCTTAGCCAAAGATCGTGGTTTGTTGCTCCCACTTCCAGAAGGGTAATGCAGATAAATTATTTTACTGGATTGCTTTAGCAGTCACCTTCTAACCAACTAAACATTACTTAATTGTTTGAAAGCCCTAAACAATTTCATATGCGCCGGACACAAAGCTAACCAGCTTTAAATTCCACTCACCTTGAGGGGAGAAAATAAGCACAGGCTTCACTTTTCTTTTGAAATCAACAGGCCCTCTCTGAGTGCTTATCCTAGCTTGAGCATACCATCTTTAAAATATTATGTACCTTACAAATAGTGCCTCACCATTATTTAGGTAATGGCTGGTATTCCTATCTTACTTCTGAAAGACCCCCTAAGGAAGCTCAATATTGTTGTTTGAGTAAGGTGTGACAGGAGGAGAGATGACTTACAACATGACCCAGTACATGTTTACTCAGAAGTAACTCCTACTGCATTTAATGGGACTTACAACTAAGTGGGCACAGAACTATAATCTTCAGCAGCCTTCCAAGTCCCCTTGGAAGCTGGGATTTGCAGGCAAGCCGCCCTGATCCTAAAAACAGCCCCCCATCTGGTGGGATGATCTGATTCCATAAGCATTTTAGCCTCACTGTAAAAGTGACAGAGTCAGATCACACTGGCAGAATGGGAAAAGGAAAATATAGGAAGCAGCATTTTTTTTACAAACTGCTATCTTTTCCTTTGCAATAGTTTTCTTTTGCAGGTGTTAATAAGCATAAATATCAGACACAGACTAGCCATCACATTGCTTTTATAAGGGACATACATAACTATATGGCAAAGATTAAATATATAGTCTGCTTTTCCACAGAAAGCGCATTTGATGGGCTGGCCTTACCGGAGTAGCAGGTGCCCTGTGCCCTTTCAGCTGTGAAGACTAGATTCTATCTGCCTTTTGGTTTTGTAATTAATAATTAGCCTAGAAATGTTCAATGACTGTACCTGTATGAGACCTTATGTGCAGCTCCAGATTGCTCGGGTGTTTAAAAGCTTTCCCACACAATGAACAAGGATACTGCCTCTCCGGCAGGAAAGTCTGCATCTGGCCACCTGCCTCAGAAGCTTCCTGAGATGCCTCAAGTTCAACATTTTCCTCCAAGCATTCTGAACTCACTAGACGTTTAACTTCTTTTCCTTCAAGAGCATCAGCATTTGCCCTTTTTGTGCTACTTTGGCTTTCCACCTCACTTTCCCTTGCAAACTCTCCATCAGCAATTTTAAGCACAGAAGATTGTTCAGGGGACTTTTGAGACCTTAGAAAACTCAGTTTTTTAAGATGTGTGGCCTTTTTAAGCCTCATCTCTTTGATTGGCTGCAAAGACGCGCCTTCCGATTCCTGATCCTCGGGGCTCTCATTTAAGGGCTGAACCAAAAAGTTTGCTGGTAAGTGATCAGATGATTCCAAAACACATTCAGAATGACCGATAGTGCAGGAAGGTGCATTTTTGGCCGTGCTTTGTTCTGCGGAGGGACTGAAATCAAAAGATGGCTCTGGTGATCTCTTGTTGCTGGGACAAGCGGTTTGCTTGTAGAACTGTTTGCTATAAAAGTTACGGAGTTTGTAATGACAATTTGGCTGTTTAAGTGAGAGATCTGTGCAATTAGCCTCCACGGAACCCTCTTTCTCTTTGTTTCCATCACCAGATGAGATGTGAGGTGAAACAGGCTGCGGCCCACGGGGGTTATAGTTATCCAGGACTTTACACGGCTCCACAGTCGATGAACCTCCAGGCAGTAAACTAGCGCCATAACTCTCCCCATTTGTATCTTCAGCCAAAGCGTTTTGCAACGAGAAGGCACTGCTGCAAGGCACACCGGCGGGCTGCTCCACACCTGTGGGGCTTTTCAAAAAGGTGCGGCACATGTTCAAAACATTCTGCACCTGCAGACACTGTGCAATATCCAATAACGTTTGCACATTGTCCTGATTGAGTTCAAGATGAGATGTATACATGTAGTCCAAGATCTGGCCAATGCCACCAACATTTTTAATATCCAAGTACAACACATCATTCTTCTGACCTGAGGAATTTTGGAACAGGGTCCTAGGAGAGAAAAAGCACAACTCTTTAAAATGCATACACGTATTTAAAACGGCCAGTCCTCATAGCAAAAATATATGAATAATATAGTAATTTAGGCTACAACACACAAACATTCTGGATGCTGTAGGAGCCAACTCCTAGGGGCTGGGGGGGGTCTTTGCCCCCTAATAAAATATTTGAGGGGGCTGCCCCCCCCAGTTGGTGGGCATTGACATTCAAATGGTGTGTGTGAGCCACATCATGTGACTGATTATGTGGGGCAGGGTTTACCTGCCCGCCCCATATTTTATTTAAGTTGGCACCGCTGTTGTGCTGTAAGTATTTTCAGAATCTAGTCAATATAATTATCAGTCAATCCATCCATCCATCCTCAGTTCTCACACACAGAGGAGTGTGTCAAAAGTGTGTGGGGCTATCACAAGCCTCATTGGGATTGTGAAACATCTCCATGTTTATTAACCAGTGACACCACATGTGCCAGACATTGATGTCTGCCCCAATTTCCATGTCTACACTTTTCACTTGTTTCCTAGACCTAGACAACTACTTTATAAGAAAAATAACACTCCTATATATTTCTGGAACACAATTCTATACATACCAAAGTTTGTGGCCTAAACTGCACTGTTAATTGCTTTCACTGAAGTGTTTTCATTAACATACCTGAAGTACTGGCTGAAAGCAGCTAACACATTTTTATGCGCTTTGAAACAAACACCTTTGACCACCAACATGCAGTCACAGAGAAGGCCTTGAATGCGTTGCTCATGTAGCTGCTGAAGAAGGTGACAGCTGTGGCTCGCAACAGCATCCATGCTAGGATATGCCTTAATTGCCTAAAATAAAATTAAAAAGACATAGCATCTCAGGAAGCAGAGTTTTGTGTATACAGCGCACTGGCGTCAATGAAGTAATGTTTTATAATAGATTTACTACATGCAAAATGGCATATGTTAAATTACTTATAAAACAATTTCTTAATCCAAAATTTTAAATGGTTTCCTATTTTACAAAATGCTGTCCATATGCAAACGTAACAGAGCACTTGTGCATACCTCTGACAAATGCTTAGAGAGAGATTAACAGCCATATCAAATTCTTTCCCTTCCCAGCATTGATCCTGTGGGATCGTGGCGTTGGGCACAATGCAGAGAGACTGAACCAAAGGGTGACATTTTCAGCACTTAACAAGGAAATAAAGTGCCACTAAATTAAACAGAAGTGAGCAGATGTTCGAGAGCCAGGCCTTCTTCCTATCATCCATGCAAGTTGCAATAAGGGAGGACAGAAACAATCCCAGTGAGCCTGGAAGTAATAATATTGCAGCGTAAGTCGCGTAAGTACATTGCCAAAGCATAGTGCACCATGCTTCTGGAAGATGGGGAGGCCAAGGGGATGCTGCCGCAAATTGGAAGGAGCAGCATGCCTGCGACATGCTGTGGAACCAGTCCTGCGTCAATGAGTAGCAACAAGGGCGGCAATATTTAATCAGCGAAATGGTTAGGTGCACAATCTGAAGAGTCTTTTACTCAACTAAAAGGACATTCCCAATTAATTTTAAAGTATCTATTTTAAGTACAATCGCTTCTAAGAAGTGCAGATGACAGGCACTGTTTCAAAAGAGGAGTCTCCTGTTTTCCCATGCAGGGAAGTCAGTGAGTGTGCGGCAGCAGACCTCAACTAGCGTATAGCGCATGGCTAACATTTCAGGAGGAAGGTGGACATTTGCAGCTGCCTTCAGGTCTCCTCCTGTGAGGCAGGAATAAGCCAATAGACATGTGGACTGTCCCTGGATCAAGTGACTTTTCTTCTTTCAGTTCTCGACACTCTAAACCCAGCTCAAGTTTGTAATCTGAACCACCCAGATATTTAACTGATAATAAATGATACTCAGTCCATCATTGGAGCGGGGGGGGGGGGGGGAGGGGCAACCTTGCCCCAAAATGGCAACGTTCCATTTTGGCAACCGCAACCTTGCTTTAAGGAGCCAATTTGGCACTGAGCTTATACAGTGGACGCTTGGGTTGCGAACGTGATCCTTGCGGGAGGCATGTTTGCAACCTGCAGTGCTGTGTCTGCGCACACGCGGGTTGCGATATGGCGCTTCTGTGCATGTGCAAAGCGCGACTTAGTGCTTCTGCGCATGTGCCAAAATCCGGAAGTAACCCGTTCCAGTACTTCTGGATTTTGGCGCGTCCGTAACCCAAAAACGCACAACCCGAAGCGTCTGTAACCCAAGGTATGACTGTATACCTGAGTTTCTAACCCTGGCCACAGGGTCTCTGCCCGAGATGCCAAGATGTTTAAAAACTGAAATTGGCAAACGAAAGTTTGCAATGACAGCTAAAAATGCGCCTGTACATTGTGAGTGATGGGAGAGGGGCGGGGGATGCTGGAGAAGGGAGGCAAGTTGTCTCATCCTTCAGTTCTCTGCAGACTTAGCTGAACATTTGTTTCACGGCACCTAGCGAGTCTCACTGCCCGGTAAACACGCGCAGGTTTAGGCTGCCTGAAGTCCAGCCAGCAGGTAAGGCGGGCAGGCACCTGTTTTCCTCGCCTCTGCTCCTGCGCCTTCACAGCGGCTCTCCTCGACTCTTCCACTTCCCGGTCACATTTCTCCAGACTTTATGCTGCTGCTGCTCTTGTGGCAGAGCCTGGCTCGGCTGTTCTGTGCATCGCTTGTGAGCATTTTAATGCCGTCGCCCAGACGAAGGAAGCTTTCCTCGGCACCTGAGCGGCATGCCAGGGCAAAGCGCAGCCCGCACCTGGCATTTGCCCAGCGGCGAGTCTGTGGCGGGCTTTCAGGTGCCGCCCGAAATGCCCCTCCTCGACCCGCGAGGCTTCCTGCTGGGCAAACGTCCTGCCCCGTCGAGCCTGGAGCTGCCCTGAATCCCAGACCTCGGCGGCCCTTCCCGGCAGGGCGGCTCCTCGCCCGCGCTCCTCCTCAAGGCAAACTCCTCGCAGGCATTGCAGGCGAGAGCGAGCGAGCGGGCAGGAGGGACCTTCGTCCGCAGCAGCTTCCTGTCGCGTCACGGCGCCCCTGGTGCAAACTCGGGCATAGACTCCCGCCTGCAGACTCTGGCATTCAGTGGCACGCAGCCTCCGTGCCCGCTGCTGCTGCGTCGGAAAGGGGCTTCCTCTCTCTCGGCTCCGGCCCCGGAGCAGGCGAGCCCCCGAAGGGCCTGTCGCCGAGTCTCTCCCCTCGCCCGCCCGCCCGCCCTGGAGGAGCCACCAGCCCTTCCGCAGGCGAGAAAGCCAGCAGCGCCCCGGGCGCTACCTGAGGGCCTGTGAGATGCTGGCGTGTTTACGTCGAGGAAGCTCCCGAACCTATTTTTCGCAAGGCCCTTCTCCGGCTGGGCAGGAGCGAGAGCTGCCCATCAGCAACGCAGAGATTTTCGATATAAAAGGTCGGAGCAAAGAGGGAAATCCGTGTTCTCTGCTGTTCGAGTGAAATGCCTTTCTTTTTGTCCTGGGCTGGGTTGCGCGAGAGATGACTCCTCTTACAGCCCGTTGAGGCTGCGCGCAAAGTCTGCGGGCGAGTAAAGCGCCCTGCGCTGCATTTGCTGTGCCGGGAGAGGCGCCGCGGAGGCGGAGCAATTTAAGCGGGTCCGATGGCCGCATCCCGGGCTGGCAGGGTTCTCGGCAGGGGATTTTGGGGAGTGGAAAACCAGCCGGGCCCCCCTGCTGGTCCCCAGTCCGCCCTCTTCCTGCTGGGCCTGCACCGCAGGGGTGTCGCCGCTCTCCCGCAGCCGGCGGGGCTTCAGCCAGGGCTGGCGACAGAAGAACAGCTGAGCGGGACCTCCTCGTGGTTCCTTTGCTGCATCTCTCAGGATTTCGGCCTCGCCCTGATCCGCAACTGGCGGCCTTAGTTGCAGACCGGACCTAAGCTGCCGCCTCTCCCTCCAGGCTGGCAATGCGCGGGCATACGAAATGTGATTTAAAAGAAATGTTTAGGGCTTTGACTCTTCCTCCACCCCACGCCCATTTGAAATGTAAAATCAGCCCTAATGACTCTCTGCTAATAGTCACAGCTGCGGCGCTAAGGTCCTGTGCGTCTCCTTTAAAGGTTTCCGATATCAACCCGGAAGTTGGTCTTGGCGTGTGAGTCTGCACGCTGTAAGTCTACGCCTACGCGCGACCTCCTTGCCCATAGAGATGCTGAGGGCTAGAGCGCGCCGCTCTGCCGCCCTTGCGGGCGTCGGGGGTGCTACTCTCAACGTTTCTCTCTCTAGGCCTGAGACGTTCAAAGGAGTCGCCGGCGGTGTCGTCACAGGTGCGCGACGGAGCGGAGGGGGGCAGCCCGAGGGGAGCGACCCGGCGGGGGAAGCGCGGCGCGGCGACGAGCACCAGCCAGCCTTAGCCGGTGAGTTCCGCCGCTGAGCCCGTCTCGGCCCTCGGGACCCGTTCCGGTTTCTAGATCCGCGGCTAGAACGGCGAGTGTGTGAACGCGGCGAACACGTGTCTCCCGCGCGACAACGCTCCTCCGGGAAACGGTGGTAAGTTGGGCTCCTTGGCAAAAGTGGCGCCGGCGGCGAGTCCGGGTAAACGGATTATGTCCTGTATCAACTTTTATGTTGTATTTTAACAGGCTATATAACTATAACTTATGTATAGCTACATATACATATGTGCGCGTGTGTATACACACACACATAGTGTCTCTATCATCTATCTATCTATCTATCTATCTATCTATCGTTTTAATTCTAATCAATGTTTAATTGATTTTTAATCGTTTCCCCTCCCCTCATGTTTAGATGCACTTATTTTTATCTGTAAGCATTCTTGAGTCTCCTGTCGGGGCGGGGGGAAGTGAGGTATAAATACATTAATAATAATAATAATTAAAAAAAACAATAAATATGAAGCATGAAACAGCAGACCCTATTTTTTGCCAGCTGCTCCTCCAGATTTCTGAGAAATCATATTTGGTTGGCTGCTTGTGAAATAGCATACTTGTTTGTGTGTATGTTTGTGTGTGTGTTTTCCGCCAAAGTACCTGGAACAGTTACAGTTTTAAAATACTCCCTCCCCTAATGGTGCAAAATATAAAACAGAGTTCTCTCCATTTGATGGGTGGGTCCTTTCCTCTAGGCATGCAGTTCTTTTGGTAGTCCAAAGGATCTGGCCCCCTATTCCCTCAAGCCCTTAAGAAATTTTGTTCCCATTCTGAATGTATTTGTTGCTTACAATAAATACCAGCATGCCTGGAATCATTAATGTTAATGGGCCTGGGTGTATGGTGCTATTTATGCAGTGCTAACTTAATAGTTTTGTCTTTAATGCTCCACAGGCTGTTTAAATATATTTTTATTGTATCAACTTCTGCTTTGTTAGTCCTGCCTTTTTAAAAGGACATGTAAAACACTATTTTTAATTAATTTCTAGAATTTGTTGGAAGAGGATCAATTCTAACAGTCTCTGAAGAAAGATACTGCTATCTTGGAAGAAATGGTGGTTTTCACATGTAACGCATGTGGAGAGTCTGTGAAAAAGGCACAGGTTGAAAAGCATGTAATTGTATGCCGCAATTGCCAATGCCTTTCTTGCATGGATTGTGGTAAAGATTTCTGGTAGGTTATCAGAGTCTTGTTTCATTATTTGGTTTTGACAATTCATTGTTATTGCTATTATTGTTTATATCCTGCCCTTCCTCCCAAGGAGCTCAGTGCAAAAATCTGCAATGAAACTGGTTTGGTGTTACAAGAACAAGTGGGCACAAGCCTTAGACCAACAAATCCCCTTTGAATGTTGAGAGGTGTCAGTCACCTGACGTTATGGTGACAGTCCTGCCCACCTGTCATAAGTTACTATATGGAGGGTGGTGGACTGATGAGTCCAGCCCACTGGTTAGATATAGTTTTCCACTCCTGAGTAGGATGGTAAAAAATGCAAGGGGGGGAGGGAGGGAGAACTGCCAAAAATGTCTTCTTTAAAAGTTGAAGCTAATGCATAAAAAATTAGTAAAGTCATCATAAATAGAATCGTTTAAAGAAAATAAGAGTAGCAGAATAAAATCTGATTTACAGTAACAAGATCACCATAAAATAAAAGCATCTCCCTGGCCATGCAAGGTGGAACCCTCAAGAAATCTCAAAGGGTGAAGGCAGTAGCCTTTGATTGTACAAGAAATGGCTGAAGAACGTTTGGCTGTCTAAATGCTTTCCCATTCCAGGGAAGCAGAGACTTTTGTGTTACTGAGTGCTTAATTTGGCCTGGGAGGAAGTCTGAGGTGGCAAGTAGATTTGACCTTTCCTGCAACCTGAGAGAGATGGCTGGGAAGCCAAACTGAACTGTTCTCTTGCCTATATTGCAAAATGCTGGAAACTACTCTCTCTCGGCACCCACAGCTGCAACAGGATATAACTGTGAATTGCACTGCAGGGTTAATTTATGCTATTTTCTCAGTCACGCTGATGTGGGATAAAGGCAACGGATGACATTACAGGATTCTATGTGGATATGCAAGCTTTTGTGCTATTGCTGCACAACTTGACAAATGGTGGATTCTGCTTGGATTTTAATTCTAAGTAGTGCTGTTAATTGAAAATCTATGTAAAAAGTGAACAGTGGTACCACTAGAATAATAAGAACTACTGAAGCCGAGAGGTCTCCAAATGATGACATTGACCTTAATGCTGACCTGACATTCTTCTGACACAGTTTTGCCCCTGTAAATAAAACCTTTTTGTTTAAAGAAGAAGCTGCGCATAAGCCCAATCTTATTTTAAAGCATATGAGTTACTGAATTGATGCCCTGTGTGTGACTTCATTTTATGTGCAGCCTAATCTTGTGCGGAGTTACATTGGCATAATCCCATATAAGGATTAGGCATGCTTAGCTCTATATAGAATTGCAGGTCAGCTTCTGCCAGTCATAGTTCTTTCTGGATTAGCTTGACCCGTGGCTTCTCTGGGAATTAAGGCTATTCAATATATCCAGAGCTGACATCTTCCTACTGTGCTATTAGTGTTGTGCTATAAACTAATTTTAAGATGTATTTTAATTAATTGATTGCCTGTTTTTATATTCTTTGTATACTGTGTTAGTTTTATGATGTTAGCCGCCCTGAGCCTGGTTCCGGCTGGAGAGGGTGGGGTACAAATAAAATTATTATTATTACTACTACTACTACTATGGCTTTTTACCTATGCTGTTCTTAATATTTAAGGGGTGATGATTATAAATGTCATGTGAAGTGCCTAAGTGAAGACCAGAAATATGGTGGCAAGGGTTATGAAGCCAAAGCTCACAAAGGAGATGTCAAACAGCAGGAATGGATTCAGGTAAAAACAAGTGCACACATAAGCAGGGTAATATGACACTTAATTTACAGGGAAAGCTGTGTACTGATTGATTGTCCCTTTTCCCTTTCAACCAATGGTCTCTGAGGCAATTTATACCTCAGATCAAAACAATACAAGAATACATTTAAAAATCAGACAATAAGAAAACCCACTAACACTACATATGATTATCTAACTTCACCCATCAAACATTTGGGGAACAGGACACTTTGCAGCAGGCACACACTGAATGCAAGAGTAGATGCCAGCTTGTTGGTTTGGGAGGGCATTTCATAGTCAGAGGAAAGCCCTGTTTCTGCCCATCTGACAGAAGAGGGCCTTGGCTGACAAACTCAGCTCATGGGCTGGTGCAGTCCTTCAGATACTAAAGTCACAGGCCATTCAGAGCTTTTAACCAAAACCAGCACTTTGTTGGCTGCCATGTTCTGAAGCATTGGAAGTTTCTTAATTGATGGTTGCTATTCCAGCAAGAAGCAATACGTGTCATACCAGCCCAAGGTGGCAAAATGCATTCTTAGTCACATGTGTCCATACGTGAGACTATATTGAAAACACCTTCCAACTACAGACTTGAGCCTTGACTAAATACAACCCCATTTTGAAAAAGTTGTGTGTTCCCTTGGGAGTCACCACCTTAATCTTGCCCTGACTGAGCTTCACTTTATTAGCCCTTGCGCATCCCATTCCTCACTTGAGCTGCTTGTGTTAAGAGTTTCCAGCCCCCCACCTAGATTTGATGAGAACGATAAATAATGCTGAGTGTCATCTGCATACTTAATAACCCTTCACTCCAAATGTCCAAACTACTTCACCAAGTTGTTTTGTGTAGATGTTAAATAGTATTGCAGTGTGTGTGTGTGGAAATGGAAACTAGATCCTTGCGGTACTTTGCAGCATAAACATCATGAGAGAGTGTGAACTAATACAGAGTTTTTATCTTACTCCTACTTCATGTGTTATCTACCCAAAATGTAGTTGTAAAATGTCAATGTATTGATTGTCATAGGCAAGCTTTCAGGCTCCGTGTGGGCCATTGTTTTTATCTGCAGTGAACATAAACACCCCAGAAGCAATAACACAATTCCCAAACCTCCAGACCCTGATGCAGACAGGGGAAATGGACAGATTTAAACCTGCGATGTGTATAGCATACATTTGATTTCAGTGCATCAGACTTGTGATTTAAGTATGTTGTGTCTCAGATGCTATCATTCCCACTTTCCTTTTGTAGAAGATTCATCAAGCGATAAAGGAAACCAACATTAACCCCAAAGTTCGAGATATTTTGGAGCAGATGTATACCTATGACAACATTCCAAGAAAAAAGGGCAAGTTTCAGGTATGCTTAGAAGTAAACAGCTCAGACTGCAATTCTGTACTTGCTTACTTGTGAGCAAGCCCCAGTGATCTTGTTTCTGAATAGGACTTGTTTCTGAATAGACAAATATACTGTAGGATTTTTTTTTAAAAAATGAGGTTTCTTCATGAGAAAGACAGACACGTTTCCATGAAGAGTGCATACAGATGACAATCACTTGGGTGGCTGTTTGCCTTATCCATCCAAGTGGCGCAATATAACTTAGCTGCTGCTGTACCGTAAAGATCAGTATGCCTGCCTGCCCACCTGCTAGATGGTAAGGGAATTTCTACAGGTCCCACAAGTTACACCTTCTGAAATTTCCTGTTTTACACAGCCGTTAGCAATGGTGGAACCCTGCCCTCTTTTGCATATGGGCACCCTAATCTTATCACGTATTATGCAGATAAGTGGTAAAATTGTATTTATATTATTTTTTTTAGCCTCATGGGCTGCTTGCCCACAACTAATAATATTTCTCACAAGGCAGAATTGTGTGTTGTGTATTGCGCTCTCAGTTCATGCAGGGCAACCACGATACGTGATGCTCCTGGCCAGTATGTCACAAGAAAACAACTATTCTCTAGAACCAAGGTAGTCAACATGGTGTCCTCCAGGATGTTGTTGGACTCCCACTCCCATCATCCCTGACCATTGGCCACTATAGCTGGGGCTCTGGGGGGCCACCATGTTGGCTACCCCTTCTCTAGAAAGCGTCACCAGAATCCTCCAGGCTCAGGGGTTCTGCTGCAGGCAAGTTGATTTGGCAATTTACAACGCCCTTTGTTGGCAGAGTGGGGGTGGGCATTTCTTGACAGCTCCTTTCCCTCATATTCCCGCTGTTGCTCTCACCGTCCATTCTTGTTGCTGCAGCTGTGCAATCACAAAATGCAGTGATAAACACCACGGTGCCTTGAAGTGAGTGGGAGCAGCACATGCATTCAAGGGCTGCAGTAGGATGATTCGCTGCTTTGATCTGCAATAGGCACAGGAAAGTGATCAAAGAGGTTAAGTGAGGCAAAACGGTTCAGGGAGTGCAAAGCAAAGAAGTTTGCAAACATGTACTTCAAAGCTAATTGAAAGGCCGCCCTAAATGCAGACATTTTCCAAGAGAGGCGCTTAATACAGTTGAAGCATTAACACTGAATTGCGATAGCTACCAGCTTCAGGGGCTTCCTGTCAGGAAGTTGGTGCCTGTCCTTGGCTGCATGATCTCCGCTGCCTTTCCATAGCCCTGTTCACACCTCAACCTGGGCAGCTAACACATGGGAAGTGGAATGGGGCTGCACCTCCTGGTTCTACCCCTTGGAAGCCATGAACGAGTGTGCATACCTGCCAAGGGGTGTGTCTCTGTGTTACCAACCTGTAACTCATAGGCAGCTCTTTGCAGGTAGACACACACACAGCCTGGCATTGCCCTCCGCTCCGTCTGCCATGTGTGAGCCTCACATACTGAAATAATGCATGACTTGGGCTCATGTCAACTGCGCTGGAACTACTTTGCCACTACCAGGTTGTGATTCTAATGTGACTTACAGTTCTACCTGTGACTGTTACTGAATGCAGCAGAGGATGTTTCGCATCTATAACTTGGCATCTGCCTCTAATTAGATTCTGAAGAAAGGGGCATGATTGCTGGGTCCCATTTGTCCATGCCATCCCATCCTGTGGCCCTTCTGCCGATCTGAATACTGCAAAAGTGTCTTGCTAACTGATCAGTGCATAAATAGAAATTCTGCTGTTTTCTACCTAAACAGAACTGGATGTCTAACAGTTTGAAAATACATAGCACTGCACTGCAGGACCAGGTGTGGGAAATTTTTTCACAAGCTACCAGGAAGGTAAGCTAACTGGAAACTGTTTAATGGAAGCAATGTTTCATAGTCAAAAGTCCACAAATTGTGGCTGAACTTGTAGCCAGTCTTTCTTTTCTATTAGCCAGCTAAGTCCAGTCGTGCCACAATAACAGTGGGACTTTAGGATTGCCTCCTAAATGGATTGCTAGTTGTACTCACTTGCTTAATAAATAATTGCTTTTAATAACCTTGTAGGCTTCCCTTTCCCCTCCATGTGCAGAGTTCCCCTTTGCAATAGAGAAATGTGCTGCATATGCATTTCTTAGTTTAATGTCCACACAGATGACAGTAATGCTTGTCTTTAAGGGCTCGTGTGAACAGAAGTTAGGAACTTTAAACTTCTGGGAAAGTGTCTTCCCAAAAAGCTTCTGCAGCTTTCTGCTTTGCAGGATATAGACGAAGTAGCCTAAGATAAAGCAAGAAAGAATTGGTTATTTGGGATGAGGGTCCTGGGGGTGGGGGGAATAGCCCAGAAGTAGAGGGATGGATTTTTCACCACCTCCCTCCACACATTCAGAAAAGCCCATTGCAAGTCCCACATCCTAGAAACATACTGATTATTTTTTGCTGGTGGTACTTGTGAGTGTACCTTCTCATTGCACCAAAAAGCAATTCTGTGTTTTGCTTAAAGCAGGGAGGGGGAACCATTTTGGCTCCATGGGTCAGATCCTTATCAGGGCCAGATATGACAAGTGGGCAGGATTACTTCCTGGAGTAAACTGCTGAAGTCCCCCCTGCCCCAACTTTTTGACTAGGGGGTGTCATCATAGTGATGTATAAGCCCTCTGCATCTTCCCAACAGGAGACAGCTGAAAACCAGTCTGCAGACAGTGAAGTTATGCCAACGCCATCAGAAGACAACCAAGTAAAAATGGAGAAACCTGCAAAGAAAAAGAATAAAAGGGAAGAAAAGGAAGAGAGGAAAAATATGAAAAAGGCAAAAGAATTAAGGTTGCAAGTTCAGCCAGAGGGCCTAGATCTCAAAAAAAGTAAAAAGTCTAAGAAAGAAGAGAGAGAAAATGAGAATGGAAATATTTCCAAAAGGAATGGCTTGAAGTTGACAAAGCAGCAGCAAGCAGATGTTTCAGCTGAACTGGAAATGAATGGAAACAGTGTCAATACAAAAGAGGCAGGGACCAAAGCAAATGTGAAGAAACGCAAGCGTAACGTCTCTGAAGGTATCAGACTTGCAGTTCTTGCTTCTAGGTGTGAGGTGCAGTTTGGGGAAAAAAGACAGTTTGTAGTATATAGGATGTACGGTATATAAATCAGGATAAATTTCAGTGCTTGGAGCTGAAATCGGGGTGAGAGTGACAGCCTGAGAGAGATCCTGTTTTCTACCCATCTCTGTCGTGAATTCTCTGCGGCGCTTTAGCAGAAATGCTCAGAGTTCCAGGTTCTTCAGTGCAGTATATTGTAAGCTATATATACAAATATCTACAGGCTATAACACACAAGCAGTTCATACAGTCAAGCGGAGTACCTGGCTGCACCTTAAGGCAAATAGGAAGACCTTTCTATCTCTCTCTCTGACCACACTCCACTACACCACCCACTTACTGCTGGACAGGTTTCCCCTTTAAACCGATGACAGCCAATCAACTGACAGCACATTACTGCTGAGTCTTTCTGACCCAGCACTTCCATAGAAAGTATTGCAGGCTCACTGCATCAGCCAGTTGCATCAGCTAGCAAACTCAAGCCTGCAGACTTACTATCTCACACAGCATTCTGTGAATCCCGACAATCTCATCTGACAACGTCAATCCTTTTCTGATTTTTCCTTGTTGTAGAAGGTTTTTATGAAATGTCAGGCAGAGCAGATTTTTTATTTAACCACTATTCCAATTTTGGTGGGTTCTCTAATGATTCTGTTACTGGACTTCCTGACGCTTATTTTGACTGTTTCTCTCCCTGTAAATCCTACCCCAGATGTTGACGAATCTCCCATTGCACAAAAAAGAATGAACAATTCAGAAACCGAAGAAAAGGAGGATCAGCTTCAAGGTAACCTTCGCTTGGATGCTTAGCAGTTTGCAACTATGAGCTAGACGTGTTTGTTGATGGCAACTGTGATGTAGCAACTTAGTCAATATAATTATTAGAATCATTGTTAAAGTATAAGGAAGAGTTGTAACATTTATAAGGACATAGTTCCCTTGTCTTGAAAGTGGGTTAGTGAGTACTAGGCTTAGATAACACAGGATATTTGTGTCCAAGGAGGACAGGGGCTTATAATTTCGTGGGTGGCAATAGTAATAATAATAATTTTATTATGTGTCCCCCACCCATCTGACTGGGTTGCCACAGCCACTCTGGGTGGCTTCCAACGTATATAAAAACATAATAAAAAATTACACATTAAAAAGCTTCCCTATACAGGGCTGCCTTCAGATGTTTTCTAAAGGTTATATAGTTGTTGATGATGATGATAATTTATTATTTATACCCCACCCATCAGCTTGGGTTTCTCCAGCCACTCTGGGCGGCTTCCAACAAAATATTAAAATACAGTAGTCCATCAAACATTAAAAGCTTCCCTAAACAGGGCTGCCTTTAGATGTCTTCTAAAAGTCTGGTAGTTGTTGTTCTCTTTGACATCTGATGTGAGGGCATTCCACATGATAGGTGCCACTACCAAGAAGGCCTTCTGCCTGGTTCCCTGTAACTTGACTTTTCGCAGTGAGGGAACCACCAGAAGGCCCTCAGAGCTGGATATCAGTGTCCGGACTGAATGATGGGGGTGGAGACGCTCCTTCAGGTGTACTGGGCCAAGGCTGTTTAGGGCAAAACGACATACCATTGGTTGGATGGATCCAAAGCAGGGAGAATGAATTTTTCCTGCCCTCTCAGTCTCACCACAGCCCTGTTAGAACAAGGCTGCCTCTGACTAGTTTTTGCCATCTTCCATCTCCCACTGTTACCACACCCAGGCCTTTCCTGAAGATTCCCAACATTGAGAAGGCTTGGTTGGGGGCAGGGGACGACATTGGGGTCTGCAAGGGGGCGGGGAATGTTCTGCTAGACAAGCAGATGCTGGTACGTGCAAGCTCTGGATCCAACCCTATACGGCTATTTAATCTGTTAGGAATAGCCAGACCAAGTCTCAATTCATTTTGTTTCCTTTCTTTTTAAATCTTCTTTTCTTGGACAGAGGAAATGCTCTCCAGCTTGCAGCCCACATTTTGCCGAAATGCCAGCAGGGGTTCGCCCAAGAAAATCCACTGCCACAGTTTTCAAGTGTTATAGAATATAGAGTTGGGCCCGGAGTTAACTAACCTGGTGTGCCAGTGGAAGCCTGTGCAAGGGCTACTCCCCACCCATGAGCCCCCTGCACCTCCCCCAGATCCATCTGGAGGGTCAGACAAGCCCTAGAGCAGTGGGAGGAAAGGGGGCAGAATCCCACCTGGCAAGCAAGAATTCTTGCACTGACAGAGCAGTCAGAAGAGTCTGACGTCAAATTCCTCCCTAAGCCTCTAAATGTTTGTAGTAGATCACATCGGGTAGAAAATGTATGTAGGTTATTATAGTGAGTTTGGCTGTTTATATTTACAGATGAGATTTTTTAAAATAACCACTGGAAAAAGTTGGTCATTTCTCCAGGTGGATGCAGCTGGCGGTTTTCTGGGTTGGAACCAGCCAGGTGTGTTTCCCCTCTGAGCTAGAGAGGCATAGGGACTGGCTGCTGATTTCAAATACAAAAGTGTGGGCAATGAGGCCTTATTCATGGTTGTTGTTTTTAAAAAAACTCCTTATTGCTTGAGGAGTAATACTTCCTTATTGTTTGATTTATAACCCATTCTCCCTTGTTCACATGATCCTGCACTGCTGTGCTTGGCAATATTTCAGTTTCCAAAATCATCTCAGCGCAGCAGGTTGCTTTAGCAAGCAGGGCACAACTGACCTGAGCAAGTAAACCTTTGAAAGTGGTGTTAGGTTTCCATAGTGACCTGGCCAAAATGCATGGGGATAATTTATTTTATTCTCTCTTCCTTGTCTTTTTACAAATTTTTACAGGTAAATTCAGTTGGAAGGGAACTATAAAAGCTGTTCTGAGGAAAGCACCTGACAATGAACTGCCAATGAAAAAACTAAGGAAGAAGGTATATTGGAGCATCTTCTGACACCCAGAGTACAGGGCAGGGCAAAGTTCCCCTGCATAAGCACCACTGGAATAAATATTTGTATACTGCCCTTCATCCGTAGCTCTCAGGGCGATTCACAGCATTATTCACAATTATTTCCTTATTTCCAAATTATTTCATAATTTGCCTGTTTAAAAAATAGAGAAAAAAATTGTACTGTTCAGGGAACGGTTCCCTAACGTAGAATCAAAGAGTTGGAAAGTACCCTTCAGGCTCATCTGGTCCAACCCCCTGCAATCCAGGGATCAGAAGGCAAAAATAACTTTGCACATGCTCTATCCATTTGGCCCTTGAAGCCTTTTAAGGAAACACACACACACGTCTTGCTCTGGGGAGAAAGCACTCGGCATATGGTCAGGGGCACGCCACGCACAACGCAGGACCCTTACTGCCAAGCAAGAAAACGCCGCAAGGCTTGAGGGCAGGAAAGGAAAGGCCTGATCCGAGAAGGGCCAACTCTGAGGCTTCTCTGAGGAAACGGAGCAGGCTCCAGAATGGCTGCCCACCTCATCGCCTCCCCTCAGGCTGCTGCCTAACTCCAGCGCCCGGCCTTGCCCGACTCACTGTATTCAGTGAAGTTTTGTGTAGGAGAACGTACCTTGGATTGTGCCCTAACTTTTTAGAAACCTGTGCTTCTGTGAGCACAACCATTTGCTAAATTCCAATTTAAATGAGCAGTTGCTAAACCGTAGTGCTGTCCCCTTTCTTCTCTGATGAACTTCTGCTGTTCCACCAACAGCATTTAGCACCTTTTGTCCAAAGGCCTTGTTTGCTGATTGCATTTAAAATATATATGTTCTGGGCAGGTGGGATGGTCCTAAGCATTCCACAACTCAGCAGCTAAGCCAATGTTTAGGAAAGCTCCTGTACAGTCGTACCTCTGCTTATGTATCCCTCCAGTTACGTAAACTTCAGGATACGTAAGTGGCAAACCCGGAAGTATATTTCCGGGGTTTTGCTGCACATGCAGAAGCACTCTACCGTGCCGCACGTGTGCGCAGAAGCAGTCTCTCTGGTTGCGAAAACCTCTGGATCCGGCCGGACCTCTGGAACTGGAGGTACCACTGTAATGCAACCGAAGACTTGGTCGTGTAACCAATAGCTATGGCAGTTTCAAAAACTGTCAGCCTAGATTTAGCTCAGGTTTTCTTTCTTTTACTTCATAACATTACAAATGGAGAAGTGACAGCTAGTCAGATGCCACCAGGCGCATAGAAAGGGCCTCATTCCCCCAGCTGCCCCTGCCTTCAAAGGTGGCAGCACAGGGCTCTGCCAGAAAATCTTAACATGTGGGCAGGCTGCTTTGGGAGAACGTGGCCCCTTCGGATCTTCCAGAGCTCTAAAGTCAAAAACCAGCGCTGGTTTTGTGCCTGGAATTAGAGACTGGGAGCCAGTGCAGGCTTTAAAGCCCAAGTGGAATATGACAGACCTTGCTGGGTTTGCTTTGGAGTAGATGCTTCATATTCCAGAAAAGACACTTAAGCTGATAATGGCGTGAAAGGTTTGAATGTAACTTCTTTTTGTCTCTCCTTTTTTCTCGTGCAGGTTTTATCACAGTATTATGCAGTGGCAGGTGATCATCATCATAAGGCTGAAGGAGAAATTCTGGCCCTGTTCAATAAGAAAGTCAGCAGCAATCCTAAATTTAGAGTTTTAAAGGAAAAGGTTAAGCTTATAAAATAGCTTTTTAGTTCTAAAATAAGGATTTTTAATATGTCCCCAGTTTTGTTATCAGATGTAAAGAGATTTTTCAGATGTATATGGCAGCAAACCTTGCCTGTATTTGATTGTGAATTTCCTTTTATTTCACATACAGTTTGTACTGATTAAAAAGTTACTTTTAGGAAAAAATGTGGTTTTTTAAAAGATATATAATGACAATCTTTCTATTGCAATTTATAAAAGTTTAAGTTATGGTTATGATCACACCCACGAGCTACTGGGTGTGATCCCACGGTCAGAAATACTCAAAGAGAAGGGAGTCCAAGAAGGATGGGAGTTTCTGAAAGGAGAAATATTGAAGGCCCGAATGCGGACAATAGCAACAAGGAAGAAAAGTGGGAGGCATCTGAGGAAACCAGTGTGGCTGCCTAAGGAGCTTGCAGATGAGCTGAGAGTTAAGAAGGGCATATATAAGAAAGGGGAAATCACAAAGGAGGAGTATACACGAGTAGCCAACAGTTGCAGGGGGGAAGTCAGGCTGGCTAAAGCTCAGAATGGGCCGTAAATGGTTCTCTTCTAATCACAGAATAGAACTTTTAGATACAACTCATTTTTTTAAAAAAAAACACTACTGCAATGTACCCAGTGAAAGAAAGTTTACTCTGAAGTGTGTGTGTTTTTGTAAAGAAATAAATCACACTAGCTCTGCACCCAATAGTGAAGGGTCTCGTCAGCAAGTATTTCCGCACCTAAACCCAGAAAGCTGTACAGGTTCTTTATCTATCTTACAGTGGTGGACAATGTGATATTTTTAGGAGTCCCTGCTCCCCATGCAGCTGGATTGTTTGAACCATATTGCAGTGGTCCCAGATAGCATGTTTGAATTTCAGCTGAGACTTTACATTAAACAATACACAGTCCCTGTAATACTCCAAAGAAAAGTCATTATTGATGTCAGTTTCCGCTTAGGTGGCACAGTACGATTTGGAACAGGGGGAAAATATAGCTGGACAAAACAGGTTGGCATACGTGAAGGTGTGGAAGCCATTTTCCTAAATAGCCACTGACAGTCTTCCTAGAGAGCCTTTCTCATGAACCATGGCGCCTGCATCCACAAACTGTAGGTTAGACTATAGGTTTTGGGGTGTAACAGAGCCAATGGTTACACCTCTAAAGTTATCAGCAAAGAAGCTTCTACAAGTTCTACAGCAAGCTATCAAAACCTAAGTGGGGGAAAAAATATTTCTGGTTCCCTAGCAACTTCACAAATTGTTGTTGGTATAAACTAACTCGTCAATCTGGCAGTCTAGGAACCCAACTCTGAACACCAACAGAATGACATTCTTTTTATATCATACTGATTTCCTTTCCCGCAGATTAGCATATGTCTCCTCAATACAAATGTGTATATTTTTAACTATTGTGGTTATTGAACATTGATCTTCTCTTTGTTTGTGCTCTGCTTTGGCACTGCTTCTGCATTACTGGTCTGTTTCTTCTCTCTTTCCTCCCACTGAAAACTGATCGCCTCGCCTCCTGCTATTTTCTCATTGCGCCTGAACAACAGTGTCTCCAGTGGAATATACCTGGTGACCACTGGAGACAGAACCAGCGCATTGTTTCCCTCAGATACTTGAAAGCTGCAACAGTGTTCTGTAACAAGGAAACCAGAGAGCAAATATTAAACTTATTCACAGAAAGTTTGTAAAGGCTATATTGTTCTGTACATTGAGCTGCAGTCACAGGTTACCAGATCTCACAATCAATATATTCAAAATTTAGCCCTTCTCCCAATTAAGCTTTCGGGGGGGGGGGGAATCCTACACGCACAGAACAAGTCTAAGTTTCTTTTCTGCTCTGTTGGCCAAGGAGAGCAGATTAAGTTTCCCCTTAATACATTAACAGGAAGTGTTACTTTATATTCAGGTTTAACATTCAGCTGGGGAAGAAGATGTCTGCTGAGAAGCTTCTCTCCTTGCTCACGTTAAGACAGTCTAACCAGCTTAATCTTACATGTGGAGAAAATACGTTTTAATCTTGATATTCTGTTTACGTTGACATTGAATAAAGATCTCTGAAAAGTTTCTGATTCATGACAGTTTAAAAACAGGCTTTGTCAAACTGTTGGCGTCTTCAAGCAAGTAGCAGTCCCTAGAAGTTTGCAACCTAAGTCTGATCATTCGTTAGTATGATCCTTTGACAGATTAAAAAGCTCCCAAACTCGTCACTCCTTAGCAAGGATGCTCCACACTGAAGCCTGGGTCAGGTGGGAAGGGAAGGAAGGGGCAATGCTGCTATTTAAACAATGGTTGGGTGCAAGCCCAATCGACTTGTGGCATCCAGCAGAGTATGATGAGAGGAAATGCAGATCAGCTGCTATCAGACATTCGGCAATTGTTTAGTTTTGCTTCGTTTCCACAAGAAGACACCATCCTCTAAGGGTGCTTCCAGAGAGGGGTCCCATATTGCAAATGAGTCAGGTCTGATTTTTCAGTATCTGCTTTTGGCTTCTGTACATTCCCAGTGCTTCAGACATTAATGGTCATTGCTATTGCACAGCATTTTGTCCACACTGGGTATTTTGTCCTTTCAATCATTCCTCCCCACCCTCTGCTGTCAGTTTCTGTTCTAATACAGGTATTTCTGTACCTTTTTCAATTTTCCAAGCAAGTTCTTAAGAGCCAGATATATCCACCCTTAGTTATCTTGCTTTGCAGTACAAGGCTATTGTATTCTGGAGAAGAGTTACTCCTTTGCTCAGTTACAATAAGACTCGTTTTAACCAAGGTGTTTGTGTAGGCTTCCAGCCTTCCTTCTCAGATTGTGAACTTCAAGGAAACTTGCACCTGTCTTTTGGCATCATGAACAGCACCTGCAAATGAGCTGGCAGCAGAGGCAAGTATGGAGACTGGGGAGGGGGAAAACCCCACAGGACAGAACCCGGGGGCACTTCCTATGCTGCCATGTTGTGTGGGACTCTGTGGTTCTCAGCCTACTATGGGGTGCCTGGGAGAGTCATACACCAGCTGTGATGTCCAAGAAAGAATGAAGGAGATGCTGAGACTTATCAAATATGTGAGGAACATAAGACAGACATTGTCCTGAGGCAATTGGAGGACTTGGGAAGAAAGGAGACAAGAAGAAACAGCTGAGTTTATCTTTTAAGAATTTGGGAGCTCTTTTCTCCCAAAATACTCTTATTCAGACGCAAGGGCAATTCTTCAATTGTGAACAAGGTTTAGATGAATTTCTGCATAATGTTATTCATGGGTTAGAACAGGTTCAGGCACCTGAGCATCTACAGCCTGGTAGGCTTGCGAATGTGATGGAGAAATTAAGGTTACTGAGGGGATGAGGGCTGATGCTTTCCATAGGCTGTTATGGTTACACAGAAACCAGCAGCTGAGAGAAAACTTATGCAGCTGGCTTTGCTGTGATGGGAGCTGTTATCTCCAGTGTTAGATATGTTACAAAAGAGGGTTTGGAAATTCAGAGACCCAAACAGACAGAAGAGTGGAAGCAAAAGATGAACAGGCACTTGATGCTGAAAATAGGTTAGTTATGTAGCAGCTGGAGACAAAAAATAACTTCTTCATGCATCTGTACTGGGATGATGTACATGTCTCCCAAGAGGGGTGAATCCTTGGGGATTCACAATAAGGCCTGGGGTGTGCATTCATGGATTATGAGGGGAGGGAAACGAAGCACAGGCTGCTCCCCATCCCACCCCCAATCCTATTTAGTGTTGCGGCACAATGCAGTTAAAAACAGGAAAACGGGGAGGGGGGGATAGTAAGCACCTTTGAGCATTTCAAGAAGCAAAGGGGAACTCATGGGAAATTCATGGGATCCAGCAGTGGTAGCAACATAGACAGACATCCTTTGGCACATCATTGAATGTTTGGACTATGACAAGACCTGAAAAGGGAGAACTGTTTAATCAGGAGTGTTTGGCTCTGAATAAAGCTTGAAGTGACAGGAGAAGACTTATACCACATCATGCCATGGCATGGCTTGGAGTTAAACACACAAAAATCATCCTGCTGCAGATTCTTTAAAGTTACATTGAAAAAATGTTTCCTTTTAATACTCCCTTATTAAATCCCCAGTATCTCTCTCAGGATATAAAGAGAGTTAATTTCCCCCTCCAGTAACATTCCAGGGCTCATCAGTCTCCACAATCTGAAGATCCTAGTAGCTTAGAAGTCCTTCTTGTGCCAGTTTTGTTCCGTTCTGTTTTGGTTTTTAAAAAATCTCTGTTAATTTACAGACTAATATACTTCTACATACCTAGAGAGTCACTTGGGTATGTGTGGTAACCGGCACTTTTTTGGGGGTTTGCCATGTTTTGCTTGAAACCTAGGCACTCCACTACTAGCAAATAGAAATGTATAAATGATGTTATCAAAAGTGCAGTGGGACAAAGACAAAGACATAATAGTTTGGACACAACTATGTCCAAACATTGTGGTTCTGTGGTGCTGCACGCTGGGACTTTTCCACTACCCTTCCAACTATAGCAGACGCTCCAAGTGTCCCTATTTTCCAGGGACACTCCTGGGTTAACAGAAGCTGTCCCGGTTTCCAATTTGATCCTGGAATGCCCCACTTTTCCTTACATCACCCCTATTTTCATTGGAGAAATGTTGGAGACTATAGAGTTATGCAAGCCCTGAGCCAAGGAAATAAGTAACCTTTAGAGGACACCTGAAGGCAGTCCTGTATAGGGAAGTTTTAATGTTTAATGCTTTATTATGTTTTTGTATATGCTGGAAGTCGCCCAGAGTGGCTGGGGCAACCCAGTCAGATGGGCAAGGTATAAATCATAAAAATATGATGATGTGGATGAAACAGGACATCCCTATTTTCATCAGAGAAATGGCGGAGGGTGTGCTATAGCTCCTCTTTTCCTGGGAAAAGCTGTTCCTGGTGATCAGAGGAGAATTCAAGAGGATGAGGAGGGTTTTGGTTAGAAGGGGAAGCCCTTTACCTCCACAGAAACACTTTCTGCTTATGCACAGGGCAATTTGCATGTAAGGACTATTATTACAGCGAACAGAAAATGCATTTGGTTCAAAAGATATCCTTCTTCTGACTCCCTATTGAATTGCCTCCATATAGGTTTACTAACATAATCAAGTGTTTTGAACAATAAACACTGTTATATAATGGAAAGTAATTATATGTAAGCAAATATATATTTGAATTACGTACCCACGTTACCCTTTCATTCATTTTTCACTGCCACTTCCTTAAACAACGAGCTTCTCCTCTCAGGTGAATCCCTTAAAAAGACAATCTACTTTTGTTAGAGTTTCCTTGTCTTCCACCATAAAACACACACTTGATTTTGCTACTGATACAAATAGAGAGGGAGCCGACGTTTGATTTGTGCTAAGTAAATACCGTATTTTTTGCTCTATAGGATGCACTTTTTCCCCTCCAAAAATGAAGGGGAAATGTGTGTGCGTCCTATGGAGCGAATGCAGGCTTCAGGCAGCTATCCGCAAGCTCTGGGAGTGGCGGCGAGGTTGCACGCAATCTTGCTGCCACTCCTGGACCTGTTTTGGGGGCTGGGGTCGGGGGAAGCTCGGGCTTCCCCCACCCCAGCCCCGCGGCTAAAAACAAAGCTAAGACAGCGAGCGGGATCCATCCCGCTGGCTGTCTTGGCTTCCTCTTTAGCCGCATGCAACCTCTCCAGCCGGGATAATTTTTTTTCTTTATTTCCCCCCCTAAAAACTAGGTGCGCCCTATGGTCCAGTGCACCCTATGGAGCGAAAAATACGGTACTTAGAAAGTTAGGCCCACTCTGGACCCAACGGAATGTAAGGACTATAGATCACTTGCCAACACCCCTTTCTTGGCAAAGGTGGTGCCAGGGTGGTTGTGGAGCAGGTATTGCTCGATGAGACTGATTATTTAGATCCGGGCTCAGACCCAGTTGCTGAACTGAATCAACCTTGGTCATGCTGACAAACCATGAGAGAAACCAACCCTTGGCACTTGTATTCTGGGGTTCCAAGGGATACTGTTATCTCTTCAGTACTATTTAACATCTAAATGAAACCATAGGGAGTGGTCGTTAGAAGTTTTGGAGCAAAGTGTTGTGAGTACACCGACAACACACGCAACTCTATTTCTCCATGCCATATCTATTAGGGCCAAGAAACTGTGCTTGAATCCTAGGAAGACAGAGGCTCTGTCAGTGAATGGTTCCCATGTCTGGGAAATAGGCGAGTTGCGTGTCCTGAACGGGATCTTTATCTCTCTCTGAAGCATCAGGAATGCAGCTTGGGAGCACCCCACATCTCAGCCACTGGTGGAGTGGTAAGCGATAGCCTGGCCATGCACTGATAAAATCAAAGCCAGCAGGTTCCAAGCACAAGGGCCCTCTTCCAGCAACTGGTATCTAGATGCTGCCTCCAACTGTGGAGGCAGAGTAAAGGAGTTTTAGGTTCTTCTGTTCGATGCATGTTATAGTCAAGATGGCTTTCCTGCCTCACTTAGGAAACAACCAGAATTGGACTGGGAAGTGTCAGCAAAATGCATCGCCTGTGGCAACTAACAGCTCATCTGTGAGCCAGAGTGTTTAAGCTGGACCAGGGAATCCTAAGCCCAAATCCGCACTAGCCTTGGTAAACCTAGGGCTGGTCACTATTTCTCCACCAAGCTTTTGTGAGGATAAAGTGGAAGAACCCTATGCGTTGTTTCCTGAGCTCCTTGAAGGAATAGAATCAATGTCTTTACACCTTTACACCTTACCCTGAGAACTAAGGGTCTGGACTCCGGAAGGGCCCCATTATTGGGATTAGATTTAAAAGTTTTGGTCTATCTTAAATTGCATTTTCCCATATAGTATTTAAAATTTATATTTCTATATTGTAACAACAACAACCACAACACTTTGCATGTCTTCTTTTTTTAAAAAAAAACCATGCTAAAGGCAACTGAGGTGAGCAATTCTTGAAAGGTAGGTGAATGGTTATTGTGGTGAAAGGCAATCCTTTCTCCATTCAGCAATATTTTTCACAGATTTCACAATTATTCCTCAGGCTTTTTTACTCAGCGAAAAAAATGCCATGAGGGATATTTGGAAACTTTTGCAAAAGCATGAAAGACTTTCCTTTCCTCATTTACCTTCCTCTTATCAACAAGAAGGGGTTTTTTAGTCTCAGACGTGAAATTTGGGAGTTTTAACACACTTCTGCAGTGTAATAATTCTGGGTCCTTAGGCAGGAATGAGGAATGCCTGGAAATGAACATTGCTCTTTGGAGCTTGCTCTGTCTTCCTATGTCTATCATATCTCCTCTCAGTCTCCACTTTTCCAGGCTAAACATACCCAGCTCCTTCAAGAGCTCCTCATAAGGTGTGGTTTCTAGACCCTTGATCATCTTGGTCACCCTCCTCTGCACATGTTCCAGCTTGACAACATCCTTCTTAAATTATGGTGCCCAGAACTGGACACAATAATCCAGGTGTGGTCTGACCAAGGCAGAATAGAGTGGTACCATGGTTTCCCTTGATCTGGACACTATACTTCTGTTAATGCAGCCTAAAATAGCATTAGCTTTTTTTGCTGCTGCATCACACTGTTGGCTCAGGTGAAGCTTGTGGTCCATCAAGACCCCCAGATCCTTTTCACTTGTACTGCTTGCAAGCCAGGTGTCCCCCATTCTATATTTATGCAGCTGGTTCTTTCACCCTAAATGGATAAACTTATATTTACTGCATTGCAGGGGGTTGGACTAGATAACACTCAGGGTCCCTTCCAACTTTAGAATTCTACAATTCTATGAAGATTTGCTAGAAACTTTGCACTGATCTTAATTTTACTATTTGTAAGCAAATAGTGTGGACTAGATCACAATATTGTACAATGCCCCCTTTTCAAATTTCCCAAGCTCTTTAGCTTTACAGTTGCTTTGCCTTTGCCTCTCCTCTCATCCAGTTCAAATGCACACATGTTTATAGCTAGCACATTCCTTGCCTCAAACGCACCATTATTTACTGTCTACTCCTTAAAGGGTCAGTTCAGGGTTGCAAAGTAATTTAATACACACTTGAGAATTCTCACTTGAACGCAACAGGTTGTTTAATGTCCAACTTAGGTTGGATTGTAGCATCTGGTTGCATTTCAACAGATGGTGTACTGATAAGCGCCTGCCTCTGTGTATTCAAATGTTTTAAGTGAAAAGAAAAATGCCCACAGATAAGGCAAAATGTATTTATTATGTCTTAATGAGCTACCATTAACTAGCTGTCCCCAAGTTCATAATTAATTACTAATCACTTATCTCCAAGATGCATAACACAAGGAGATATACGCGGCTCCGGTCCTCTGGTCCAGTTGCTTCAGAGAAGATGGTTGGTGAGACATGGTTTTTTACATCTTACCATTCTTAGAATCAGAGTTGGAAAGTGACTGAGTCCCGCCTCCTGCTTAATGCAGATTCTGTTGCGTAGCTATAGACTCCCAGACAGATGGTTGTCCAGCCTCTGCTTAAACACCTCCAGTGACGAAGCACCCATTACCTCCTAAGGAAATCTGTTCACTGCCAGACAGCTCTTACCAGCAGAAACGTGGTTCAAATGCTTAGTTTAATCTGCTTCCCTGCAATTTCCACCCATTGGTCCTAGTCTTGCCCTCTGGAACTGCATGATGGTTCCATCTTCTTCATGACAGCCCTTCACACATTTGGAGACTGCTGCCTTGCCATCCTTTTATCCTGCTCGGACTAAAGATAGCACACCTAGATCTTTCAACAATCCTACACAGGGTTTGATTTCTGAACCCCTTGGTATGTTGCCAAGGAGTCATGCAATTGGCCTTCCTGCATGAGGTGGGGAAAATGTGTAAGCTCAGTCATTGTTTTCCCTGAGGGGAAGGCTAGGGAGAACATAAGAACATAACATGATGCTGCTGGATCAGGCCAATGGCTCTTTTACTCCAGGATCCTGTCCTCACAGCGGCTGACCAGGTGCCTGTGAGAAGACTGTAAGCTGGGCAGGAGCACTCTGCCCACCTGCGATGTACAGCAAGTGGTATTCAGAGGCAAATTGCATCTGACAGTGGAGGCAGAGTCATAGAATTGTAGAGTTGGAACAACCAGGGTCTAAGTCCAACCCCCTGCAATGCAGGAATCTCAGCTAAAGCATCCATGACAAATGGCCATCCAGCCTCTTCTTAAAAATCTCCAAGGAATAGAAGTCCACCACTTCCATTGTTGAAGAGCTCTTACTGTCAGAAAATTCTTCCTGATGTTTAGTTGGAATCTCCTTTCTTGTAACTTGAAGCCTACATGCTTCCTACATGCCAGAGGAGGGGAAAACAAGCTTCCATGTGACAGCCCTTGAGATATTTGAAGATGGCTA